TAGTATAATTATATATTAGTAGATTAGTACAAAAGGCTAAACTTCGATTGGTTTTTGGGTTTTGCGTTTCTTCAATGAAGGTTGTTCGTCCAATTCGATTTCCTCTGCGTCCCGAATCAAAGAATCTTCATCTTCAATGTAGATTGGCTGGTTATCGGCAGCCACTGGTTCAACGGGTTGGGGTTTCTCAGTAACAGGCACCTTCTTTTGTCGTAAGGTGAGTTGGGGCAATTCTAGCTGGGTGCTGGAGTTGTAGTTGATGAAAAGCTCAAGATTTTCTAACTCGTCCTCGTCATCTTGTATTAATAGTAACTCTTGGTTTACAAATCCTTTGATATCACAGAGCTTTGTTTCGAGGTTATCTTCAAAATCGTAGTCGTAAATCAATCTGGAAGACCCTAAGATTATCGACAAGTCGCCATTGTAATTATATTTCGATTTAATCGATTCAATCAAGTCGTTCAAGGTCATTTTACTCAATTGGTCTTGATTGATTTCTAAGATTCCTCTGGTGGACAATCCACAGCTGGCACACTGGGGGTTTGGTCCTAATAGAGATGCACTGGTAACGTATTTGTTTGGTCGGATACTGATAAACGTGGTTGAAAAATGATCTAAAGTCTTCTTGGATTCAGCACCATCATAATATTTCAAGGACGATAAGTTGGATAACCCACTGATTATTGCATTGGTGGTGGCAATGGCCGGTATGATATTACCGGCAACTTGCTTGATATCGAATTTCGACTTGATTTCAATGTTAAATATAAAGCATCTTAAATTCGAAGATGATACAACAAAGTTTAAAGTATCTTCATCGTCTTTATCGAAAGTTATGGATTTTTCTTCCCCCTTTAGTAATCTTTTTTGTAAATTGACACTGGATCTGTATAATACGTATAAATTTTCCAAAACTGACCATATTTTAGTATCTTGGTCCAATATTTTCTCATCGTTTGTCTTTTCATCAGCTATCAATCCTAACAAGTCAGTTTCGTAATTTTCTTCATAGTTTAATGGGGTTGGTTTAGCACGGGACTTCCACAAGGACTCTAGTCTCAATGTTCTTTCAATATCAATCTTGAATATCTTCAATATTAATCTCTTTATAAAGATTGAAGATGAGTCATTTTTAATCGACGTTCTTAATTCATTAATCTCATTGGTTTCCTTCATAATGTTCTCAATTTCTTGTTTGTTATCGGTTTCATTCTGTAAATTGTTCTCATTCACTGCTTCGTTGGATTCAATTTCATCGAAAAGTTGATGAAATAAAAATTCTTTGGCCCAGGTTATACAATGGACCGGCTGCGATGGGGTGGACCTAATTGTACAAACTGGGAATGTTTTAGGAGTTGCTTTGGCCTGACACTCAAAACATTCACTAACATAGGGGAATATTGGTTGAATTTGTCCATCGTAACCAGTGGTACCACTTTCCATCAATGGTTTTTTCAAAAATAAACTCATCTTATTCACATACCTTCTGGCTTCCAAGTTATCTAAGGCATTGAAAATATAACTGAACTGACCCCACCATTCTATTGGGAACTGCTTAGTATTCATGATATTCCCATGATGAGGTACTAATTTAGTATCAAAATAATTAAAACTTTCAACTGCTTTGGATATAGTCAATGATTTGGATTTATCGATATCTTTTTGGCGAAATAAAAATTGTCTATTCAAATTTGATAATGTGATCGTATCAAGATCAACTATATGAATCTCTCCAAACCCTGATAGTATCAAATCTTTCAATAATTCACATCCAATTCCTCCTGCCCCAACCATCAAAACTTTGGTCTGTTTATTTGTTAGTAAGTCGTTATTGCAAAAATCGCTGGCGTACACAGAAACTTGCCAAAATTACATACACTTCTCAACTTGTCATATCTTGGAGTACCCAAAACCTTCTTCAAATACGTATCTTTAGCCATTTCAACCTCTGTTTATGAATACTTTTGGAAAGAACCTTATCTTAGTTTTGTTTTGAGTTTTTTTCCAATTTTTCACTTTCGCTCGCTTGAGCTGAATTCAACTACAAGAGCATTATAAAACAGTAAAATAAAACAGTAAAAGTAGTATAAAACAGTAAAATAAAACAGTAAAAGTAGTATAAAACAGTAAAATAAAACAGTAAAAGTAGTATAGAACATAAAAGCGGTATAAAACAGTATGTATATTAACAGGTGAAAAATGAATTGAAGCTATTAAAGGAAAAAAAAGTAGAATCAAAGGTATATTTATTATACATTGGTGAATAAACTCCAGACCCCTTTCAAGTATTGGACAATTTCGTCACCACCTAATTTGGATTCACCGTACAATCTGTCGACGAAACTGATCGGAACTTCACCTACAGCGAACCCTAAAGCTTTGGCCCTAACCATCATTTCCATTTGGAAAACATAACCTTTAGACTTGGTTTCATCGATGACTTTAGCTAAAACTTCTTTCTTATACAATCTGAAAGAACCAGTTAAATCAGATACATGAGGTCTTAAAACAGTAGATGCCAAAAAGTTGGCTCCTCTAGAAACTAACTTTCTCTTCAAGTCCCAACCGTAAACACCCCCGTTACCAACGTATCTGGTCCCAGTCACAATATCAAAATCTTCCGTCTTTTGTTTAGCAATAAATTCAGGAATAGCTTCCGGGTGATGAGAGAAATCAGCGTCCATAATAATAACAAAGTTCCCAGTTACAAATTGTAATCCATGAACATAAGCAGTACCTAACCCTAATTTACCTGCTCTTGCTCTCAATTGAACATGGTTTTCCCCATAGATGTCAATCAACTTCTTAGCAATCACTTGGGTCCCGTCAGGCGAATTATCATCAACAATAACAACTTCCCAATCTAAGTTTTGTTCCTTAAATGTTTTGGCCAATAAATAAACCAAAATTGGTAAGTTTCTCTTCTCGTTATATGTTGGTAAGATCACAGAATATTTATTAGCACTCATATTTATCCGGTCTTCTCTTTCTATACTCTGAATATGCTTGCTGTTGTTGCAATTACTCTTCAATCAAAATGTATTTAGACTGTTTTTTTTTTTTTACGTGTCCCAAAGTTTTGAATCTATCTTTTTTTTTTGTTTGTTTGATTTTTTAGCGAGCTCAATTGAGTAAAGGTATAACGAGGAACTTTTGCAACTTGATTGATTCTGTTATGAAGCTTACAACAAGCCATTACAACGACTACATTAGTATATGGATGTAAAACTCGATAGATAAAAGCACAGATATATAAGACAAATAAGACAAGGAAAAGTCCAAAAAATGAAAGAAGAAAAGAACAACTTTTGGAAACACAATAAATACATAATTAAATGAACAAATACTCAAATGAAAGAAAAAACACACATAGGTAGTTTTGAAAAAGAAATTAAATGAATTGGACCTCCCGAAAAATCACCAAAACTACTTTTAGTATACATCAGCACCAAAACTATTACCACAAACACTAAACTACCAAATAATGAACCTGAAAGTCATTATTAACAAAAAGTAAATGAAACAAAAAAACACAAGCATGTAAGAATGACTTAAATATGAAAAGCAACAATGGAAAGAAGGGAAACATAAAGATAAACGCATAGGAGGAGTAAACCTAAAGAAGATGAAAAAAACACACAGAAAGAACGATAATCTATTGGTTATTCAAAGTCAAAGACCTGATTTGGCTTGAAAGAGCATTGAAAGAAGACGAAGTATTTGGATCGGTAGATGCAGTATGAGGGGGAATGTGATTATAGGTATTATTCAATTGGGGGTTGGTTGGGATGTTATTATTCATGGCACCAAAGCTTGGACCACTAATACTATTTCTTTGGGATGGATATGACTCTCCCAACTGTTGTTGCATACCGAATTTGGCATATAACCCCGGTGAATTAGGAACCGATTGATTGAAACCACCCTGCTGTTGTTGTTGTTGTTGCTGCTGCTGTTGTAATAGGGCCAATTGTTGGGGTAATAGGTTCAAATGGGCTTGTGATGGATTTTGAGAGGGATTTGATTGATGGCCATAATACGATTGGGCTTGTGAATTATGATGGAATTGACCACTTTGACGGTTGTTGGAATAGGAAACTTTATTTTGAGTATTATTATATTGATTTGACGTTGGTGAAATTGATGGCTGAGAATAATGATTGTTATGGCTTTTTGCATGTTGAGGTTGAGGTTGTTGTAAACCAATAAAGCTGTTACTCAAGTTGAGAGGTTGGCCACTGGCAGTTGCTGCTGCAATTGCAGCTGCCGTTGAGTTCACCGAATGAATATGTGCAGATGCTGCAGCTGCAGCAACATGGTTACTATCAGCATTACCAGACATGTTATTATTATTATTATTATTATTATTATTATTATTATTGTTGTTGTTGTTGTTATTATTGACAATTGGTTTTGCACCACCACATTTTAAACAGCAAAGGTTTTTAGCAAAATTATGATATTGACAATTTTCATTTGAACACTTCCAATCACCTGCTCTAAATGGTACATTGTTCCCGTACCTTGATCCACCGCTATGATTACCATTCATCATGTTAGGGCCATTACCACCATGGCTTTGGCTATGATTATGATGGTAACCATGGTTATTATGATGTAATCCATGTCCATGATTATGAAGTTGGCTAGTACTCTGACTATGAGAATGCCCATGGCCATGACCATTTAAATTTTGATGATGTGATTGATCAGTAGATTGAGAATCAAATTGGTTGAATTGATGATCATTATAATTACCATTCAATTGATTATTATTAAGAACTGCAGCAGCAGCATTAACAACAGCAGCATTTAAAGAAAATTTATCAATTGGATTACCATTATTATTTGAATTGTTAAGGTGATAATTCATACTCAAATTTTTATGATGACGGTTATTATTATTAGTGGAATTATTAGTAGAATTATTATTTGAATTCAAGGATTTAGAACCAGAATTATTGGAATACATTGTTTCTTGAATTGTAACAGCACTAGTAGCCGGGAATGAGCATCTAAAACAAGCGGTTCTTCTTTGGAAATTTGAAAACCCACAAGATGGACAAGTCCAGTCTCCTGGTCTAGGTCTATTTTTCAGAGGAGGGAAAGGAGTTAACAAGTCATTAGCTTTATCCAAAACCCTGGTTGATGAAGCTTGAACTTCAATTGCGCGATCATTGAGAACTCTACCATTCATGGACAATGATTCTGCAGCTTCTTCATGTTTTGAAAAAACTGCAAAACCCGAAATTCCTTTAGATTTTTTATTGAAAAATTTATTCCCTCCAGGGTTATTATTATTGGTGTTGTTAACATTACCATTATTATTATTATTATTATTTGAAACTTCTAGATTTTTCAAAGTCCAAAAGGCAATTGGTCTACCTCCATATTGAGTAAACCAAGATTCTAATTCTGATTGAGTAGTATCAGAAGGTAAATTGGAAAGATATAAAATTTTGGAACGTTCAGCCAAAAAAATTCTTGCATCCTGAGCAGAATCATAAGGTTTAGTCAAAACTGATTGATGTTCGTCGATGGGTAATGATTTTTTGATTAATTGAATTAATACTTTAGCACTTAAACTAACGGTTGATTTTGATCTAGGTTCTAAATTCGAAATGCTTTCAATATTTGAATTAATATCATTGGTGAAGTTAGTACTTGAATTTGATCTTGAATCTTGATTTGAACCAGACCCGGAGGAGATTGAACCAGAAGAAGAAGCAAGAGGAATAATAGGAGGAGGAGAATTAGAAGTTAACAGTTCAATAACCGGTAAGTCATCCAAGTTATCTAATTCTACTTGTAAAGCAGTGATAATGTTAGATAAAGAGGTTGCAGTATAAGAAAGAGCTTCCGGATGGGTCAGCTGCCATTTTGAATATTCATTAGTTAAATCAAAAACTCTTGGATGTTGTAAGTAGGGAGGTAAAACCACTGCTTTATCTCTTGCTTCTCTTGGTAATTGAACTCTTAATGTGGTAGCATTAATAGTGACCAAACTGAATTCTTTATTTTTACTAATAACTTCTTCTTGCATGAATTTATCGAACTGGTTGATAGCATCCCTAAAAGAACTAGCATCACGAACATGTTCCCAAGAGATCCGATTAATTTGAGAACAATATAAAGTTATGGGAGTGTTAACTGGTTTGACCAAAACAGAATTTTCATGAGAGACTTCGAGACTTCTTGCATCGACTAAACACCATGCAAATTCAATTAATTCAGTGGAATCTTTATTCACATAAGAGGCGTTCGAAGAAGAATCATCGCAGGTGGTTGCAAGATGTATAACGACATAAACGTCACTCATCGTAAATTAACTTCAAGAGAAATAACAGTCCTGACAATTACTGGATATTCAATAGTCAATATCAGTAGCCAATAAGTAAGCAATAGTCAACAATCAATAGTCAATAACCAATAGTCTATAGACAATAATCAACACAATTTATTAAAGGAACGACTGGAGTACAAGGAGTGAATATATGATAGAACCCCGCAGGTAACTGGCTATTGCAGGTGGAGGTTGGTGGGTTTGGCGTTCTACTGCTGGCGCACCTGTGCTTATCAACGTGACTGCTGGATGTCTGTGGATCTGTTCGCCGGGGGAAGGTGGTAAGGCTGTTGGGTTGTTGTAATTTGTTGATAATCTTTTCAACTAAGCGCTTGTATCGGGTTTTCTTCGAGAACCAAAAAAAAAAAAAAAAATAAAAAAAAAAAAAAATTTGTTAGCGAAAAATCACGGACTGCAGATAGCACGATCACGTGTACAGGATCCGTACACCATACAACATCCGTGCATCCTCAATAATACACCCGTGCACCAAGAGAAAACTGATAACGATAGGGGATAGAGACACAAATGCCAGTAGTAAAGCCAAAGCAGGGTCGCCAGTGGAGATGATGGTAGCACGCGTCGGGTGCCATTGGAGGTCGGCGAGTGGTTGTCCTTCTGACCTAGGTCATGAAAAGCACCGTTAAGACAAATGATTGTACTGGGAAATGAAGTTTAGTATGGGTGAGACCGTTTGGGCCATACAAAACAAAAAAAAAAAACTAGAGCTAGTGAAAAAAAACAGAAAAACAATCAAGGTATTGGGTACTACAACGTTAAATAGAGTATAACAAGGTGTATTGAGGGCAACAACGCCATTGGATCACACGTAAGGGTATAAGAAAAGTTGAGTTAAAAGCTGGGAGTGCTTTTCGGAGAAATTAATTTGGGATTTTTTTGTTCAAAGAAGATCAAAATGATATCGATTTTTGACGGAGATTCAAAGAATCCAGAAAATCCCAATTTAGCATTGAGACAGGGCCAGCTGAGAGTGTTTAAGACACAATTGGTGCTTTGTCTATGGATTGGGATGAGTTCGTTCTTGTTATTTTGTATATTAAGAAGAAAATGGCCTCATATGTACGCAGTTAGGACGTTAAGAAGGAATAATTTTAAAAATAATCTTAAATCATTACCGACAGATTTGCTAAATTGGGTGGTAACGTTATATAAGATAACCGATGATGAAGTGTTGGAGTTTTCAGGATTGGATGCTTACGTTTTTTTAAGTTTTTTCAAAATGGGAGTCAAGATATTTTCCTTATTATCAATATTGGATATTTTCATTTTGAGTCCGTATAGATATTATTATACGGGGAATTATGATAAAGATAATATAACTTGGTCGGCGTTTTTGGTGAGTAGCTTCATGAATACGGAATCTTCTCACTTAGCTCAAGACCCCCCAGATTTTAGTGACGATTTCCCTAATTATTTCTGGTGCTATCCAATATTCACTTATTTATTTTCGATAATTGTGTATGTCAAATTGTTTGATTATACGAAGTTGGTATTGAAAATAAGACAAAAATATTTGGCATCACAGAATTCCATAACTGATCGTACAATTAGATTAGATGGTATACCAAAAAGACTATTACGGAAAAATGATCCAAGTATATTGAAAAAATTCATTGAGGAGTTGCAAATTGGTAAAGTAATGGATGTTAAATTAATCTATGATTTCACTCCATTAGAAAACTTGTTCAATGAAAGAAATTTATTAATAAACAATTTAGAAAAACTTTATTCTAAGACTTATGAATTAAAAATTGATTTATATAATCAAACCAAGACTCCAACCGTTATAACCAAGAACTCAATTCATAATAATGACAATTCAAATAAAAAAATTGTGAAGAATCGTAATAAAATTAATGATTTATCAATAAAACTCATTGAAATTAATAATAAAATTAAAGATTATCAAAATAAATTCGATTCTAAAACATCCACGGTCAATATTGAAGAAAACCCCGAATTCAAAATACTACCAACCGCTTTTATAACCATGGATTCAGTCGCGTCCGCTCAAATGGCGGCTCAAACAGTTTTAGATCCCAGAGTTTATAAACTAATGGTTTCATTAGCACCAGCGGCAAAAGATATTAAATGGAAAAATTTCAGATTAACCTACTATCAAAAATTATTTAAAGCATATTTAATCACCATTTTAATCATTTTCAGTTACATCTTTGTTTCCTTCTTAGTCACTCCATTATCATCATTATTGGATTTGAAAACTATTAGTAAAATATGGCCAGAATTAGGAGATTTAATTAAGAAATCAAAATGGTTAACTACATTTGTTACTGGTATCTTACCACCATTTTTATTTTCTTTATTAAATATCCTGTTACCTTATTTTTATAAATTCTTATCAAAATATCAAGGTTATTCTTCAAATAGTGATATCGAATTATCTACGCTACTGAAAAACTTTTTCTTTATCTTCTTCAATTTATTTTTGGTTTTCATTGTATCTGGAACAATCTGGGATTACATTTCCTCTATTAGTGATACCACTAAATTGGCTTATCAATTAGCAACTTCCTTGAAAAAACTTAGTTTGTTTTATGTTGATTTGATCTTATTACAAGGTTTGGCAATGTTCCCGGTTAAATTATTACAAATTGGTGATTTTTTCATTTTAAATATTATTGGTAAATTATTATTCTTGAAAAATTTAATATTAAGAACCCCAAGAGACTACAGGTTTTATTATTATACTCCTCCAATATTTGACTTTGGTATACACTTACCCCAGCATATTCTCATTTTCATTATTATATTAATTTATTCAGTAGTTTCAACTAAAATTGTTACTAGTGGATTGGTTTATTTTATTCTTGGATTCTTTGTTTATAAATATCAATTAATTTATTGTTTTGTCCATCCTCCTCATTCAACTGGTAAAGTTTGGCCCATGATTTTTAGAAGATTAATGTTAGGCTTGGGTATATTTCAAATTTTCATGTGTGGAACTTTAGCTTTAGAAGGAGCTATATTATTAGCTATATTATGTACCCCTTTAGTTTTTGTTACATTGATTGTTGCTTGGAACTATGAAAGATATTATTTACCTTTGAATACCTTCATTGCTTTAAAAGCAATTCATAATCCTTATAATTTTGATTTGGAATTTGATGATGATAATGATGATATATTATCAGTATCCAAAAACTCTTCTTCTTCTGCAATTGCAGAAGAAGATGAAGAAGAACTCATCACTCCATACAATGATGAAACTTCTTTAATCGATAATCAAGTAATAGATTATAATTCAAACTCTACTACTAAAAGAAGAGTGTCTACAATTGATGAAGAAAGAGAACAATTTACTGATTATACTTACCCATATCTAATCGATCCTTTAAATGGACCATGGATTGGATTTGAAGGTGATTATATTTCAATGGTTGAATATAATCTCAACCAACAAGATCTAGAAGATGGTGACATGAGTGTTTTATCCACATTTGAAGACGAATTCATCTTACGGAAGAAACTAAAGGTTCCAGAATGGGAATAAGCATATATAGTCTAATATAAGACATAAAGTCAATATACATAGGCATAAACTCTAATACATAGAGATCTGAAAAGGTTCCATATAAAGTTATTGTACAATACGCGAAATGAAAAAGGCTGTAAAAAGTCGATGCAAAAAAAAAAAAAAAAAAAAATTTTCATTTTGGCTGAAAATTAGACGAACTCATAATGAATAATTAGACCGTACATTTACAGCCAAAGTAATTCATACATATTCATATATGATCATGTAGACAGTAGACGAAGCCCGGTGTATTTGTCGGTTAGGTTAAGAAGGACTCGAGGTTATAAACAGGCTCGATTGACAATTATCCTCATGACAACGAGTAAAGAATGATTAAAAATGCTGGCTAGGAAGGGATATTAGTTAATGGAAAGGTTTGAAAGGGGGTTTCAGCAGGTTTAACGATTTGACAAACATAGCTTTGTAACTTGTAAGGAACCAATAGCTTGCCAATTAATTTCTTTTTTGGTTTAATCGTCAGATTTAACAAAGGATGAAAATTTTTTTGCATTAAAAGGAGAGAATTGAAAAGATTATATAAAAAAGGGAGGATCCAGGTAAGTTTTGAAGGCCAATTTACATATTTTGGTAATCAAGATAATATTATTTTAATGAGAAACAACTCGTATTAAGGTATTAGAGTAGTTTATAACAAACTAAAAAAAAAAAAAAAAAAGTGAAAAACTGAACAATTTGCAACCATGATATGAAAAAAAAAAAAAGAGAACAGAACCGAATAAAAAATGAAACCAGATGAAATTAATAGAGGATACTAAAAGGAGATACCGAATTACGCGGGGATTCACATCAATCAAAGATGATGATTAGAAATACCCTGAAAAGAAGAAGTTTGTATAAATGAAGAAAATAAAATAAAAAAAAATAAAATAAAATGCAATAGAATCAAAAATCTTTCTTCTTTTTGTTTAAGTTTTGTTTTTGCTTTCTGATAATTGAAATGTTTTCTAATTTTTCTTTTCTTAAGTTTTTATCAATGACGTATAAAGGTTTTTCTAAAGAATAGTCACAATCAATACCGAATTTAAAGCAACTAGTACAAACTGGTCTTAATTCGTCACATTTTAAATGTTTAATACGACAAATCCAACAACCACTTTTCAGTCTTGGTAATAATCTTCTTCTAGTATATTTTTTCGGTTTAGAAGAAGGACTTTCATCATTGAGAGAAGATTTTGAAGTTTTTTTATTAATAATTCTTTTATTACCAACTTCATTAAGAGAAGGATAATTTTTTCTTTCTTTTAAGAATTGAGGAGAAGAATCATGACGAAAGATATTGAGAGGAGGCATGATATTTCTTTGATTATTAATATCTAAACCATTATATTTATTACATAATGGACTAATACCAATTTCTGGAGTTGACAGATTACTTAATTGAGTTTGAATAACCAAATTTTTTTTATTTTGTAAATTATTGAGACGATTTAAAGAAGGTTTTTTCAAAATTTTATGATTATTTGAATAAATTGGAGGAGTAATTGAAGATTGATTTGAAGATTGATTTGTAAGTTGTTGATTATTATATTTAATTGGAATTGGAGCTCTAATATTCAAATCTTCATTAATTGTAGAGTTTGGTGTAAAACTTGAATCACTTAAATTTGAATCATTAATTGTTGGAGTATAAGGTATATTTATAATATCATTAAATTGAGAATTTGAAGTTGGTAAACTTGTTGATTGAAATTGATTTAAAATTGAATCATCATTATTTGTTGATTGATTTATTGAATCAGGTATTGAATCAAATGAAGGATTACCTAAATCAAATTCTCCAATTTGATACATTAAATCATTATTTATAGTTGAATTATCAATTAAATCACTTGATGAATCCATATTTAATTTAAAAATTGGTGGATTTATCGAATTTTGAAAATGATTATCGTTATGGAAACTATTAAGTGAATTCATGGCATTTTGATTAGAGAAAATAGAGTATTGTGAAGAATTTTGTATACTAAAGTCATTAAATGATAAATCATTTAAATCTCCAACCGGTGGTTGGACTTGTACCGGAGGTACTTGATGCTGATGCTGATGTTGATGCTGATGTTGGTGTTGATGAGGTTGAGGTTGATGCTGAGGTTGATGCTGAGGTTGATGCTGAGGTTGATGCTGAGGTTGATGATATCCAATAGGTGGAGGAGGTAAAGGTTGAAAAGGTAAACCAGTTTGATCAAATTGATATAATTGATCAATATTCTGATTTGAAGAACTAATGATAGAACTATTTAATTTAATAGTATCTTCAGTTTCAAAAGTTGAATTTGGAGAATTAACAATTGAATTTGACATGCTATATAGAGATTTTAAAGAAAAATAAGGGAAAAAGAAGAAGTAAAAATTAAGAAAAATCAATGACAAAGTAGTAAAACTACTGGTGAAAATCAAATCACCATCAAGAATTGAAATGAGTGAATTTAAAAGAATGAATTCAAGTTGGTAGTAGGAAAAAAAAGAAAGCAAAATGAAAACAAATTGGTAGTTATTAGTAGTTTGGATAGTTAATGAACAATTTGAAAATCCAATAAAACAAAAAAAAAAAAAATGGAAAACTAAATGGAAAATTTGAAACTAAATGGAATAATTTAAAATAGTAGTAAAGACAACTTTCCAATCTAATTTAGTAGTAATAACCATGATCCCTGTTACAATAATCTTTCTCTTTGGGCAAGTTTAAGCTATTTTTCCCATTATAATTAACTTACCCAAATTGTTAAGGTAATTGATTCACAAAATAAACAGCTTAACTACTAAACATTCTCGATTACAACTATTAGGGGTATGTGCCATTGACTATCTCTTAAACAATCATTCCATTATAATGTAGTACTCCGTACTTATACTTCCGTGTTGTGCTCATACTTGTTGTATCTCGCCATTATTTTCCGAGTTGTTTTGCTAATTTGTCCACTGTTTATTTACCTCGAGGCCATTGTTGTATCAATAAACCCAATTAAACTTTGGTGATTGTGCTTTGAATGCAACAACCCACCGTTTTTGCATCTTTTTTGCATCATTTTCCTCCAACCAATGAAAAAAGCAGAAAAAATCCAGCGAAAAATTTGATGCTCGCTTGAAAAAGGACCGTTTTGAAAAATTTTCATTTACCAACTACTTCTTTTTCTTCTTTAACATATTTTTCACTTCCGGAATACCAGCTACGTTAATGGTACTTTGATTTAACAGTAGCAAAAATGGCCGGAAGGAGATCGACTGGTCCATGGAATAATCCCGTTAGTCACCTGTTGATTAACTGGTTCGCTATGTGGACACACCCCATTCATGTGATTGTAGTGGCTTATCCTTCGATGAACCATCTCAATGGCTAGAGCCATTGTCTGCATTGTTGGCCGAGATAGGTAGTTCGTACATGCTCTTAAGTGCATATTCCGTAACCGCCATCCACATGATAGTAAGATAAGCTCCTCCTTGCGCTTCCCAAGTGTTTCAGAATGCCTCTACAGTAGTTATCTTGAATTATCTTGAAAAATTGTGCATCGACACCTTAAGCAATCATCTTAATACTGCATTATCGAGTTAATATTGCCGTCTGCATAACCTCGATAGCAGTTAAAGCTAACTCTATTTCCAATTGAGATGAGTTGTAAAGCGGTTTCAAACCCAGTCGTGGATAGACCAGTCGTGGATAGACCACCGTGCCGAAAGTTGTCCCGTGCCGAGATTTACCCAGGGGAAGTGAAAGTGCAGTTTGACGCGTGGCAACCTGTAAAACATTTCAATTACCTAAGCCCTTACGTAAGCCGAGATTTTCTCATTAAAAAAACAACAACAACAACAACAACAAAAAAGGGACACAAAAACGCGGGTCTTTTGGTAGTAATTTACCCATAAGGGTCCTGACAACTCCTACTCATTTGTAAATAAACAATCTTGAAGTATAAGAACATAACCCTTCGTCATCTTAGGAAAAGACGGCACTCCAGCATCCAGCCACTCGTTCATATGAAAAGCATTAGGAACTTACCCATCTCATCGCCATCGTCGATTGCGGAATTCAACTCGAACTTAAAGTCCAATATAATCTTGGTGGTGAAGTATCCATTCGAAGCAGAAAATGACCCGGAATTAACCATTGGGAAAGGCGACTTGTTGAAGTTGTTAGATCGTCCAGGAACCGGGTGGCTATTGGTTAAATTCATTGATCGAATGACCAGTCCAGGATTGGTGCCGGCCAGTTATGTTGATATTGCAGTTAACGATCCCATCAACCCAATAACTCTTGATTGGTTACAAGAAATGATCAATAAACCTATACAAACCCCGACATTCAATAACGAATACTTCGAATACCAAATTAATAATTTTTTCAAATCCAATTTACCGAAAACAATTAATAATAAACCATATCCAATAAGTGCATCGATATCGAATTTTTACCTTTATCAAGATAGATACTGGTATCGATTGGATATTATTTATAGTGATAACTCGAAAAACTACCTCTGTAAATATTATCAAGATTTCTATAATTTACATATTAAATTATTAGAAAATTTCGATAAAATACCAAAATTACCAGAACCAATCTCGATTAAATCAGATAAAAATTTAATTAATTCCTTATTGAAAAGATGTAACGATTTGCATATCTATATTAATAAATTAATTTTGAATAAACAAATACAAATTTCTCATCAATTGGTTGATTGGTTAGATATTGATAATAATGAACACGGATTTCGTTTGGGTCATAATGATTCAATAAATTACTCGAATATCGAAATTACAAATAAAGTTCTTCCAAACTCAATCGATATCTTACAAGAATACGAACAAGAAAGTAAATTAGAAAATTCCATGGAATCAAATAACTCCACCAATGACGATACTACAATTGAAACAACCATCGATTCCTTACCGCAAAGAACAAAATCAAAAAACATTTATAATCATTACCAGCAAATTAAAAGTACCACCCTGCCCAAGTTGAGTATATCAACCCAACTTTCACCCAAGAATTCTCCAATTTCAGCTTCCCCGAAACTATTCACCCCCGTGTTGACTTCAATCGATGATTTACCTTGCCAAACTCCATTCACCCCGTTCACCCCAGTCCTGAATCACAATTCCATCCATTCAAGTCCGTTGGGCTCGCTTCCGTCAATCAAATGCAAGATCCTCACTCCTTCAAATGATATTTTGGCAATCAAACTAAATAAAAATGAAATTACTAATTTACAAGTATTCAAAAAACTAATTATGAAAAAAATTTACTTCAATTTCTTATTTATCAGATTACCAAATCAAGTAGATAAATCATTCCATAATATCGATCACTTGAATTTCAACCTAATCGAATTTGTTAAACATAATGATAAAGTCCTACTCAAAATCTCTTAATTTACTTCTTGTGTGTTTTATTGTATTATATAATATATTCTTTTTCTTTTTTGAAACTGCTCGAATATGTACCCTGCTTGAATTACGTCTCTCTGCGCCAGCCTTAGCCTTTCACCGACCATTATCACCCACTATTATCACCCACTATTTTCCCATTATCATGCTGATCGATGATGTTTTGGTGATGGGCGGACCCCGCCCAAAACGGCAATTGCGCTTCCGCAAACGGAAACCGCCCGATCGGGCCAAATACGTCCCTTTTTGTCCGGGAGCCTGGTGGTTGCACTGGCAGACTTGGATTGGGTGTAGCACAAGAACAACAATCAGTAGTATCTGTAGATAGTATCTGTAACGTAGGAGGACCAATAGGAACTAAGATGGCCAAACAATACAGCGTATTGTATTCGGCTAATATTGTTTCACTGAAAATAGTCCCTCCAACATTAGTCAATTCTTCTTTCGCTTAAAATTCCCTCCGCGTACGAGGTGAGCAGATCACTCAATGCTCTGCAAGTAACGTCCATGGATATGTCTGTGTGTATATAAATAAATAGATATATGAGGTATGTATATAGTAAACAGAGTAAACATAGTAAACATAGTAAACATAGTAAACATAGTAAATATCATATATATAGAGGACTCCCCCTTCAAGCACAGGAGACAAAGTCACTTTGCAACAGCACGAATTGAGTCCAAAATTAATTAACCATTTTCGGTGAGAACCTTTTCAAATCACAGATACACGATTTTTCAGCTTTGTTCAAGTTTTTCACATCCATTTGATAATTGTTAAAGACAACCGCAGGAGTGCATTTCAATTTGTGTGTAAAAGCCATAGATTGAATAGATATATATACTGAATATTCCGATAGTTGTAAGGTTTTGATACGTCGTCAAGGCATTTGGTATTTCAGTTTAAAACATTTGTATTAGACTTGAAGAAATTATTCTAGTAAGACTTTAAAAGGATAGAAAGGGAACCCATTCTGTAAATTGGGAAATTTAAGTAGTTGATTAAGAATGTCATCCAGTCTTTTCAAGTCTAAACAGCATAAGTCAAGGAAGAATTTGAAAAAATTGTCAATTTCGGCTCCGTTTGCAAATAGTCCTACTTCGGAAACATGTTCTTCGTTCAGTCCCTATTCATCGACTTCTAATGTAAGTTTCATTCATTCGCCAACGTACTCTTATCCGGTGGTGGTATTAAGAGCCAGATACGATTTCAATCTGGAAGATAATCAAGAAATATCGGTCAAGGCAAATGATTATCTTAAATTATTAGACCGTCCAGGGAATGGATGGATTAAGGTTTCATATTTAGATAAAGTCAATGAAACCGGGCTTATTCCAGCCAGTTATGTGGATATAGCAGTTAATGATCAAGTTAATCCAATTAGTTATGAATGGTTGAATGAATATAAAAGTATAGTGAATGACGAAATAGATGAAGTCCCACCAAGAAGAATATCAATGTATCATTATAATAATTTTGATGAAATTGAAGTTAAAGCACCTAAAATTGATGGTCAAGAGTTTCAAACCAATGTTTATCCAATTGATGTTAAAGTATCAAATGTTTTACAAAATGACCAATCTAGAATATGGTATAAAGTTAAATTTACCATGAATGATGAGTCAGTGGTTTATATTGGTAAATACTATCAAGATTTTTATAACTTGCATATCAATTTATCCATGATGATTGAAAATTTACCTAAATTACCCCAACCAATTAGAACCCAATCTCATATTAAATCGAAATCAATTGATAATTTCATTTCGAATAAACTTGAAGATCAAAAATATTTAGAAAGTTTGATTCTAAGGTGTAATGATTTGAATATCTACTTTAATCATTTATTAAAAATTGATTCCATTAAAAATTGTTTTGAACTTTTAAATTTCATTGATTCGGGTCCTAAAGTTATTAATTGTAACGATTCAAATGTTAATGATTCCTTATATAAAAATTCAATTGACTTAATTGATTTGCTTGAATCTAAAACCCCCCACTCTTTTAGTCCAACTGCTCCATTACCTCCAATCGAATCTAATTATAAATTATCAACTACATCTCCACCTCGTGGTATGGTTCAAAGTACAAGCTCAACTACAATCAATAGTTATACCTCATTAATTGATGACTATGAAGAAGAATCCAAATCAGAAACTTTTGATGAATATAATCAATCAATTGATACTGAAGATACTAGTAGTGAAGAAATGATTGATCAATTCAAATCAATGGATTTACACCAAAGAAATGATTCATTATCAAGTAATAAAAGCTTCCCAGTAACCCCTACTCTCAACCTTTTCGATGATCATTTATTACCATTAACCCCAAACACTCCTATTTTAGAAGATGACGATGAATACAAATTGACAAACCATATCATTTATTCGCCATCCTTAAGTCCCTTGAAGAAAAATCGAAGAACGGGGTCAAATTTAAGAAATTCAATAAGTAACGAAAATATTAAAATTAAAATAATGTTAAATAATTCAGAAAATGATATTATTGCATTGAAAATGAAATCAACCAATTTAATTTCAATCGTTTATTTGAAAAAATTATTAAGTTTCAAAATTTACAAAGATTATAATTTAATTAACCATTATAAATTAATTGTTGCTGATCAAAATTACGACTTAAATGATGACGATTTATTAAATTACATCAAATCAAAATCTAAAGTCACTTTGAAACTCGTAAGAAGCAGATGATCATGATATCCTAATAGACTCTATTCAATTCTCTTATATATTCAAATGTATTATTACTTTTTTCAAGCCCTAATGTAAATCTAATCTTCCGGTCAACGCTACAATAACTCCTACATCGTTTGATTAACCGAATTATAGCTAGCTTGAACCTAATACTTAAAAGGAACCCTCCCATGGCAACCTTCCACTTTAGTAAGGTTGCCTTCTACATAAGCGAGGCTGCTTCCTACTGGAAGGGCACCTAGGACCGACCAGTCTAGACTGCCTGCCCGTTTTACCACCCTGCTACCACGGCCAGTACCATGAAAATTCAGCTACAACAACTACTTCCTGCCACAACTACCACCCCTCCACCAACCAATACTACATCAGCTACATCAACTACAACAACTGCTGAACATGGACAAGACAGGCAATGCAGCAAGCAGAAACCGGTACACCTTTTAAGCAAAGCTGCCGAAAAAATTTTCAACTAGGCGAATCCTCACAAAAACAGCTCAAGAGTAAATACTCCCAACATGATAACATCAACCTCACAACATAATAGGCCAAAACAGGTTACTAACCATTGGCAGGCTGCAAATAGCAATAGATAAACACCAGAAGGGCAAATGAACAAGTTTCAGTCCTGGAATGTAAATCCTTCAAAGAATAGTAGAATGACCTTCTAAAAAGATGATTTTTTTTTGCAATTGAAACTTGCTGGAAGAAGCTTGATGCACTGTAGCCTCATAGGTAAAACTTGTAGACTTTGTGAGATGAAAGAGGTTTAGTTAACGCATTCGTTAACGCATTTGTTAGGTGGGTAAAAGTACGAAGTACGCCTTATCTTGGACGACGTTTGTGGAAAGTTTTAGGCAAACGTTTGTGAAAGGTTTCTATAAAGTCAAAAAAATCAGAAGCTATTTCATTAGGTTTATTGGGAACAATTAACTAGGTAATTTTTGGCTAAAAACCAAAAGAGTCATCATTCTTACTTCTTTCATTGGTATAATATATATATATGTATATATAAATTAAATCAATTACTTATATAATTGATATTTCGATCTTGATCTTGATATTTTTGAATACCAGCAATACCCAAATACATTAATTAAGCCATACATCCAGCAAGGCGGATTTTCATTCTTTATATAAAATTGAAGTATTATTCCTAAACAAATAATCAAAGGCTAAACCAATGATTCTTTCAAAATTAGGTCTTAGAAGGAAATCTTCTATTAGAGATACGGCGGATTTAACTTCGCTAACTCAGATTGACAATGAATCAATGGCCACTTTAACAACCATTCCTCCAATTAATTCTAGTGACATTTCTTTACCAAAATTACAACCACAACATATCCAAAATCGTCTTCCTGATATCCATAATCGTCATCTTGATAATATCCAAAATCGTCATGAAAATCTTACTCATGATGCTAATTCCACCGATGAATCAAGTGTTTTTGATTCGATACCCGAATCAACTGATGATTTCAGTATTCATACTTCGAAAACAAGACCAACCAGTTGTTATGTCACTCCTCCATTACCTCAAGATAATCCTGAATTCCCAAAGAAGAGATTATCCTTCCGTAATAGCTCCTCAGTAAGTAAAAGATCGTCTTTATACTTGACTCCAAATATTTCTCCCGATGAACTTGATTATCAATATTCAAATCATCATCGCCAATCTCTGTCAATTGATAAAAAATTCCAACTTGCTAAAACCGTGGAAGATGATGAAATACCAAAAAGATCAAATCTACGTCCAGCTTCTCCTAAATTAAGACCTTCTCCCCTGTTCAATTATCCAACTACTCCTCATATTCCTAAAAATTATTCTGATTTCATTAGTGATTCTCCAGATTCTTCTCCTTCTCCTTATCCTTCACCCTCTTTATCAATTCAATCAAGAAGACCTTCCACCTCACTTCCTCAAATTACTTCAAAAGATTTAAATTCTATTTCTCCTCTACAGAACTTGGACCGGGTTTTAAATCATAAACCTCCCGTTGATCAAATTAATGATAGTAGTATTAGCATTAATACCGATTCAACGGTGAAACCAAGTTATATTCCTAAACTTAACAAACTGGAAAGTATCCTCAAACTAAAACTCTACTTGGGCTCTAGAAATGAATCAGTAATGGCCTTGAAATTGAAAAAGGATAAACTAGATAATATCGATGAATTAATCGATGTTTTAATTTATAAAATTATCGAAAAATTTAATAATTTAGATCTTTCTGCAAATCAAATAAAAATATCCATTTTCTTCAAAAATCCAAAATTAAAATCAATCATTATGAAAAATTTTGGCCCAAAAGAATATAACGATGAATTTAGCTTTCTACAAAAAGAATTACTCATGGATTACATCTCCAATAAAGATAAACTATATATAAGAGCAGAGTTTAACAGTAATTATTGATTTTTGCAGCTGGCTGCGATAGTTCGACCTTTATATCTTGTAAAACTTTAATAAAATGGATTATACCTATTTTTGAAGTAGTTTTTTGTTGATAATTGTCCTTTTTTTTGGATTTTTTTTCTGTTTTGTTTTATTCCTTCCCACGCACCCTCTTCGTTTTTTGTTTTTAAACTCAATTTTTTTTTGAAAAAGCCTTTCAACACGTTGTTGTATCCTTTTATAATAACCCCCAAGTTGCTGCTATTGAAGGTGTTAGGGATGATATAGTGTGAAGTTTGAGCAAAAATAACTGAAGAATGACGGATATCTTTAGTATGGATGATGTTTCATCACAACTTGATAAAGTCAATGAAGAGTCATTGAATTATAAACTTATTGATGAAGAAATTAAACCATCTCAGAGTAAAGAAGAAGACCTTAATGATACCCTAACGGATCTACCCACTCCAATACCAATGAATCGTCGGAGAAGAGCATCCTCGACATCCAAATACTCATCATCTTTTGAAATCGATATAAATGAATCGTTTGTTTCTCCGTTGAATAGAAATAGTCCCTATATCGAATCTTCGATTAAATATAAACCAAAATTGTCAGACTTCATCCCTTTGAAAGTCTTGGGTAAAGGTGCTTATGGTAAAGTTTTATTAGTAAAAGAAAAATCAACTGGTAGATTATTTGCTCAAAAACAATTGAAAAAGGCATCACTTATCATTAATGAAACTAATCAAGTTAATGAAACCAATTTGAAAAGAACTTTGAATGAAAAATCCATTTTGGAAAAAGTCAATCACTCGAATATAGTGAAACTATTCTATGCTTTCCAAGATAATAATAAAGTGTATTTAATATTAGAGTATTTAGATGGTGGAGAATTATTCCATCATTTGGCTCAAGAAAAATTCATGAGTGAAAAAAATTCGGCCTATTATATTGCTCAAATCATCTTAGCATTAAGATACTTACATTCAGAATTGAAAGTCATTTATAGAGATTTAAAACCTGAAAATTGTATGTTAAACTCTGAAGGTAATTTGGTCTTAACCGATTTTGGTTTGTCAAAAGTTTCATCCACTTCAGATTCAAAACACTCGATGATTGGTACTGCTCAATATATGGCCCCAGAAATTTTGAAAGGTGAACCTTATGACTATTCTGTTGATTGGTGGTCACTTGGTTGTGTAATTTATGATTTATTAACTGGCTCACCTCCATTCACTGGTAACAATAATAAAAAAATTATGGACAAAATTATAAGTGCTAAAAAAAATTTAAAGTTTCCCTTTTATCTTTCAAATGATGCAAAAGATTTATTAAGAAAATTATTACAGCCTAATCCAGATAAAAGACTCAACATTGATGATGATTTTAATAAGTTGAAAAATCATCGTTTCTTTAGATTTGTCGACTGGAATCATCTACAAAATTTAAATGATGAAGCTTATAAGAAACAAATATTGGAAACTTCAGATTACGTCTTACCTCCAATATTACCTCTTATAACTGATCCTGAATTAGCAGAGAATTTCGATGAGGAATTCACTGAAATGCCCTTCACTCCACCAAATTCAAATGGATTCCTTAATATAGATAAAGATGACGATTTGAAACCTGATATCTTGCATGTCAGAGGGTTTTCATTTACTAATGAAGATTACCTCAAAACCGCATTCGATAAATTTTAATTCTAGATAATTTAATATTTAATAGGAAATATGAATATATATTTATAAATAGACTTATAAAATAAATTAAAAATAATCATAAAAACAGTAAGTGACACTAAAGAATTGAAATGAAAAATGCTAAATAATTGAGTAATAATAATACACCAAACTAATGAATAAAGTGAAGTTGATTAAAACTTCGTAAATGATACTAATCTTAAAAGATTTGGCAAACTGATCATTTAAATAATTTAAATTGAAAAATTTGACCATCATAATTCCCAAAAACATTAAAAATAAATTGAAATGATTAATTGATACTATTAAGTAAGGTAAGGAATAAGCCATAAACCCAATCGAGTCCCAGAAAAAACAATTCAAGTTGACTATTATGAAATAAATACAGTTGAAATCCTTGCACACATAATCAAAGTTCTTGAAGAATGGATCAACCTCAAATGGTGCTTTAAATGTATGGAGATCATAATCAAAATAGGTCAATACATATTGTTCGAACCTATCATAGTTTTGTCTGTTGCTGCAAACTGATGAACTGTTAATCTTTTTGCAATTAGATTCTAAATCATCAAAACATGAATCAATATTACCCATTGAGTTACAAGTCACATTAGAGTTGAAAGAAAACGAGTCATCAGGTATTGACCGTTTTCTTAACGTATACAGAGACAATTTCTTCTTGATTACTGGATCGGTTGGATCTCTTTTATTCCTCTTAGGAGTAGGAGATGCCAATAACGATTGCAATTCTTCATCGGATGCGATTGGCAATAAAGGGTTCAACCATTGAAACCAGTTAATAAAACCAATGATTTTCTTTTTATAATTTTTAGATTCCCTTTTAAAAAGTTGATTCTCGCAACTTCCATAATCTTGGTTGTCACCGTTGTTATGGTCATAGTCGAATCCACCACCACCTCCGGCACCACCTCCGATTTTAGTACCATTTGGAAGTTTAATTTTGAAATTGGTACCACCACCACCACCACCACCAAAGTGGTCATTACTTTTAGGGGAATTATCATCTATTTCTTCATCATTATCAGAATTGTGGTCATAATCTATACCACCACCACCACCGGCACCGAATCCTATTTTAGTACCATTTGGAAGTTTAATCTTATAGTTGTTACCACCACCGCCACCACCACCGAGATGATCACTACCTTCAGCAATAAAAGGCGAGTTTCCATCAAAGTCTGGTCCTTCATATGATTCAACATTATAATCGTTAAAATTTATTGATTCGTTATCGGAATCAAGGCTGGAATCTTGCTTTGAAACTGCGCAAGCAGTGGCATAGTTCAAATGATAAGTATTTTTAGGAGATATAGAATACAACTTATCAACCAAATGATAACATGATTTGAAGTTTGAATTTAATTTTTTTGACAGTTGATTTGAATTTTGATCACTATTACTCAGGCAAGAATCTGATTTTGACATTATAGGCATTGATTGAATTTTATTCAAGGAGCCTTTACCTGCCAGCGAAGAGTCATTGAAAGAGCTCAAATTGAATTTAGGAGGAAATGGGATTTGATCCGAATATAACGTATTGGTGGTTTCAACCGAATTACGATCGATTCTAATTGGGAACTTATCATTTAAAGGAGAATCCGGATTTGAAGAAATTGATGAATATCTAACCATCGAGTCTGCTAAGACCATTGCTGCGTCTGTTTTATCATTCACTGATGCAACTTCATGATCCATCCACATATCATATAGCTCCAAAAACTTTGAATAATTTCTCTTATATTGGAAAGGTGAATAAACCCAGCAAGTGATTAAAAATTTGGCCATTGAATAAATGAAAACTCCGAGATTGAGCTGTAGAATGCTCCACTTATAAGGGGATTCATCGGCAGTATCAATAATATCATCAAAACGAGTATGAGGACGTGCAAGGTAAGTAATGATGGATAATTTGACTAATTCTTTCAATGTTGGAAAGTAAAATCTTTCGAATTTGGAATTCTTACGACGATCATAATTACTAACTAGTCTTGAATTAGTATTTGCTTTAGCAAAAATGTCATCAAGTAATGCAATAAGTTGAAGCAAAAATGGTGTTACTCCACAAAGGAAAATCACTTTCCCAATATCACAGCCAGCCGGGAAATAGTGATATGCTTTATTTGATATTTCTATTAGACCATCAAGTTGTCCAACCAATGCACAGCTAACCAAGTAAATCAGAACCGTCACCGGTATACCAAGCAGTATAAAAGTCAACAAATGCATCCTTAAGCTCCGGCCTATTAACCTCTCTGGATGCCCGTTACTTTCTTACCTATTTAACCTGTTTATACCAACCGTAACTACCGCTTTGTTTCAACAGTCTCGGATTCAGGGTCTAACAGTATAACCGAATTATCCAAAAAAAAAAAAAAACACAACACTAACTCAATATCCTTATAGCTTTTTAAGGTAAACTCAGCAACTCGAACTTCCAGGGTCCGTCAAACAATATCCTATTGTTTTAACACTAATGATGATAGCTTTATTGTACTAAGCTATAAGCGGTAAAGCTAAAAACATCGGAGCCAATAGAAGCTTTTGATTATTCATCAACAAATGCGGGAAACTTGAAATGTACGGGTGCAATCGTTCTGTATGTACGGGTGTGATTCTGGATAACGAATGAAAAAGTCTGGGGACATAAAGACCTTATTAATACGAATATACCAACAAACAGGATGGGTAAGAACGTTATACCATTGGAATCGAACCCAGAGATATTTAATGGCCTTTCAGAGAAGCTCGGATTGTCACCCGTGCTTCAATTTCAAGATGTTTACTCGATAACTGAGCCGGAGTTGCTTGCCTTTTTGCCACAACCAATTTATGCTTTGATTATGTTATTCCCAATTACTGGAGGTAATGAGAAGTACAGAATCGAGCAAGACCAAGGGTTAGCAGATTCGTCTCATAACGACTTCAAGGAGATCAAGTGGTTCAAACAAACCATGGGGAACGCATGTGGGTTATATGCTTTATTACATATATTAACTAATTTACCTAAAGATTTCATTATTGACAATTCTATATTGAATAAAACCTTTTTATCTCAATTGGATGCTGATTTGACAACTGAACAAATTGAAAGTTTGATCGAAACGTTAGAGTCCAATATTAATTTGGATGAAAATTTCGGTAATCAGGGCCAAACTGAAGCTCCTAATGCAGATTCGGATATTGATTTGCATTTTATCACGTTCATAAAAGGTAAAGATAATCACTTATACGAGTTGGATGGAAGAAGAAAAGGACCGGTTGATTTGGGATTATCAATTGATGATAAGCACATACTTAATGATTCAAAATTAATTGAAAAAATTCAATTCTACATGAATAATACTGATGAAGCCAATAAAAATAACTTTGCTTTAATGGCAGTTGGTCCGTCTCTTGACTAATGTTTATATACTTTATACTTGACCCTTGATGTCAATTTTTCTAAAACCAGTTTGTACAGTAATGCCTTGTACTATTCCTCTTGCAGAAGCACAATCGAAATCATTGTCTTTTGCAAATTGGATTAGATTATGACGTTTGAAAAAATCAAAAATGTCTTCTTCATCATGATTTTCACTTGTTCTGAATGCTAATTCATCAATTAAAAAGGAAATTGAGATTTTCCTGTAAGTTTTTGATATTATATTTAGTGCTTTAATTCTTTCCTTATTAATTAAGAAATTTTTAATTAAATGAAATCCTAAATTCAAATCAATCGACCTAAATTCTTTATATATTTTGAAAAAATTATGATAATCACCTAAAACTTGAAAGTTTTGTAGATCGAATGATTTTTCAATACAATTAAATATTTTCAATTCATTCTTCTTCCCATAATTTTCAAAATCTCTTTTAGAATATATCTCGTATCTTATTTTGAATATCTCGGGATAATTCCCCATCATTAACATATAAAGTATTCTATAGAATGTAAATTCTAAATCGTTTTCATTAAACTTTTCATTATCAATTCCAGCTTGTTTCTGTTTATGAATATAGTACAAGTACTTTAATTGAGATTGACATTGGTTAAACTCTCCCAAATCATTATTTTCAATGGCTATTCTGGCATGAGATTCATAAACTTTCAAAGTTAACTCATTCTTTATATGTTGTACGGTGAGATCCTGTCTTATAGATTTAAACTGATTATTCAAATACGAATATGGGGCCCCTTCTTTAAGATACTTATTCAAGACATATTCAAGACTCTTCTCCAAGACCTTTTGTGGTCTTACCCTCGACGGCTCCGGCTCAGAAGTCAACCTAAGGTAATTCTTTTCTAAATCTTGACAAGTTCCCTTGATTGGTTCTCCTTTTCTATCGATGCTTAAAGCCTTCTTCCCCACTGGTTCTGGAGTGAGAGAGTCTGAAAATCTTGCCATTCGCTGCTTCTTCCTTTCGTCTGATTTGAAATCACTTAATAAGTCATTGGTTCTTTTATTACTCTTCTTATTCTTAGATGGGAGCATCTTTGTTGAGCTGGGTATTGGTTCCACGTTAATTTTCGTATTGCATTCAAGTTCGACTGGCAGCCTCACGCCTTCAAACACTGGTAACTTCTGTAACTGCCAATTATTTTCCCATAGTTTCCCTTCATCAAGTGCCTTCAATAAAATTTGTTGTATCTGTTCATTGAATTGGACTTTTTCAGACTCACTCAATGAGTTAGATCTCTGGTAACATTCATTCACAAACTGATTCAATGATGGGGGCCATTGTTCATTAGTATTCGTTGTACTTGAAGATACCCCTGTGGTACTTGTCAGACTAGCTGATGAAGCAGTTTCTGAAGCACTAGATCTGGAAAATGGGGATATTTCATTCGTTTTTTTGGCATTCTTATCCTTCTTATGCTTCCCTAGCTTCAAACTACTCACCTCATTATATATATTGCCGGCCATATTACTATTTTCTATTATCTTCTCCTTTATGAGAGGTATCAAAGAACTACAAAGAAAAAAAAAAAAACTCTACTGAAAAATTAAAGTGGAAAAAATTAGCGTGAGACTCTCTTTAATACTTTAAACTTAGTTCAACACCAACAATTCTTTATTTTGATTCTAACTAGAAGGAAAAGATAGTCTATTGCCATAAGGGAGTCTTTTATCAGGCAATTGCTTCATGTCTTAACTGCTTACTTGTCTTTTAACCATTTTTTATGAGTCCAAGTTAATTGAGAAAGAATAAAAATGAGATCGACTATATTCGATAAGGAGCCTTCAAGGCAAATATCCGACTCTAAATATGCTTCAAAATTGAAACAGAAAAATGCTTCGCCGATGATTTCGAGTAACGGCTCGTCTTTGATGGCGTCGAACAATTCTTCGTTGAATCCGGGTAAAAAGTCGAGATCATCTAGTCCTTATATAGGTCCCAATGGGGCCAAAGTGAATCGAGTAACTTCTTCAAGTGGATCGAATACTACCCCTAATTCAAACAGGAAGGTACCTTCAAGACCAAGTACCTCCGCGAGTAATGGTGTAAACGGCGCTACAAGTCATAAACCAAATTGGAATTTCGATGAGATGGTGAATTCGTATAACGAAAATGGATCATTACCAAATATATTGTCCCCTACTTTACCTACACAGTTTGACTCAGATGACGACAAATCAGCGATCAAAAGAGATCCTCCTCGGTTATCGCTTTATGATGGAGCTAGAGAGAAAGAAGACGACGATGGAAAGAGAGATAACGAATCAGGACGGATCCGATCAAGCCCCGTTGACGTGGGTATGGAAAGTGATGTTGAAATTAAGAAGCATAATGGCGACAGTGATGATGACTTACCACTTTCAATGCTTTCACCAACGCTACCATCAATTTTCAACCAACCTAACGAGTTGAGTCATTCAAAAAAGGAATCACCTACAAAACTAGCTCAACCAATTCCAAAAAGACATACCGAATCCACCATTCTTAATCAAAATGCATCTAGTAAACCAAGGTTTGCTAAAAAGACCAACGTTAGATGGATCAATAAGTTAAACGATCAAAAAAGGCCCAGGTTCCTATTGAGAATAACATATGATCCAGAAAAGAAATTGTCTGATAAAAAATATGCTGGATTAGGCATACTGGTTGGCAAACCAGACAACAATTTAGAATCGAATAGAGAACTAGTTGAAAGACAAAGAAACGAAAGAGAAGAGAAGGATAGAGTGAAGATGATCGAAGATAAAGAAAAGAAAAAGGAGAATGAAAGAATAAAAGAAAGTGAAAGAAAAGAAAAAGAAAGAGAAGAAAGGGAACGAAAACAATATGAACTAAGAAAAGAACGTGAAGCTAAAGAAAAGGAAAAAAGGCAACAGGAACTGAAGCAGGAGCGTGTACCCAAAGAAAAAGATATCGAACCAAAGGAAAGAGAAATGAAAAAATTAAAAGATGAAAAGATTGACGTCAAAGAGAAAATTGTTCCACCTGCTCCTCCAATAATTCCTCCTAAAACAAAGCCCAGTGGTAATGGAGAAGCAAATCGGAAAGCTGAACAATTGAGACAGTTGAATGAAGACTTAATGAGGAAAGAAGAAGAAAAAATTAAGGATATTGAAAGGATACGAGTCGAAAAAAATCAATCACCATCGCTTGACCATTACCAAGATGGCGAATTAAATAAAAAATCACAAACTGATTATAAAGATGGCTTAATTAGTAAAAAAAATTATTGGATTAAGCATGCTAGAGACTTGAATAATCGCATAGATGGCATAGGAGGTTTCAAGAAAGATGCACACAAGCTAATAGTGATGAAATTTGATTTACTATTGTTGTACATGATAGCCTATGATTACGATGAAAAACTGAAACTTATCATGAATATATTACCAAGTGAAAGAAATTGGAATTCAATATATCAGGATGTAACCACATTGATAAACCAATTAGAAAATTATAACAAAACAATTGATGCATCCAATAAATTTAAAAATTATATCATGATCTTTATCGGAATATTACTACAGTTGAAAGGAATTATACATAAACGGGTCAATTCGATATTGCAAAAAGTTATTGAGCTGTATATTAAGAAAAAGTCTAATCAAAATAATGAAGTCACTAACGAATTGAATAATAAAATTATTGAACTACAACAACAATTAATCAATAACTGGTCATCAATTATAACCAACTTTGCCAAAGCACAAAATTATTTAGACTCATTGCAAATATTAATTAAATTATTTCCTAACACTTGGCAGAAAAGAAAATCAAAGATTCAACCACCAACAACCAAATTGAAAAATAGTTTTGTACCCAATAATGATTCCTATTATCTACCGATTAATTCATATAGTGATTTGAATGAAATAAGCGGATTCATGTATAATATTATTAAAGAGTTTAATGAAACTTTTATGACTGAAAATAGTTATAAATTAATATCTGGCTATAAATAAACTGATTATTTTTTCTTTTTGACTTCCATGTATTTTTCTTTATAAATCCAACTATTACCAATTGATTTTGCACCGAATAATTCACTTAATCTTAACCAAGCAGCTGCTAAATAATGATCTTTTTTATGATATTTTGATTTATTACACCACATTTCCCCTAATTGAATCATTGAATTTACATTACCCAATGAACCAGCTTTTGATAATAAAGTGATACCAATAACTTCATCACTTTTTTTCAACCCCCATCCATTTATAATGGAATTACCTAGTTCATGATAAGCACAGTACATAACATTATTCTGTTTATTTAAATTATTGATTAATTTTGATAAATTGGATTCACCCATTTGATTAAAGTGATTATATATTTTAATTGGATCATCATAATCTTTTTCTTTTAATAACGATTTGTAAATCATTGAAATCATTTCTTCTGGTTGTAAATCGTTCAACTTGGTCACGTAGTTATTCAAAGTTATTGAAATATTTGGGGCATCAGAAGATCTCAAAGTGTCATACATGATTGAGATTAAAATACTTTTAACTAACCATTTTAAACAATGACGATCGTTTTTCTTAACCCCTTGACCGAATCTCAAAGCCAAAGCATAGAGATACATGGCCTTTGGATAATTGTTTGGACGATTGGCGGCTATTTGTAATTGGTAAGAAGCTTCACGATGATTTCCCATACTACGTAGTTGTATAGCCATTTTGGTTCTTGATTCAACTGATAATTCTGAGTTTGGAGGAGCTGGTGACGGATTAGGGCTTGAACTTATTGATGAAGGACTGGTATTTATATTATCTGAGGTAACTCTTCTTTGCTGAGGAGATAAGCTAGGAGGTTTAGGAAAAGAATCATTGGAAGAATTTGTCGAAACAATTGGTGCACTTGGACTTCTGCCTAAAAGGTTGTGGGGAAGAGCGTTTGGAGGATTAAATGATTCAACATTTGCTGCTGATTTCAAATCTAAAGAGTCAGCCAAAGATTCATTCGAGTTCCGCAAAGTTTGATCAATTGGTCCCGGATGTTTAAAGACTTCATCGTCTGAAATGCTTGTATCGTCATTATATAAATCATTTTCGATTATTCCAATTGAAGCACTAGAGTTACCGGTGTAGGTATCAACCGAATTAATGGTTTCATTATCGGAATCGTCTTCAATTGGCTGATCAACGGTATATTCCGACTTCATTGAAGAATTTCTTGATAATTGGAAATCAGCGCTGAACGAGCTAATTGAGTTTGATCTTTTCGAGTAAACTACATTAACGTTTTTAACATTAACTGATTTTTTCCTTTGTAAAGCTTGTTGTTGTTGATTTTGATTGTTGGGTTTTGGTTTATTGATCACACTGTTTAAAAACTGTTGAGCTTGTTGAGGGTTCCTTGGTAAATGATTAGGAGGATGACGTTGATGCTGAAGATTTCCAGTTAAATGATTTGTAGGTTGGCGTTGTTGATGTTGATGCTGAAGATTTCCAGCCAAATGATTTGTAGGTTGGCGTTGTTGATTTGTAGGTTGGCGTTGTTGATGTTGAGGTAAATTAGGCTGTCTTGGATTAGTTGGTCTTGGTTGATGAGGTTTTTGTATAGTTGAATTTCTTTTAACAAATTCGTCATCATCTAAGCCTAGACGATCTAGTAACCTTCCCGTAGATTGAATTGAAATCATTGAGTCTCTCCGCAGTGGGTCAAATTCATCATTATCATCATCAAGTGGTATTGGGTCATTAGAGTCATTATTAAACACATTATTATAAGGAATTTCGTTATTTGAGTGATTGTTAGCATGATCATTGACTTGATCATCTGAAGTATCATTATCAAGACCTAACCGATCTAATAATCTACCATTAGTACTAACCGAGTCAAACGAATAAATCGAGTTCCGTTCATTATAATCATCCATTTTTTTATCAATTGAAGTCTTTTCTTGTAATTTTAAATGTAAATTTTGATTCAATTCCTGATTTATTATTGGACTACTTATTAACCTATTGGATTCTGGAGTCGCTGAATTGGTTTTGGCATTAGCTACTTGAATCTCCAAAAGTTGCAACGGAGAACTAATCAACTTTTCGTGATGATTCTTCGACAAATTCGTGTTTAATTTATTCAATTTGGGAATCAGCATAGGCGTATGTTTACATCAGAATAAAAATAGCTCTCTCCTCCTGGAAGTGTGTGATTCAATTAGTGTATAGGTCAATTATACAAAGTATTTGGAACACCGTCTTGCCAGTAATAACTATTAGAAATAACCTTTTACTTCGAATGGTTTATATACTATTTTGACGGTTACCTGAATATACACGATTGCATTACTTATTGATACAAAAGAAGACCTTTTTGACGGTTGATTAAACTTTCCCTCGGTCACGTGACCGCATCCCATGCCATAACAAAATTTTTCACTACGAAGCTCCCACTGTTTCTTACGTGTATTCTAGTGTTGGTTTAGTAGGGAGCTGTTGGGTGATTAGCGGTTGATGTTGTGCTTACTCGGGGTATTCGAGGTGTGCTAGCCGAGGCTTGGTCCTGCTCGAGAGACTATACTGTTTTTGCTCGAGGTTTGAAAATGTCCCGTTTGAGCTACTCTTATATTCAGGTACTGGTAAGACTCTTAACCTTCTGTGCCTGGAACGCTGTATACAGTTAAAACCGCCAAAAACTGCAAGCAACGATCCTTTCCGGCTTGTATACCGGGTTTTGAGCTTTCACATACTCCTGTAGTCTATTTATAGAGGAGGTTTAATTTTGCAACTCTTATTGATCTATATATGTATTATACTAATAAATCTCTACTTTTAAAGTCACCGTCAACTAAGCTGTTATAAGTTTTATAGATCAACCCATCTTTCATTACAAAATTCAAGTGAAGTTCTGGTTCATCTAATATAGTAATGTCTTCTAAAGGATTTTTATCGAGTAGGATGAGATCAGCAATGTAGCCGGGTTTGATCTGACCCAACTTATCATCCAAGCCATTCATCTTGGCCGGGTTGACTGTGGCTGACATTAAGATATCGTGGTTTGTTAAAACTTTCGAACGGATGAAAAATTCCTGCGTTTGATAAGCTACCAAGGGACCAAGTAAGTCACTTCCATAGCACATGGTAACACCGTTTCTCGAAGCAATTTGTAATGACTCTAACCCTTTGATCAAAACTTGTTGGTTTTTCTTTTGGGTTGATTCACTAACATAAAATTGAAATTGGTCGCTGGCCATGATCTTATAAGTAACCAAAGTTGGTGTAAGATAGCAGTTTTTCTCAGCCATTAGTTTAGCAGTTCTATCGTCGATTAAATTCCCGTGTTCAATACCTTTGACCCCGTTCGTTATACAGTTCTGAATCAGCTGTGGAGTATAAGCATGGGCAGTCACATAAGTGCCATAACTATTGGCAACTCGAACAATGGCTTGTATTTCGTCTTCACAGTATTGGACGTTGCTGATTTTGTCCGTGGGTGATGCAACACCTCCACCTCCCATTATCTTGATGAAGTTTGCTCCTCTTCTTAACTCTTCTCTCAGTGCTTTATATACCTCTTCAACTCCATCGGCAATAACTCCAACAAAATTAACATGGCATGAGCAGCTATCGTAGCTCAGGCCAGGAACATCTCCGCTTCTTGTATCACCATGTCCTCCAGTTTGTGATATGGCATGACCAGCAATCACCATACGGGGGCCCAAAATGATCCCCTGCTCAATGGCTTTGCTAACATAACTTTCACAACCTCCACAATCACGTATAGTGGTGAACCCTCTAGAGAGCATCATTTCACAGGTGTTACCTACCAGCATCAACGATTTGGTCTTCACCATATTCATACAGCCTTCCAAATCCTTCTCTCCTGGAACGACGGTTACATGAACATGGTTATCGAAAAGTCCAGGACAAAGATACTTGCCATGACAATCAATTTCAACCGAGCCTGACGTATCGAAAATGTCCTGGGAAATTGTCTCGATAACCCCATTGCTGACAAGAACATTGGTTCTGGTATTTGTTTGATTCTTGACAACGTCAATCACATTAACGTTCTTGAATAAAAGTCTTCGAGGTTTGGGAAGGGCACTGGGTTGCAAGATTTTGCTAAGGGGTTTAGTGACCCTTTCGTTGACATTAATAGTAGGCGTAGAGTATTGCATGCTTGAATGTATAGTTCAATACTTCATAAATCCCAATTGTTTTTCTTTATACATGTATATATATATATATATATATATAATTGCCCTTTATCACCCGTAAAATGCGTTGCGAAACCTTATGATTTCTTATCAATTTATTACGAAAATCGACAAAAAAGCATTGTTCGATCCTTTGTTCCCCCCAACGTTTATTCTAATTGGAAGGACCTTCCGCTTTGATAGGAGGAGTTCTTTTAACCCACTTGGAGTGTTTCGATATTCCGTTACTTCTAAGGGTGGGATTGTTGCATGGTTGCAAATCGGCTTTCGTTTTTTTTCCGCTTGGTAAGAAAAGGAAATTTCCAAAACCGACTGCTGCTAAAGATAAGATATGCTTCTTACAACGGTATCCCTTATAGTGAATGTCTATATAACTGGAAACTATTCTTGGTGGCCAATGTATTTATTGAAAAAGGCAACAACAAGAAAGGAAAATGGAACATCTCGACAAACCCAATGAGAAACAGCCAGTCGTTTCGGTAAGGCCAGAAACTCCAAACGACTTGGTGGATTATACTGAAGAAGAGGAAAGTGCAACCGTGAAACGTATAGATATGGTGGTTTTGCCAGTTATGTGCTTGGTATACTTCATGCAATACATAGATAAACAGCTTCTCTCTTACACCGTGGTATTTGGTTTGAAAGAGGATTTGAATTTAGTAGGTGAACAGTATTCGTGGTTGAGTAGTGGATTCTACATCGCCCAATTGGCTTCACAAGTTTGGAACACATTTGCCGTTAGTAGGTTTCCAATAAAAGCGGTCACTGGAATATCGATTATCCTTTGGGGGGTTGCATGTTTGTGCCATGCCATCCCAAACAGTTTCCCCGGGTTTTTAGCAACCAGAATAGTCCTTGGATTTATCGAAGGGATAGTTAGTATCTCTTTTGTTGTTATTACTTCATGTTACTACAGAAAGAAAGAACATGCAACCCGAGTTGCGTCTTGGGTATCGATGAATGCTATTGCTCAAGTGATTGGAAATTTTTTGGTTTATGGAGTTGCAAAAAACCCCTCCTTGAAACTTTCCGTTTGGAAAGTCAGTTACTTAATCTGTGGGAGTATGACTTTGGCTGCTGGTATAATTTTTTTACTAGTCTTGCCTTTGAGTCCCCTGAAAGCATGGTTTCTTAATGAAAGACAACAAACAATTGCAGTACAGCGTATCTTGGTTGAAAGTGATAGAGGAGAACGTAATTCTTTTAATAAACAACAGTTGGTTGAAAGTTTATCTTTCGACTGGATCACTTATAGTTCTTTTTTCTTTGGGTTTTTGGTTACAGTCACCTCCGGTCCAATTGTTTTCCTGTCCTTATACCTTTCTCAAATGGGGTACACTGGTTTTAAAGTTTTAGAATATGGTGCCCCCTCAGGAGCAGTTCAACTAATTGCAATTTGGGTTGGGGTTGCACTTTGCTATAAATGGCCTGACCAAAGATGCTTAATCATAATGTTTCTTACTTTAGTCCCAATAGTTGGTAACATTTTGTTATTAGCATTACCAGAAGAAAACCATTGGGCAGGAATTGTAGGGTCATGGCTAGGCAGCTGCATTACGAGTTTCATGAGTATTACCATATCGTTAAATGCCTCCAACGTTAGAGGGAATACTAAAAAGTCTGTGGTTAACTCTGCATTCTACTTGGGATACGATTTAGCAGCCATCATATACCCGCAATGGTGGAACTATTCTAAAGACCCCAGATACAGAGTGGGACTAGCTGTTGATATTGCCTTTTGGGTAATTTTCGAAATTCTAGTTTTCAGTTATAGATTAATGGCTAAATATGAAAACAAGAAAAGAGACAACATGACTCACATAGAACCCTATGATGAGGACCATGATTTGACCGATAAACAGGATAAGTATCATAGGTATAGTTATTAACTTTTGTACTATGAAAGTAATTCGACGTAATTTGCCCTTCTACATTATTCACCACTAGACTATTCGACGGCACTACCGGCTAACGATACATAGTTCTTGCCTTCAACGTAGGGCATTCAATCAGAATGCTAGTATTGTAGAGATGGGTTCAGGTCGTTCTGGTGTACGGCTGTACGGCAATTTACCTTAATTGGAAGGGCATCAGCCGGTATCTGTCAAGAGGATCTTTTGCACATATATACAACAGCAACTGCTTCTTTTTTCTTCAGTTTAGATACGCTAAGATGAAACCCGAAAGTAAGACTCCTCAAGTTGATCCATCCACTTACTCGAACTATCAACAATTCCAAGTAATTGATTCGAAATTGCATTTTGATATCAATTTTGAGGAAAAATTAGTTGATGGAACTGTTACATATAATTTAATTCCAAAAGAAACTAAGGACATTGTTTTGGATACTTCATATTTGACTATCAAGTCAGTATTTGTCAACGATGAATCCAGTGAATTTTCATTAGAAGAACGTAAGTCATTGGGATCCCCACTTAAGATTGTCTTAAAGACTAATGAACAGTTTAGTTTAAAGATTAATTTTCAAACTACTAAAGATTGTACTGCATTACAATTTTTGAACAAAAATGCCACTGATGGTAAGGAGCATCCATATCTTTTTTCCCAATGTCAAGCTATTCATGCACGTAGTTTATTCCCATGTTTTGATACTCCTGCTGTCAAGTCAACTTATAGCTTTTCGGTTACTTCGCCGTATCCAAGTTTGATGAGTGGCCGTCCTACCAAGGTTGAAGGACAGACTTATTATTTCAATCAGCCAATTCCAATTCCATCATATTTGATATCATTAGCATCTGGAGATATATCCAAGTCACCAATTGGAAGCAGATCCCATGTTTACTGTGAACCAATTAAGCTCAATCAGTGTCAACATGAGTTTGAACAAGATATGGAACCATTCATTCAAACTGCCGAGTCCATAGTGTTCCTGTATGAATGGGACCAGTACGATGTTTTAGTACTCCCATCAAGTTTCCCCTATGGAGGTATGGAGAACCCAAATATAACATTTGCAACCCCCACCTTAATTAGTGGAGATCGTGAAAATGTCGACGTCTTAGCGCACGAGTTAGCCCATTCCTGGCTGGGTAACTTAGTCACCAATTGCTCATGGGAACATTTCTGGCTTAATGAAGGATGGACTGTTTACTTGGAAAGATTAATTCAGGGGAAAATCCACGGCGAACCAACTAGACACTTCAGTGCTATTATTGGATGGAGTGATTTAGAAAACACCATCAAGTCCATGGGAGACTCGTTAGAGTATTCCAAATTGGTTCTTGATTTAAAAGGAGTTGATCCGGACGATTCTTTCTCAACCGTACCATACGAAAAAGGGTTCAACTTATTATTTCATATTGAAAATGTCATTGGTAAAGCCAAATTCGATAAATTCATACCATATTATTTCAACAAGTTCAAATACAAGTCTTTAGATACTTATCAATTTTTAGATACTTTATATGAATTTTTCTCTAATGAACACGAAACTTTGGATAAGATTGATTGGGATTCTTGGTTGTTTAAGCCGGGGATGCCACCGGTGGATCCTAAATTCGATACTACATTAGTTGACCAATGTTATAATTTAGCTGATAGATGGTTTAAAGCAGTGAAAACGGGGGATCTCAGAGAGTTCAGCAGCAAAGATATCGAGTCCTTTTCATCAAATCAATCGGTTGTGTTTTTAGATACTCTTGAATCATTTAATAAGAGGTCAGATTTTAAATGGAGTGACCACAAGAACAGTTTGATTGAAATGAGTAAGATTTATTCGTCTTACACTAACCTGACAAACTGTGAAGTTCTATTCAGATGGTTCATCTTACAAGTAGATGGCCAACACGAAGAATTCTACAAATTATTGGGTGAATGGTTAGGTACGGTTGGTAGAATGAAATTCGTAAGACCGGGGTACATTCTCTTGAACAAGGTCCACCACCAATTGGCAATTGAATACTTTAGCAAGTTTGAAAACAACTACCATCCAATTTGCAAGGCCATGGTAAAGAAAGACTTGGGTTTAGATTAGTGTATAGTATATTTGATGTCTGGGTGTTTTTTTTTTTTTTTTTTTTTTTTTTTTTTTTTTTTTTTTTTTTTTTTTTTCTTTACTTGTCTATTTCGGAGTGGCTGTAAATCGCGAATATAAAACCACGTCTGTTTCTTCTTTCCAACAACAACAAGTCTACTCTTTATCTAAGAATGGCCATTTCACTTTCATCATTACCAGTATGTATAATAGTGTGTTTGGGGAGCAGAGCAAGTACTAACCGGGGTAGCTTTCGCAAATATCTGAACGTTTAAGTCTTGATCGTCTTAAAAGCGACGCAGGGTCATTACAACAATCAATCAGTAAGATCCGCCCACCACAAGAATTTTTTGATTATAGAAGAATCAGTAAACCTGCTAATTTCGGAGAAGTTCAAAGTAGGGTTGGATACAATTTAGGATACTTCCTGTCTAATTATATAGCTATAGTATCGATTTTATCAATTTATGCTTTAGTTACTAATTTATTATTATTATTTGTTATCTTTTTCGTTGGAGGAGGAATATATGGTATTAATTATTTGAAAGGAGAAGATTTGGTATTACCAATAGGTAGATTTAATACCAGCCAGTTATACACTGGGTTATTAATTGTTGCAATTCCACTTGGATTTTTGGCCAGTCCTATTTCAACCATGATGTGGTTAATTGGATCAAGCGGAGTTTCAGTTTTATCTCACGCTTCGTTAATGGAAAAGCCAATTGAAACTGTTTTCGAAGAAGAAGTTTAATATATGTATTATTATTTTGAATCTACATGTAGTTTAACAATTTAAATCATAAATTATGCTATATAAATTAAACACTTTATATATATAACTAAATAAACTTAGATGTTTAACTTAGTTCTTCTCCAGTGTCTTCTTTTAGCATTATATCTGATAGTGTTACCAGATCTCAATCTGATCCATTGAGGTAATGGTCTGTTTTGTTTTTGAGCTTTAGCTAACTTTTGTTTAACTTTGAAAGTTTTTTGAGACTATATTTGTTAGTATTTTGTCTTGTATTATGCTGCCATCCATCTTCATTATAATCATAATCCATCAATCATAATCTCCACTATTCAGTTGTTCATCCATTCCTCTTCCCAGTTCTTCCACTATTCATCCATTTATCTATTCGTTCGTCCACTCAGCTATTCGAGGGAAGCACTTATTCGATGGAAGCACCTATTCAGTGGAAGCACCTATTCAGTGGAAGCACCTATTCGATGGAAGCACCTATTCAATGGAAGGCAGATACACCAATCATACATACAGGCATCTTTAACTATTCAAATGATGATGATAAAGTAATAGTTCTTTCTAAAAGATTTTTTTTTTTCAAGTAAAGTCTCAGAGTTTTCTCAGGCTTTTTTTTTTGTTAGCGTTTTGAAAGTGAAGACCTCTTCGCGGCGGTCGTGCGCGCACACCCAAACTGTGACTGTTGAATTTGCTACGCTTTTCTTTTGCGAAGCGAACAAAAATTACCTGGGAAAAAAATTAAAAGTGAAAAATTAACAGAAAAAGCTTTTAGTTATCTTTCTTTATCATACATCAAAATGACCAGAACCTCCGTCTTAGCTGATGCTTTAAACGCCATCAACAACGCCGAAAAAACCGGTAAACGTCAAGTCTTAATCAGACCATCCTCCAAGGTCATCATCAAATTCTTGACCGTTATGCAAAAACACGGTTACATTGGTGAATTTGAATACATTGATGATCACAGATCCGGTAAAATCGTTGTTCAATTAAACGGTAGATTAAACAAATGTGGTGTTATCTCCCCAAGATTCAACGTTAAGTTCGGTGACATTGAAAGATGGACTGATAACTTATTACCAGCTAGACAATTCGGTAAAATCATCTTAACCACCTCTGCTGGTATCATGGATCACGAAGAAGCCAGAAGAAAGCACGTTGCCGGTAAAATCTTGGGTTTCGTCTATTAATTGTATATATTAATCTATATTAATTAATCTATTAATGTCTTGAATTATGTCTTGTAATTGTAATCGATTGCATCTGGGTGGGTACCAGTTTATTTGCAACTCGATCTTAGGGCTGCAGCCCTCGCGGCTCTTAGCGGCGCGCACGTGAGGGCGCGCCGCCGGGGGTTCTCACCAAACTCTTCGCACTCGCAGCGTTTTCCACTCCAAAAATTCAACTGTGCGAATTTTTTCTCCTTTGTAAAAAAAAAAACTTGAGAAAAAGTTGAAAATTTAAAGGAATCTCTTGTTCTACTAATTGATATCATTGAATCTCCATATTAACAATGTCTGCTGGTATGTCTAACCATCGTGAAACCTGTCATAAACACCTGGGTGAATGTAGACCGCAAGAGTGGGAGCAGAGTGTTTGAATAGTGGAAGAATAGAGGAATAGTGCTCTGGATAGTGAATGATGAACCACTGAGTAGGTGAAGACATTAATTTCAAATCATAATACTAACATACTATATAGCTAGAGATCAAGTTTTCGGTGTTGCTCGTATCTTCGCCTCTTTCAACGATACCTTTGTCCATGTCACTGATTTATCCGGTAAGGAAACCATTGCCAGAGTTACTGGTGGTATGAAAGTTAAAGCCGATAGAGATGAATCTTCTCCATACGCTGCTATGTTGGCTGCTCAAGATGTTGCTGAAAAATGTAAAGAAGTTGGTATCACTGCCGTTCACGTTAAATTAAGAGCTACCGGTGGTACTAAAACCAAAACCCCAGGTCCAGGTGGTCAATCTGCTTTAAGAGCTTTAGCTAGATCTGGTTTAAGAATTGGTAGAATTGAAGATGTTACTCCTGTTCCTTCTGATTCTACTAGAAGAAAGGGTGGTAGAAGAGGTAGAAGATTATGATTGTTATGGTATTTTAGTATTTCCCTTTTTAAAAGTTATATTTGCATATTTACTACAATATCATAATTTATCCCTTTAAAATTTCCCGTTTCTTTCAGTTGTGTGTATATGTATAACCTTTATCTGTTCTTAAACAATATATTAAAGTAATAATAATTTTTAACTTGTAAATATATATAAAGTTTTTCACCGCACTTTACCTAGACCCTACTTGTTCTTTAATGATAAGATTCTTCTCCAGAAGGTTATCCTTGAAGTCGGTCGACTTGAACGATTCAATCCTTGGTATTGCCTCTAATGTCTCGTCGGTTCCTCATTTCCCTTCTGTTCCCTTGAAAAATCTTTCCTCAAATCATGCCCTGAATCTTTCTTCCCTATACTTGAACGTAATCTTCATTACTTACTTATTGAGATCTGACTCCTTTTCTTCTTATAACCAATTACTAGACTCCTCTAACGATTTGTCCAATAAGTTGAATTATCAATTCAATCAATTCAAACGGGAAAATAATATAAAATCATCCTTCCACCAATACGTCGGGGACTTCTTACTCCATGATGAGTCAAATTGTCATTCCTTCTTCCAGAAACGAGCCGCTGCTTTGATCAAGCAATCGGGATCAAACATACATTCATTTGAGCAGTTGTCTGATGAATTGAATATAAATATCCCGCTGGTTCAATTTGAGTTGGCGCCTAAAAACTTGTACCATTCAAGCCTATGTCTACCGCCAACCAAAAGTGACTTGAATCCTGCTTTCTTTTGCCAGTTTTCCAAGATTCAAAAATTGAAAGGCTCAAATCGTATCATTCTAAAATTAAAAGCTTTCAACAAATATGCTTCCTTGGTTTCTTGCTTTTTCTTGAAATTGAACATCATCAAGTATATGGACCCCAGTATGAATGAGTCTAAGGTCCTTGCCACTATTGCTCCCAAGTCAGTCATTGAATCCGGTCTACGTTTCGATTCCCCTTTACTAATGACTGCTCCCCAACCCTGTTTTGTAAATTATATGGCCCTATTATTCCAAAATGAGCCTGACATAGTAAGCAATTGGTTTAAAAACCTAATCACCTCCGGTAAATGGAAACTGAATAACAACAAGTGTATTTTTGTTAAGTTAAACCCAAAACTTCCTTCTTTAACTATTCATCGTGATCAGAAAACTGATTTGTTAAACTCAAATGAACTCGAGTCGGTGGCCAAAGAATTCATCAGTTTGACCTTAACGGAATACTTTGTAAAATCCTTTCCTGAAAAGTATTCTCTCTTGTCCAAGAACCTTATTTACAACCGTTCTTTGGTGGAAAAACATATTACAGCATTGAATTGGAAATACCCAGAGGCATCTACGCATTTATCACCCTTGGGCTTATTTGCCTTATACATACTCCAGAACCCGGTAAAAGCCAAAAAAATCCTTGGTGGGTTTTTTCAATCACCAATACCTCCAGATTTCTCCAAAACTACGTCATTCTTGAAAGCTTTGATTAAAAGGGAAAGCATTTCCCCTTTGAAAACTCATAAGATGGTTCAGCACTCCGGTGATATCATTCAGCTACCAAGAGTTGAACAAAATAAATTCAACAATATAATCATGACAAACTGTCATGTCCATTACAATATGTCGCCCGACCTCGAAGCTGCCCTAACTAGTTTTGCAAAGTTGGGAGCACAAACGTTTAGGTTTTATACAAAATATTGGCTCTTTAAAAAATTGAATCCTTGGGACTCAACGTATTTTGGTCCTTTAATGAATCTTCTACTCAGCGATGATTTTAGAAAGACAATCATGGATACCAATGGGATTTTCGATAATTATTTTGATGATGAAGTATACCAAAACTTACTCGTTCAGCATAGAAATGACATCGCAATGATAAATACCCAATTCAGCCAATATATAAATGTACTTTTGTTCAGCAAAGGGTTTTCAAAAGTCAAAGATTGGATCCAAAGCTCAATTACCAGTATCCTTGAAGAATTTTCTGGACTTTCAAGTGAAGAAAAGTCTGTCTTCTTCCACAATTTTAAAAAATCAACCGTATCGACTTCATTAACCAGAATATTTGTTGATCGAGTCGTCAATGACTTTGAATCCTCAAGTAGCATTGACGCTCCAAATAAAAGCGAAATCGATACTTCCAAGTACTCCATTGCTCAACTAAACAGTTTAGGTGCATCATTTATTTACTACCTCAAGATCTCCTATCTTATTGGTAAAGATGACTTATTTCATACCAGTTTCAATACTTTCGAAGAAACATCCTTAATATTGTCTAAAATCTTTGAAAAATATCTGCTACATGACTACCATTTTGGCCAATTAGTTCTACATGACGGTATTGAAAAGACAGCAAAAGAAATTCACCAGCTATTAAATACAGTTATGAAGACAGACTTTAAAGAAGAAACTGTTTTGAGCTCATGGGAATCATTCCCCATAAAATTAAAGATACTTAACACCACTGACAGTCAATCAGAAATCATTTTGCCTAAAATCCCAATATCCGATACTAACTCGAACATTTTACTCTATTCTCTTTTTAATTCTAGCTTACCAAAGTATCCTCCTTATGATAAACTAATAACACCAATCACGTTTGCTAGACTTGCAAAATGGAAAACTTTTGGAAGACATTATTATCGAACCAAAATTAAAGAATACACCTTGAGATCAGCCAATCTATCCGAAAAAGTAACTGACTCTCTACAAGAAATACTTCTAAGTGGGAGATTCATGCTGATGCTAGCCATAAAGTCTAATATTCTTCTACCATTTGATGATGGAACCTATTCCCGCATTCTCACCAACCAAATACAAAATCAACATCATGTCATGTCATTTGGAAGTGATGCCTTCAATCAATATATCTGTGGGCTTTACTTTACCAACAGCAAACTACTTGATTCCTGGATTGAAAACTTGGTTCATCACTATGTACAAGAACTATTACGTAAAAGGACACCGACAGAGCAGCTAGCACTCTTGAGTGACCTGACTTTTCTGATGAACAACTACATCATGGACTCCACACGAAAGATTAAATCCAGTAGAGCAACAGCATCGTCGTTCTGAGTTTCTCTTACTCTGGATATACCTTGGGGTTTTTTTGCTCCAAAGCAGTAACTGGTTTATGTTCTGCAAAAGGTTACTTTTTTGGGACACTTTTTGCGACATTTGATAAGAAGTATTGCGCAGCATTTTTATAGTATGATTCTCTTAAGTATAGATGATGAAATACTGAATCTGGCTACAGATTAGGTAAAAGAAGCTTATCACTGAATATATAATTATATAAATAGCATTGAAAAAGATCCACAGATTTGTAAATTGCAGTAGTATAAACTAATCAACAGTTGGAAAAAAAAAAATGCTTGACACCAACGCTTTAATTTTGTTAGGTGGATTGGTGATATGCCTCTTATTATCCCATAAACAGATAACTGCTTTATATAAGAAGATCGATACTGGTTATCTTAAGAAATATTTAAGTTTTTCACCATCGAGTTCTCCTGCTGGATCCAGAAAAAACTCATCGTATGGTGCTAAACTTGAACCATTGCCAAAACCAACCCCATTGATGATTACTCCAGAACAAGTTAAGAATTATGATGACAGACCATGGAGACCATTCAGATGGCCATATCATCAAACTATGTCTATATTCAAACTTGATATCAATCATTGGTTAGATATGGATAAGTATTACTGGCACTATATACAAGAAAAGGAAAGAATCTGGTTAAAATATGGGAAGGAGAATATTGATTGGCTTCCAGGTAGTGAAGACGCCTGTTTTGAATTGATGGAAACTGTCGTTGAGCATATGACCGCAAGATATCCATTATTATTTACTGTTTTAGAAGATAAAGGTTCGGATGGTAAAATCATTAAAAATGAATTAACCAAAGAAGTATTAGATATGACTCTACCATTGAAAGAAAACCCTTTGATTTATGTTAGTAAATTAGCAAAAGAAGATTTTTACATTGTTAAGAAGAATCCAGAAGATGGGAAACATTATTTGGTTGCAGCTGCTGTTCCTTTCCCCGGTGGTTCCTTTGGTATTGATCATAAGATTGGTAAACATTTAGATGTTATTCATGACGACGTTCCTTACTATCATGAAAAATTGAAAAAATCAATGGAAAGATGGTTTGAAAGATTAGCTCCAGAAAACCCTGTTGAAAGAGCGTCATGGTATATTTCGTGGGATCATAAGTTGAAAGTGAGTAATGTTTACAGAATCCCTAAATTTGAAGCCGATACCGTTGCTGATATTAATTCAACTGATCCCAAAGAATTTAATGTTCGTGTTGAAAGACAAACTTTAAGAAGATTACCAAAATCTCAAGCCATTATTTTCACTAACCATCCAGTTTTCTATTCTATTGAAGAAATGAAAAATGAACCTTTGGTTCCTTCTTTGATCAAAAAAATTATTTACGAAGGTCCTAAAGATATTATCAAATACAAGAATTTTGAAGTCCTTCGAGACCACATTTCAACTTACTTGGATTCGTTAATTAAAAGACAAATTGATAAAGGTATCATTAAAGAAGATACTCCTTTGAAGACCTTGCCTACGTACCCATTTGCCTATTGGGCTAAAACCGATTTTGACTTTGTCAACGGATGGCTGAATCCAACCGTAGACAAAAAGAAATTTGATTATTCGGCAACTGCAAAAGATGAATTGGTCTATGAAGACGATTGATCTACTCTATAGTAATATATTCAATTCTGTTATCGTTTGTTTTGTAAGTTTTGTAAGATTTCAAACAAAATTTGGCGAAAAAGAGCGTAAAATTTTGCAAACTTCTACTAAAAATCATATATTGAGTCGTATATTATTAAAGCAATTACATCATTTACGTTGTCTGACTCTCCCTTGTGAAGCTTTGGCCTGCTTATTCGAAAGATTCTGCATTGGTGCAATTTGGGCTGAACCGGGATCGGATGTTTTCGCTTGTCCAGATTCTTCCTTGATTCTATTATACTCTTCAGCAAAATTAGGACTTATATACTGCAATATGTATGGTGCAACTATTGTAGCACCCATGACGATAAACATCATAGTGTAAACACGGTTCTTGAAGATAAATCCAAAGGGACTGCTCAAGATTATATCGGCAACCCCTCCCAGCTGCTGTTCATAATACTGTTTGAAATCAACAACTTCGATAACCAATGGATGGATATAATCAACGGCCTGCACCGATGTTTCATTATAAGTATTGGCAAGTAGATCATCCTTGTATACATTGACAGCTTGCTCAGTTTCATTGACAATGACCCGATACCTATTACCTGCTAGGTTGAAATCGTACGAACTGACAATCAACTCATATTCTCCACTAGTCAAATCGTCAAATTTGAATTTGTATTGTTTGTTAAGTACGCTCTTGTCAACTTTGAAATCATAGTTCTTTTCCAAAGAAGATAAACTGATATCAAACCTCGATTGGTAGTTCAAACCGTTCAAGACTCGGTTGTCTTTATTCAAAGGCTCATTCTGGCTTTGAATAGCCTCCGCTGGAACGTTGACAAACTGTCCAACAAACCCAATTGATACAGCAGCGCACAGTAGCACACAGTAAAACGCTATTATAGCTATCTTAAACATAGTTCCCTGGATATATAGGCTTGAAAAGCTAAGCTGGCCATTCTGACCCTAACAAGTTGATTTGTTAATAAAGTCCAAACTTCTGATGTTACCCGGTCGTGTTGCAAGCACAAAAAATTTTTTTACTATAAAAGCGAGTGGAATCCTCATAAAACTCTTCGAGTTTTATATACTTTTTCAAAACTTTATTGTACTAATAGTATAGGTATTATTGTAGGGCGTCATCTCTAAGACCTTTGTCTTAATCACCCAGAGTTGCTGCTCTCTACAACCTATACAAGAGAAAACTAGTCTCATTTTTAAATGGGGGTAGTCAAGAAGTATACGGGTACAGTTGGTAAAGGAGTTTATTCATTCTTTCATGTTCCTCTTTTCGAATGATTAGGTTTGTTTGACTAGATACATTCTAGAAGGGTTTACTTCTCATTGCAGCCGTACATTCTAGCGCTTCAAACATACAAAATTGTAAGAATGAAATGGTTATATTTGATAATAATTACATAAAAAGTAGAAAAGTATAAAGTCAAACGAATGAGCTTTCAAATAATAATACAATGATTAGATATGACCTTTTAAGCTTCTTGAGCCCCATCGGTCATATGAGTATAACCCAATAGCTATTAAGATGAGACCATAGAATTGTTCACTAGTGATTCTTCCAAACCATTTACTTTCAGGGTCCGGAATGTTAGAAGAGTCCATAACAATAAGAAGACTAACGGTGATTAAGACAATTCTTTTCATCATAGAAGCTATTGAGTATGATAATGTAGGAATCGAACCTAGTAAATGAAATGCTAATAGAGTTTGCAAAAAATGAGAGAGTGAATCTAATATGATAAGGACAATAATCACAAAAACCTCACTGATTGAATCAACCGATCCTTTGATAGGTTCCATAAGTATACTAGGTAACTCTTTCATTATGAACCCGCCGATTGAAAAAGTGAATCCAATCATGGAACAGTATAAAATAATTGTCATTTTATCTGGTTTTGCTATTGGTTCATATCCCATAAAATTGGAAAGTGGATTATTAATATTTTGATTAGCTTGGTTAACCGATTCATCATATGGTAAATATTCATTACTATTATTGTTACTATGATATCTATCTTCATATTTAATATCATGAGTGGAAAATGGTAACTTGATAGAGTTGGTTCGTTGTCTGATATAATGTTTTGGTTTACTAACCGAAGGGGCTAATCTTGGATATTCATTAATCTTTTCACTGGAACTATTCAAGCTTGGAGTTCCAGGTCTACTTAATTCAGTATTAAGTGCTAAAGAAGCTGGACTTGCTGTTGTACTAGAATCCCAGGTTATTAATTGTTTACCATAAATATTCTGTGCAGCAAAAATTAATGTACTCACTATACAAAATGCTAAACCTTTCATTTGGGAATAATTGAATCGATTATTTTCATTTGCTATTAGATTTGCCTTAGATGATGGTTTGACATGAAGTGAATCAGAAAAAATTATAAATATAACTCCTCCAACTAAAGGTGTCAATGATAAATATGTTATTAATGGGAATTTCACCTTATAAACAAATCTGTATCCAAGAACAATTAACAACGGTGATAATGCCTTCACACTCGATACAGTGGCCAAGGGAATCAACGAAGTAGCACTTAAAGAGAAAAACTTCCCAGCAAACTGAAATAAACCCAAGGGAAGAATCTTGAAAAGAACCGCTTTTCTAAACGTTGGAAGACTCACATCATTAGGAACACTCCCGGGTGGGAATTGTGAAACCATTTCAGGGAAGGCTTTCACAATGGTAATCATACATAGTGCTAGTACTGCCCCAATGAAAAATTGAAATGAACCAAGGAATAAAGGATATGAAAATTTAACCAATATAAGCTTGGTCAACTGGGACGTTATAGACGAGACCGAGTACCAAGCTAGACACGTCACAGTGGTCTTAACCGAAATGGGTGGGAGAAGCGATCGCAAACTGCTTGCCATCTTTCAAATCAGAGGTATGTGTCTGGAAGACTGAGGCTGATTGACTTTGAATTGACCCAGGAGTTCGGAGTTGGTATATCAACTCGAGTCTGTTTATCAACGATGGTTTTTTCCTCTCACTGTTTTTATTTTTACACGGAAAGTTTTTGTTGGTTTCCTTTTGTCTTTTCTGTCGCATAATAAACGGCTGCAAATCGTTAAATCCATTTACAGTACTAGCCTACGCTAGGTGAATATACTAATAAATATAATCATAATCGTGAAAAAAGAAAAAGTAAATGTTTTACATAAGATACCGGTAGAATTACCATATATATACTCTACCTGTAGAGTCACCCAAGATGAGTTTTAAATGGCCACGACAAATCTTATCTTCAGTATCGATTTCGGTTTCCTTGAATAGCTCAAGAGCAGTGATACTTCCCATAATACCATAGTCACTCTTATCAAGGTGAATGGTATTACTGCTTTGCAAGAGCCAGGACTGACCCTTGGCAGGTTCGCTTGAATCCGTCACCGGCACAATCTCGTTGATATCAATTGATCTATGAGGTGAGCCAAAGGCTACGGCAACGATATCATGCGACCAGTATGCATGATTGTTGGTAGTCAGTCTTGCACCGGAGTTGACCTGACTATCGTTGATACTTCCAAAAGTCACGCATGTGACAAACCCAGGTTTGAGCTTTTTATCTAAGATCACCTCTCCATTTATGGTATAAATTGTTAATACATTGGAATATCTGGTACTATGGATTGTGACAATGTTCCCAGTATCATTTGAAATGGAAACCAACACCCGTGCATGTTCAGTATGAACGGGAGGTTTGATTTTTCTTATGAATTTAAACCTAGTCAAATCCCAAATTATCACTACCCCATCAGTGTCAACACTGATGCAAACCTTGAATGTCTTACTGAATTTTAAAGTCTTGATAGGGGCAATGTGTCCCCTCATAACACATTGGAATTGTAAGCTGAGAACAGGTTTCGTATTACACTTCCATACTTGGATAATCCCGTCCGCTGATCCAGTCAAAAACAACTTATGTCCTGTCTGAAGTATACAAGTGATATCCGACAGATGAACATTCAAAAAGGATGTGGTATTTATAATCAAGGATCCTCGGTCATTAGACTTTCTTATTAAAAGATCATCTTCAGATGTAATGCACGCAGGTCTTCCCACCCATTTTCTAGTTTTACTGCTCTTTTCAATCTTTTCAATCGGTAACTTCAATTTAGATTCAAATGTTAAGGTAGGTCTTCTGTTCAAGTTGATCAGACTAAGGTAATAGTTAGGTACGTTTAATATTTCTCTTGATGGATGAGGTTTATGGAAGACTTTCATAGGAGTTTGACCAAAGTTATTTATCATACCTATAATTGCTCTTTTTTCAACATCGTCGTTGATATTATCCAAGTTAATTGCACCATTATAAGACAAATGGTGAAATACATTTAATGCTTTGACAGCTTCTGGACCATTTTGTTTAAAGCCAAAAATTAAATCAACCCATAAATTAAGGTTTGCCGATACGTATGGACTCTCTAGAGCCTCCCGATTCTTAGCAATGAAGATTTTTGGATCTCCTTTTGCCCAGGGCGGTAATACAACATCATTAGAAGCTTGCCCATTTTGAAGTGTTCCAAATTCAAAATTATTCGAATTCACCAAAAATTCAGGTAAGTAAAAAAATTCAGGAGTTAATTCTCTGACGTCAGTTGTATTGTCTTTAGAAGCTGATGACCAGGCTCTCTCAATGGAATTGAAAAGTCTGTCAGCGTGATCGAATTTACCACCTTGAAGTAACAAGTAGGATTGAACGTATGGCTTTAATCTAATTAAAAATGAAGTAACAATCATGGCAGAGGAATAGTGAGTACCGTAATGAAATGGAGGTGCCTCATGGTCTTGTAAACTATCTAATGCTTCGTATCTTTCTTGAAATTGATATGCTCTGTCACGGGTCTGTCCACCCATTGGCTTCGATAAGTCCCTGAATGTTCTAGGATCAGAAAAATCCAACTCTTCACTGGTATAATCAGCAATTACCCAAGGGAACACAGGATATTGGGTCAAATCATTAAAAGTTCTACCAGCAAATGTGTTTATAATCATCAAATAGTAGAAGTTTGACATTTCACCCATTTTCCACTTTTTAGTAGCTTCTAAATAAGCTGAACTAGGAGTAGCTGCAAAAGCAGATGCAATCTTAGATGTAAGGAAAGATGCACTGCTGCTACTGGGAGGAGTATTTGCCGCGGCTGGCGAAGAAAGTTGTAATGATTGCGCTAAATCATGGTCGAGTCCTTTGCCTGTAGCGTAAGGAGCTAATTTGGCATAGATGGAGTCACGTTCCCTAGTAGATAAACAGGTTATCAAAATACTGGCCCCATCATTGAAAAACATTTCCACAGCGATATCTCGAAGTAAAAATTGTCTTTTGGAAATACAACTCAACTTCTCTATCCCCCAGCTTTTATTTCTATGAACTTTGTCATCATTTTTCAAATAATTACTAGATTGAGAGTTTATTAACTGTAAATAAGGATCCCTGGATTCAGCAGGAGCATCTTTGGCATCAATAACATTACCATCAGCACAATGAAAATAGTTCTCGATCAAGTAAAGGTAGCCTGAGCCCAAAATTATCAAACTTTCAATTGGAACAAGTCCATTTATTTGACTCACATTCCAAAGTGCAATAATTTGATCCCCCATATATAAACTTCGGATTACCTTTCTGTTCTTGTCTTCATAAGTTGTGCTTGTGGAGTCGGATGCATCATTCATATCAAGAACCTCGTAACCATCGTCAGTTTCTGTAGTATCATCGTCGGATGATAAGTTGAGCGTATCAATTCCACTGTTGGCTAAAATATCATCAAATGTATCGAAGTCAGTTGTTATATGTTCAATTTTTTTAATGGGTATTTCAATGTTGTAAGATAGCTTCTCTGAATCAGACAATTGATCTTCTACGATTAATCTTCTTCTCATACGGTCAACATTTTCAATATAGTCTAGTACATACTGTACTTTAACCCGGTCTTCAGGAGAAATCAATCTATTGATGTCAGACTTAAGGTAGTTGTAGTTACAAACAAAAAATTGAATATTTTCTTGCTGATCCTGAATAGCCCTGTTAAATTTGACAAGTTCACCACTGATGATCAGAACTTTCAATTGTTCACAATTCTTCTCAAAACTTTTGATATAAATACTATTCATCTGTCCTAATTTACCCCCATTATTCAACATGACCCGGATCATATCAAGCACATGAAGGGTTGGCGTTTCTTTGTATTGTCCAACATAAGCATTCAAGTTTTTATGAAAAATATTTTTGAATGCAGAAGTCCTGTAGACAGATTTAATAGATTCTTCATCATTCTTGCTGAGCAAGTTTTGAAAGAACTCCAAAATGATTTCTTGAGAGTTAGAGTATTCAGAGTTTGTGCTTTCAATATCAAGAACTTTTGGGAAATCTTCCTGGCGCATTAAATAACAAGTTCTCAAAAAGTTTAATACATGTTCACTACTGGCCATTTGTATCCCAGGTGCTAAACGGAGAAAATTACCAACAAGAAGATCAATAAGGCACGCTAACCTTTTAGTATCCAAAACATTTTCATTTTGTAGAATTGTAATTTGTCTATAGAGTAATTGCTTTGCGGCCTCATTGATTTTTTTACCAAATTCGCCATTTGCCCTTTCTTCATCTGCTGGATTAAACTCAACCCAATCACTAACATTATCTAAGGTATATTCTTGAGAAAGTTTTAAGAATTTGAGAATAATAACATGTCCCAATGATTTTCTTAATTGTGTGACATTGGCTGAATGTGACTTCGAGAAGCCGCTATTATTATCAATTGTTTCAATGATAGACAAGTTACAAACAAGAAATGTGTCTATATTATCACTGGTCACGTAGTAACTTTTATTGACGAATTCTGAGTAGTAATAGTTCATCAAATCAATTGCTCCTTCAAGAAATTCCTTTTCATTAAAAATAAAGTTCGAGACGGTAACGAACTCATTCAAATGCTTGAATATACGTGGAAATATAATGTCCAAGACGAGAGTTTTGGTAAATTCACTTAAGCCTGAGATAGTTTTGAAAAGGTCCTTTATATTCAATAATTTTGAAACGAAGATATTAGAAATAACGTTAATAAGTCTATCATAACAATTTTGAAAACTGTGTAAAAGATCCGAGGAAGCCCAAGTCAAAGACAATCTTAGATGACCAATTAGTTCAAAGATGCCTTCTAACCAATCTTTTCTGCTATAGCAAGTCTGCAAGCTTTTAAATTTATCAAAACCGAGTTGTATTGCTTCTGCGTATTGACTGATTAAGTGTAATGCATTCAAGGATAGCTCTAAATTTTCGTCTGTCTCTTGTTGCAGCTTAATCTTGAGCGGTGAGCTAGGAGCGCTCAAAACTTTACCATGATTCAAACCGAGTGTGTACATACTATTCAACACCAAGTTATTTAAAAGTAGTAAAAAGTCTGGCATAATCACTTGGTTTAGTGATGATGAATACGATTCGTTTGTTATAACAGAAATAAGTGTCAACTCAGAGCTGTCAAAGTTCAAGGAATCGATACCAAAACTGGACAAAAAAATTACAGCTAATATTTGATCATCATGCCACCAGTCTTTCAAAAAACGAGTTAGAATGTCCAATCCGTGGTTAGCTTGAAAAAATCGTTTTATTATATGAGTTCCTAAAATCTTTAATAGTTTAGTAAGTAAGGTCAAACCACAATTCACCACATCTTTTGAATTGAATTTAAAATTATCTGAGTTTGATTCTGACTTGTAGTTAAACAAAAGCAAGATCCAATGAATCGTAATAGATCTGGAAAACTTTTTCAAGACTTTTATAGATGAGTTAGGGTCACAAAGCACATCAGTTAAAGACTTCAAAGTGATGATTCCGAATTGAGCTGATAAGTCATACGAGCTATGATATAACGAGTATATTATGAAGAGCGAAATTGACCTTATTGACTCTACCGAAGTATCAGATCTAATAAAGCAGTTTAGGGTTAAACTTAATTGATCAATTAGATCATCCGTCAATTTGTTATCATTCAACGCTGGTAACTTTAAAAATTGGATTAACTTTTTCAAAACTTTCATCCTATTTAGCTCCAGAGTATTGAACATATTGAACCTACTTGCAACAGATAGGACTTGGAAGTGGTAAAGTAAAAATTTGAAACTGTCAGAGCCCAAGTATAATTTCAAGTTCAAAACCAAAAATCGGTATGCAATTGGGTTCACGATAATCGACTCGTGAGGATCGATGAAGTCATACCCAACATGGTCTAGAATAAGCCTGAGTAAGTTATTACATTCAATAAGTGATTCTCCACAGTCTGAATTGGTGTTCAAAGACGATGACGAAGAGCATTTATCCGGAAGTAGCTCTTCGATTAGGTTAAGGGTAAGTGATTTATTAACATTTTCTTTGTAGTATGTGAATAACACCAGGAGCAATCCGTATCCATTAAGATTTTCAAATTCTTTTGCAATCCTCCAGTTGTTTTGTAGTATGGTGAATAGTAAATTCAAAGCTATATAGAGTATTGAATCATTGAGTCCTTTGACATTAAGCTCATTTTGAGTTGCGGATTCAATCAATTTCAATAACAAAGATGGACCACCAATGCTATACAAGGCACCGTGAATGGGTTTTGCGCGATGATATAAGGCTTTTGGGGATTGTGGAGTTTCTAGAGTACTTGTAAACAGACAGTCATGAATATCAAAAACAATATTTGATTGCTTTATCAAACTTCGAGAAAGATAGTCTGTAATGATTCTTCGGTCAACGATATTACTATTTGCTCTTTGAGAAGAATCCGAGGAAGTGGCATTATTATTTGCAGCCAGACGAGCCGAAGATTCAGATAGTACGCTCGAGTTAGAGGAAATTGCTTGAAGTTTTCTCAAGTGGCGTTTAGTTTGGTCTGATTGGAAATTGTTCATAAACACAAAGTTTTCAGAAGATGCAGAAGTGTTATAATCATTTAAGCGACTATTGATACTAGAATTTTTATTGCCATTTTTATTTTTGAAGCTGCCACCATTTTTAAGTTCATGAATTTTGAAGGCAAGGTTTGTTAATTTTTTTGGACTTAAATGGTTAAGTTGGTTTGATAAATTATGAGTGTTGAAATCTTTAAAATCCCAATCATATTCTAGACCCAAATTGAATATGAAATAAACCCATTCGTAAGTTAGAGCGGTATTTAGAACAGTCAAGTTTCTAATTAATAACTCATCATGGCTTATGAATGTTGGGTTTTCCTTATTTTGACCAACGTAAACTTTATTCCAAGTATTTAAGACTTTATAAAGTTCTGGACAAGGTATTGATTCACTATATTCACCATCAATATAAAGATTCAAATTTCTGTAAGTATCATAAGTTAAAGCAAAATGAACATAGCCTTGATTATTTGAAGCAGAGTATGCTTGATCCAGTATTATTTGATTAAAAGTGTATTGCATGCGAGATCCATTTGATTGATCGATTATTTCAATCATAAATTGGCTATTATTAATCAATTGAACCTTTAGGATTGACGAAGAGCTACTTGAAGAATTTGCAAGCAGAAATAAGGTGGTTGACGGGATGTCACCATATTCATCGGTGGCTTGTGTATTATCTTGTAAGTAGTCTGAATTCGAGGTATTCAATTTAAACCAAGATTGTAAAGTTAAACATTCCAGTGAAGTAATATCACTTGAAAAGGGAATTGAAATTGAGGATGATTGGAAATCATTGAATAGGAAGAAGTCAAAGTGACTTGAGTAACTTGAATGAATTTGGTTTAAAAGCTCTAGGATGACTAGTTTTAAATTTGAATTTGTTTGGGGATCAAATATATTTTGAATTAATTTTTTGTAACATTTGATATCACAACCTAATTCCATAAAGTTGATAATGAGACGCATATGTTGGTTTATGGCCAGGGGTTTGTTATAATCGAGCCAGCCAAAGGAGTTCAGTGGTTTTGATGCAATTGAAATCAAATTACTTATTAAGATTTCATGGACATTTGTTCTAAATAGTTGAATCTTAGTAGTATAACAGGTCGATATAGCACGAAGAAATAATTCAAACAAAATAATTTTTAAATCATGGTATAATTCATCATCGAGGTTATTAAATTTAGATAAAAAATCAAGAATTGAGTGCTTATTCAAAGCCGAATCATCATTAAAAATCCCTCCGTTTCCTGGTGAAGCAAGAATCAATTCATCAATTACAGAACTCAATTCAGCGGAATCCCCAATACTATCGGTAAGTTCTGATTTCCAATCAACGAGCAACTCTTTATTAATGGTCAAATTTGATGAAAGTAAGTCACAGACTAAGTATATAATACTAGTATCATCAACCGATGCATCATGATTTTGGAAACTTTCATCATTTGAGATCCGATGATCATCGATTCCCTTCGGAGATCCCATTTCGACAAGCCTCACCACCAATTACACTCACTTAGTTCAATCTTTCAAGGTTTTACCTTATTAAACGACGCTATCTGGTTTGTCCGAAACACGGGGTAGTTGGTGTTAGTCGATATTTGCAAAAGGTATGCAAGGAGTAAATTCGTAGGTTGCACGACACAAAAAAAGGCAGTTGGAATTGCACTTGTATCTTGACTGAAGTCAGAGCTTGGAACTTTCGCTTGTGGATTCTGTTTCTTCTTAGTATCCCTAGATCAATTGGTGATTAAGTGTGATGATGCTGTCCTTTCAACTCGGTTACGATTATGGGCCTTTTTTTTTGTCGATAAGCGCCAGTACTCGGGTGCACGGGTGTAAATCCATTTCCGGGAGTTGCAGTCACGTGCGATGCCCTCGAATATCGAAACTCTACTGGTAAGAAGCCGTTGCTAGATCTAGAGCAAGAGTTGACGGCTGGAAGGTAATAAAGGATGGTGCAAGTAGCCGGAGGACCAGCAGGTATACGGTTACCTATGTTGGAGGTGCCAAAGAAGCTAATTTCGCTTGGTTTGCTTCGTTAAAGGTACTTGAAGCGTTCAAACTGGGCCCAATTCCAATACGAAAGGTAACCCTGGCATTCCAGTTGGTAAATCCAGTTGTAAACTGTGCCGTCTGCTGTAGCTATCCAGCTGTAGCTATCAAGCTGTACCATCAGCTGAACAATACAACTGAACAATTACAACTGAACAATTACAGCTGGAGAATTACTGCTGAACAAATATAGTTGAACAGATTCCCAGCGGTCTACCATTCCCGTCCCGTCCACCGATTAGTCGACCACAGCCAGCAGCCAACATGACATACACCCATACAACCATACAACTACACCGTGCCCGGTGTAGTTGTCTTTATTTGCAACTCAATCCCTTTTTAAGCTGCCATTTTTTGCGCGGTGGTGTAAAATGGCAAACTTTCGACAAAAAACTCATTGATTCATTCCTTCACAAAAATACGAACTGGCGTATTTTTGCTTCTCTAGTGACAAATACAGCGGCTAGTATAGTTTCTTTGAATAGAACATCCGGGTTTCAATACTAGCAACACTAGATCAGAGGGCCGGCAACTTAGATAAGCTGGTTACTGAAGTACATTGTTATAGAATCGACAATTATAGTCATTTTTTGATAGTTTCAACCTGAAATTGGTAGATCGTTTGAATCATCTCTGTTGAGATCGTTGGACGTGTTAGAAGATAGGGTTAATAGGGTAATTGGCTGCTTACTGCTTTTATTATAGATATGTCTGAAGACAATAGTATTTCTTCCGTCAATGGATCATCGAACGACGTTTGTGCAAAGGATGATAGAACTGACTCAACCCAATCGTTAAATAAACATCTTGAAGACTTGCCGACTCAGCTATCAGGTGCTGCTGCTGCGGAAGACTTGGACGAAAAGCGTCAGATGGTCAGGAACCTTCTTGATGTACCTGCTCAAGAAGGAGATGTATGGCATCTTGTATCTAGTGAGTATCTAAATGAGTTTTTCAATCAATCGGTTTCATCTTTCAGTGAGTTGAAACAGGGTTTGGGTCCTGTTGATTGTACTTGTATTGTCGATCAATACGGCAATTTATATCCCGAGGACGATGAACCAATAGGTACTTACAACATTCCACCGGCTTGTTTCCATCAATTGACAGAATGGTTTGGCATTAAAGGCCAACCAGTATCTAGATGTCTTATAATTAACTTGGAAACTGGTGCTAAAGAAGTTGAAAGGTATCCACCGCACTTTGTTGTTCATACTTTATCCAAAACTAATTCATCAAGAAATTATCAATATCATTCATCTATTCATAATTCACCTTCTGGATTCTCCTTATCACAAACGAGAACTTTTGGTGACTTGGTTGAATCCACTAAGCTTCATTTATCTAAAAATTTATCTAAATCATCCAAATTTCGTATTTGGTTCATTGAAGCAGCAAATATAGAAGAATTCCCAAACCTGGTTAGTATCTCCACTTTAATTCATGATATACCTAAAAAATCTTTAGTTTGTCCTAATCTTTTCCATTCTACAATGAAAAGCCAAGGTATAGGAACAGCACGAATTCATATACTAGTTGAATGTTTAGATAAACCTTCCCATAAATATCCTATTGATACTTTTCTCAATAATTTTAATTTCGATAAACTTGATTTAAATTCTACTTTATCTTTAGGTGGTAATTTGGGGTTGGCAAATTTAGGAAATACTTGTTATATGAATTCGGCTTTACAATGTCTTCTTCATGTTCCAGAAATTAATTTTTATTTTTTTTTCAATCTATTTGAGCTAGAATTAAATGAATCTAATCCCTTGGGTAATAAAGGTGATGTTGCCATTACTTTTGGCTCTTTATTGCATAAACTCTTTGATAATTCAAATACTTCTCAATCCTATGTTTCGCCTCGTGATTTTAAACATACTATCGGTCGTTATTCTTCTTTATTTCAAGGCTATCAACAACAAGATTCTCAAGAGTTTTTAAGCTGGCTATTAGATGCTCTTCATGAAGATTTAAATCGTATATATAATAAACCTTATTGTGAAAAACCGGAATTGAAAGATGAAGATATTAATAATTCAAATGCTATACTAGAATTAGCAAGAACTTGTTGGGACCAACATAAAAAAAGAAATGATTCAATCATCGTTGATTTATTCACTGGTATGTATCAATCAACCCTTGTTTGTCCTGAATGCTCCAAAACTTCCATCACTTTTGATCCATTCAATGATTTAACTTTACCATTACCAATTAATAAAAAATGGTATCATACTTTCACCGTGGTTAATTTAACCCAAAGTGAATCGAACCCCATTGTTAAATTAGAAGTTGAGTTAAATAAAACTTCCAACTATGATGAATTGATGAAATACATATCAAATTTCTTAAAAGTTCCTCCTCATTTTTTGTTTCTTTTCGAAATTTTTAGAGGTTCTTTTTATAAAGATTTTCAAGAACATTATGATCGTTTGAAATTTTTCCCAATGAGTGAAATCATAGGTACCGGTGATGACATTTTGATATATATCATTCCTCATGATCCTCAAAACGATATTATCGTACCAGTTCTTAATACAGTTCCTGATGATTCAACCTATAACATGACAGAACCATTTGGTTTACCTTTATTCATTGTTTTAGATAGAAAATTTGAGGTTAACAGTTTTGGGAAAATTAGATCCAAACTTGAACAGGTTGTTAAAATCTTATCAAAGGCGAATATTGAAGAACAATATAATGAATTAAAGTCATCTCCAAATGAAAATACGAAATATTTCAGTAGTAAGGATTTCCCATTGATCACTAAAAAGAGAAGTTCCGAAGATGATATAGTAATGGTTGGCTCTGACGTTGGTAAGAGCCCGACTAAAGAAACACAAGATTCTATCCAATCGGATCAATTAGACACCGATCTTGATTATGATGAAGGATATGATTCAGACATCTCCCTCGCTAATCCCAATGTTGGAGGTAATTTTGGTTTCGAAATTAAGTATCATTATGAAGATCATCAATCATATCGTCCTCGTGGTTATAATCGCTTTAACTCTTATTCCAGTTCAGATTCTTCAGACAATAATGATCGTCCTTTGAATATTCCTCACTCAAGGCCACTGTTTAGATCTTTACCTTCTTTGGCAGTACAACTTCCTGAATTAAAACGTAATTATTATCATTATCCTGATTATTCTGCTCAATTGGATCGTGAAATACAGGATATTGCTGATGAGGTAAATGAGAATTTGACTGATGAAAATCAAGATGATTCCAATAAAAATAGCTTGCAAAGTACTGACTCGAATGATAAGAAAAATACTGAAGATTTCGTTTTAGTTGACAAAAATACTGAACAACTGACCAATATGGATTCGCCATCTGTTCAAGCCCCTGAGGCGGCTTCTCAACAGCTGCTGGATGAAGACACTGAAAGTGAAAGTAACCTTGGTACATTATTTGATTCTGTGCATGCGTTGGCTCCCCCAACTGCTTACTCTGAGTCCGGAAGAGATTCAATTCAAGATTCACCAGGTGAAGAGGATTCCAAAATTGATAATCATCCAGTGTTGGTTGATAAGAATGTCACACTTATTTGCGAGTGGAATCCTGAGATTTACTCTAAGTTTTTCAAAGAACCTGAACTTCAAAATTGGATCGATTTGGAGAACCTTCCAAATCCTGAATTAGAAGCAAACAAAGCTAAGTTGGCTAGGCAACAGAAGTCAACCATATCATTATATGACTGTTTGAGTAGCTTTAGCACTCCTGAAGTCTTGGGTGATCAAGATTTATGGTATTGTCCACGCTGTAAGGATCATAGACAAGCTACTAAAACAATTCAAATTTGGTCAACTGGTGATTTACTAACAATTCATTTGAAAAGATTTCAAAGCGCGAGATCTTTCAGTGATAAAATTGATATAACTGTCGATTTTCCAATCGAAGGCTTAGATATTTCTCCTTATGTTGCATCGAGAAAACTCGAAGAAGAATCAGAGACTATTGATGGTGATGTACCATTTCAAATTCAAAAGAATGATTTGATCTATGACTTAATTGCAGTAGATAACCACTACGGTGGTTTAGGAGGAGGCCATTATACTGCCTCCGTTAAGAATTTCAGAGATGGCAAATGGTATTATTATAACGATGGTAGAGTAACTCCAATTAAAGACGCGAGGGAATGTGTTAGTGGTGCTGCTTACTTGTTATTTTATAGAAAGAGGACTGCCTCCAATTTAGTTGGTGGTGAAAGAGTTCAAACCTTAATAAATGAAGGCCGAATGAAATATGAACAAACGTTAAAAGATACGAACAACAAGTTAACCACAGTTAAGAACCAAGTGGAAGCATATTCCGAATTAGAAAGAGAAGAAATAAAGAAAGTTACCGAGCAGGAGGAACTTAAGAAAGAGGCAGAGGCAGAAGTCTCTGCTAAGGATTTGGAATCAAAGGATTCTGAGAGCCTGGATTTTTCATCAAATGTTAATCATCTCACCTCATCAACATCTCCTACGTCTTCTTCAGCATCCACATCATCACCACCTAGTAAAGCAGCTCCAGTGTCAACCAAGAAATCCAGGTCACCTGGAACTGATGACTTGAGTGCTGGTAGTGAGAACCAAGGAGATAGTTTTAATAAGCGTAAACAGCGTTTGATTTCCAAAGATGATAATGAGAATAAATCCATCCACATAAATGATCCCCCTCTGTCATCTCTAAGTTTACAGCCTACTTCAAATGTAGCCTCTCCTGATAGCAGCAGTTCAGATGAAGTTATATTAAACTGAACTTAATTGAATACAATAAATATCAAGTATAATTTTTCTTTATTTCTAATGATACATAAATTTCATATACAAAAGGTAACTGTTGTTTCCATTTATTTTTCTATTTCTAATTATGCAGACTTCGTAATTGGGCTAAGCGAATACTTTCTTTTAAAACATCTATAGATACATTAGCACCCCCACCACAAATACTAACGTGTTTCAAAGAGTCTCCGGACTTATTAGTGATGACATTTATTTTAGAAGTAATACAACTTTCTTCAGCATCACCTTCTGGATCAGCAAGCACAACTGTTTTTGGTTTGATTTCATCAAGCTCCATTTTATCTTCACTTTCGTCTTCATTTGCATCTGATTGTCTTTCCAAATCGACTACTCCAAAACTTGAAGAGTAACCCATTTCATTTTTTTGCAATTTTAATGCGTGAAATAATGACTTATTTGAATCAATGTACAAGTTATCCCCACCACTTAAATGACCAAAGTTACCTCTCGATCTAACGGGCACTTTTATTTTGTCACTGGTATCACCGATATAAATGCTTGGTAAAGTAACATTGGTCAATGCACTTAGAAGGGTATTGTAGCACAAATCGAAAATAGGACCTGAACGGGAGAATACTTTCAAATGGGCATAGAGTACAAAAGAATAAGATTTCTTATTCCCACTGAATGAAGGGATATCTTCTAGAATAGATATATTCTCTGGAGTGTCTGGATATAGTATGCTTGATGTTTTATTTTCCTCGTCTCTAATTTCGTAACCCGGGGTTATCTTAAGTGATTCTGAAGGTATTATATTTGCATGCAATATGCTTTCATATATTTTTTGGGATGTTATCATTTCTTCATCGGTTGGAGCACCTGATCTTCCTCTAAGGATTTCAACAACTGGGTATATGGATGTATATTCTGGAGAAGCCCCGGATGTTTCCACAATTCCTAAAGTGATTCCGCAAAAAACTGAAGTATCACCATTCTTTGCCACTGCAGATCCAATCACAGAGTTTTCGCCCAAACTATTAAGATTTCCTTGACTTATTTCTAATGATTTGAATTCGGTGAAATTCCTCAATGAGGGCCTAAGACCAATGGCAAGATGGCGTTGTAAAGACACATCTGGTGCAATTCTTGCAAGCACGGATGGTGGGAATGCCATTTGGCGTGATTTCTGCACTTCAGACATATCAGCTGTTTATGTTAATACTAGTCGAAAGCAAGAATATATATCGAAACCTCTTCCCATGCTTTGCTTGAGTTAGAGATGAAGCAAAAAAAAAAAAAAAACGAAAAAACATCGCTGCGAAGACGAATGATAAATGTGTGTTACTCAATTTTTTTTTGCATCATAATCTCGGTATGGGTCCAACACCACGGTTAATCAAGTTATGAATTATATATGTACTATATATGTGTTATATACATTAAGCTAGTTATGTTGGGCTAGTCAAACTTCCCAACCTTCTGGATCCAGATTTTTTCGGCTTCCACGATGGTGTTATTATTGGCCTTCATTTTATTCATGGTTTCGATATATTCGTCATATTCATCACTATCAAAGACAATACCACCACCAGCTTGTAAGTAGGCAATACCATCTTTATACACCATTGTTCTTAAGGCAATACAAGTGTCCATGGTTTTACCATCGTAGCCCCAATGACCCACGGCACCAGCGTAGATACCTCTCTTTTCCTTTTCTAATTCACCAATTAATTCCATGGCTTTGACTTTAGGGGCACCACTGACGGTACCTGCTGGGAAAATGGATCTGAAGGCATCGAATCTAGTCTTGTCTTCTCTTAAAGTACCACTGACTTCAGATACTAGATGCATTACATGAGAGAATCTTTCAATTGTTAATAATCTATCAACGTTATTACTGGTTGGAGTACAGATTCTATTGACATCATTACGGGCCAAATCAACCAACATGATGTGTTCAGCTCTATCTTTCAAACTTTCTCTCAATATGTTTGCATTTTCCTCATCTTCTTCATTAGTTTTACCTCTCTTAATGGTACCAGCAATTGGATGAGTAACAACTCTATCTTTAGTATCAGATTTGACTAGTAATTCTGGTGATGCACCTATTATTTGGAAATCAATAAGATCAATGTAGAACAAGTATGGAGATGGATTGACAGTTCTCAAATGACGGTAAATATTGAATGGATGAAGAGAAGTTGGTCTAGCAACCCTTTGAGATGGAACAGCTTGAATGATATCACCTTTCAAGATGTGTTTTTTCAATGTGGAAACATGATTTTCATAACCTTCTTGTCCTATGTTTGAGGTAAAAGTTTGGTTAGCCTTGATTGGAGGTTGCTTTGGATTAATCTCTTCTAAAGTTTGGTGAGTCTTTAATAATTTTTCAATACGGGCAATTTCATTTTCTGCTTTTTCAAACTTATCCTTCAAGCTGGTCTCATCAAATTTACCATCAGAAAGATCAATGTTATTAATAATTTGAAATCTTTGATAAACATTATCAAAAGCAAGTATTAAGTCACATAACATTAAAACAGCTTCTGGTACTTCCAAAACATCTTTCAACGGTCTGCGAGTTTTAGGTTCAAAATATTTGATACAGTCATACGAAATATACCCAATGGCACCACCACATAACTTGGGTAAACCAGGTAAATCAGCTTGGTTATATTTTGCCAATTCCTTCTCTAAAATAGTGATTGGATCGACATTCAAGTATTCTCCTGCGTATTTTTTCTCATCGTCTCCAGTTTTGATAATCTTCTTTGGGTTAATACCAATGAATGAATATCTTTCCACACTGTCACCGTGAATTGCGGATTCGAACATAAAAGACGGAGTACGTTTTTCATTGTTCAAGTCTGCAAGCTTCAAGTAGGCCTGGTGAACAGTCAAGTCTTGACTGGCAACATACTTGTATATAGGATATATGTTTGGTCTTGGTGATTCGGATGATTGATCCTTTTCAATTATCGATTTCAATGCATCGAAAGATGGTTGAGTTTCAGACTGCACAATTTTGGTTAGTAAAGATTTTCCCGCTTTAAATTCATGGATTTAAAACTCGCTGAAAACGTACAAACATATCTGCCAATGCTAATATCGTTGTAAGAGTGTTACTATATCTCTTTCCTGTTGAATCCTCTTGTAAAGTTGAAAAATTTTGTCTTTTCTGACTCAACTCTCTCTTTTTTTATTTTTTTTTTTTTTTGGTTTGTTAACAGTCATATTATATACAGGCACAGTACTTAATGAAGAGTTCTATGGTATTAAAATACATATGTACAAGTCTATAATCTTATTGCTTCCTTTAATATACATTGACCTACGACGGGGTCGAGAAGCAAAACTTTGTCGCAGTCTACGGTTGTTCCGATGTTTGCATCGGAGGAAAGGTCAACCAAGATATCGACCTCTAGATTGAGGTCTATGCAAAATGCCCTGCTTATTCTCTTATTGAAGGTTGGTAAATCGTAACCAGGGTGAGTGATGATGCATTCGTAGATTGTTCTTTCACGATCTTCGATGGGGACATCGTTGGCATGCTGCTGGGCTAGTCTTTGTTCTAGCATCTTGAGGGACCAGTAGTTCTTGTGTCTAATACCAAAGTACTGGTTTAGTTTAGTTGAGTTGATGAATTTTTGCAGCATTTGCAACAAGTAATGGTCAGCCAACTCGCCTTGTACACCGTACCCAAGCAGCTTCAAATGACTGAATTGCTTGATGATGCTATGGTGTAGCGATCTTCTCTCGTCTTGAGACGCAACCCTCTTTAGATGATTAACGTACGACAAGTGAAGATGGGAAACAATTTGGAGCTGATTATAATAAACTTCCATATCGTTGAAAATATCCAATAGTTTCACATGGCCTTTTGCTAATCCATAGGAAACATGGGAAGTACTTTCGTTCCAATTTTCATTCGCCAGTTTGAATTCCGGAGAGGGTGATTTTTGAAGTATTTTTATTATCGGTCTGGACAAATAGTTTCGACCAATGAAAAAGGCACCGAATGATAAATACCCGTTTGCATCTTTCCCTAGTAAAGTATGATAAAAGGAGCTTGCGTGATATGCTGGTAATAAGGAGTTGTTATGTGGAACTAATACTTCATCGTCCAAATTTCGTTCCTCGTGTTCGCTATTTCCTGAAATGATGGTGTCACTTGCTTCTTCTTGATTATCGGATAGCCCTTGAGAGTGGGTAAAGATTGGAATGTTTCTTTCGTAGCAGTAATTCGATATTATGTTACTGATAAACATATCAATCTCATTGACGAAAAACTTAGCTCTTGTAAAGTGGTTCTGGTCTCCTATTGATAATGCTTCAAGTTTAGTAATAAGCTTTTCATTTATTTTTCCTTCATTCAAGTAGCTTAATTTTTTTAAAATGTTACTGGAATTGTCAGCATCAATATTAATAGCCGGGTTGAAATTCGATCCTTCCAAATATCTCATCTTGAAGTGCCTATGCATTACACTATGCATGAAATTTATTCTATGATGATCTGAATCATTCAAGTTTTGTTTTCCCTGATCGACTTCTTTCGATCTCGAAAATAGTCTGAAGGGAAGTATATTCTTGTTCTTCGTTTGTAATGATTCTTCTAACTCAGACCAATCAACATTTTTGATTTTCACATTACTTATATCGTCTAATGTAAGAGTGACATTCTCATCCATATTGAGAAAGTAGTTTTGCTCAAAAGTATTGATCGTGTAACTTATTGTTAGACAAGTGGTTTCGTTTGGTGGATTATGAGTATATGATTTGGGGCCATCTCCAACACTATAATAATTGGGCGTATTATGCGGGTCTTGATTTTTGAACGAGAATCTATTCATCACCTCCTGGTGCAATATCGAAATGCTTTCATTGTTTGAAAGATTTTGTAAACTTCTCAAAGGATGTGACCCAGACATTAAAGTTTTGAATAGATTCGAACTTGGACTTAATCGAGTGACGAAGTCAGGAATATGCACATTAAACAAATACTTTCTAGAGTTAATTTTTTCTAAAGATATCCCCATTAAAGAGTTTTTAGAATCTTTAGAGTCGAACCCTTGATTTAATGGAAGTCCGTAGATTACATGATCTTGGTAATACTTTTTGGAGTTTCTTAAATGTCCAAACTTATCTCTTGACCCACGAGGAATTAACAAAGCTTCAGATAGTTTTTGGGTGTCACTCGAATCAAGATCAGTGGTCGATGATACAGCCAACTGTCTGATAGAGTCCCTCCCTATCAAATTAGCAGAAAGGTATATGTCTGTTAACTGATTACTAGAATTATCATATAGTTTTAGCATCTTTAAAAATCTGTAGATCGTTGATGGCGTGACAGTTTCATTTTGGAAAACCTCGAATTGACTCACCAACTTTATGAGCTTCGGATGGGGGTAAATTATGAGAAATTTAAGTATGTCAATCAATGATTTATATTTCTGCTCTTGCAAAAACCTGAAATATTCATTTAATTTTTCAAAACTTTTACAAGAGTTTGATGTTTGCAAGGAATACAATTCCAGAATAAATGCATGGTAATCTGGAAGTAAGGGATCTCTTCTGTGAGCTTCAAGGAACCCGCTTATTGCAGCAGAGTTATGAAGAGAGTTAGTTAAGTATACTGTTTCTTGTATCAATCCATTCGAACATTTACTCAGATGTATATTGGAGTAGTTGACCGGCTTGTAACTCGACGAGACAATCCATCTTTCAGGACTATCACACATGAACAAATGACAAGCTAATAACAATTGAGTTTGATGATAATACGAAATATTGTATTGCTCTTGTAAAGCAAAGGAGAACTGGAATGAATCAATCAATTCTGATAAGGAAACAGCAGAAACAGAAGATTGATTGGCAAACTGTGAATATGCTACTTTGAAATTATGATGCAAGCTAGAACTTATTTTAAGACTTTCTGCAAGAAATTCCTTGATTATAGATACAAGGTCTAATCTTGCAGCATATTTATTATCAAATCGATTCTCCAAAATCTTCATATTAGAAATCCAAGCTTCATCTAAAACTTGGTATGCATGGAATGATATATTGATGGAGTCTACCTTCAATATTTCATTGGCTATAGTTAACAAAACTACTTTATTGTAATTTTGATTAAACTTAGACTCTGCTCGTTGGATGACAATACCAAAATTGGCTTTATTAGTAGCTGGATCGATGAATTCCACTAATGACCCACGTTCTGGAGGGAAATCATTGTTTTGCTGGCATATCTGATTGAAATTATCGAATCTCGAATAAGTTATTTTCATTATATCATGAACAGGACTAGGATCCTTTTTCTCTCTTAAAAGGCCCTGGTAGTCATCAACAGGATTACAAAAGGCCAGCCTTTCATTGAAAAACTCTTTTAAGCTTATTTGTAGTTCATCTCTGTATATATTATCATTGATATCCGGATATACAGCTTCCTGTTCTATCTCATCCCAAGCATTTGGGTTCTGGGTTCCACTGAAAAACTTTGACCTGCTATTGAAATATTGTGATCTTATTGCCAAACTAGTGGAAACATGTCGTTTCGGTATCCATACCGGTAGGTGCCTATAATGAAACACACGGTTAAGCCGTATTCTTAGGCAATTCATGAGATCCTAGTATTAGTCAATGAAGTTATGCATGTAATATTATTGATTTTTATTTTCAAGTTTAGTGAAAAGAAGTGCAGTTATTCCGTACAATACGTATCGAGTGTTCCAACCTCTCTCTATAGGCAGGGATTCTGATCTGATGCTAAACAAAAAACTTTGTATATCGGGAAAGTATGCTTAAGTCAGAAGACCATTTGGCGATGGAACTGAAAAAACTCCGTCAGATTTGACTTACAAAAAAAAAAAAAATTTTGCGACCCCAAAGAACTTTATATTACAGTTCTACGTATTGAAGGAAAGAAAAGTATACATAAACTCAGGCCTTTATTGACTATACAGATTATTTCCATCTTTGAACTATGACGGCATTTTTCAATTTAGCATCAGCCACGGAAACATCTTGAGATTCTTCAATTGGTTTCACTGGGAAAGAATGGGACAATATGAATGGTCTCGATGCATCACCGGCATCTGGGTGGCTTCTAACGAATTCGTAAACAGACACTATGGAGTCTGTTGAGTTAAACTTATGAGATATCCTCTTACCGTTAGCGAATCTAATTTGGACTAGAGAGTCACCTTCACCTTGATCTTCAGGTTTATGTTGGGCTTTTGGTGTTTCAGTGGGAGGAGGAGTTGCAACTGGTCCTGAAGAAAGTTCTCCTGGTACAGGGGACCCTAATCTTTGACCTTGACCGTGGAATCCTCCAACTTTTCTCTTTGGGGGAGTCCATTCTTCATCGGTCTTCTTAATGACCGAGACATCGACATCTTGGCCAAATTCAACATTCAATAAGGCCACAGGTACTCTTCCACGATTCAATTCTTGTAAAACGCTTGCATTTTCTGGATCATCGTATCTATGTAATGGGCCATCGCTAACAGTAAAACCTTGTCTCCAGAACGTGATTTCTCTCGAAACTTTAGCAGGTCTCTGTGGTATGTTTGCATTAGGATCTACGATTTGTTCACTGGGAGCGTCTTCCCCACCAAGCTTAAACCCAGTACCTGTAAATTGTCTACGGGGAACTTCATCTGGTAGTTGATTTGCTGATGGGCGATCATCTGGTTGTTCTGCTTGTTCTTTTGCTCTTTGGAAAATTTGGTCAATGACTCCACGGCCTGATTTCTTTTTATCTTTATTTGGATCTTCAACCTGTAACCCTGATTTTTCACCTCCGGTGAAGAAATTAGTATCGGTTTTATCTTCTTCAGACCCGTCATCTTGACCGTTCAAATCTCTAAAAGTTCTAATACCCCCGCTGCTTCTTTTCTTACCAGAGGCACCAGCACTTTTGGCACCAGAAGAAGATGCTCCGGCATCATTGTTGGAGTAAAAATCTTCAATTGCATCCATGACATCGTTGTCGTTCCTGCTTAAGTATTGTTCAGCAAGTGATCTGGAAGAATTGGTCACATTGACAAATTGATCAATCAATTGTTCTTGTTCGGGGTCTGACATCCTCGTTGTATGGTGTATGTATGATTTCGATTCAACCAAACTTAGGAAAACGTCGATTATGGTCTAAGTAATTCAATGCTAGTCAAGGCCTTTAAAGCTTAATTGAGGTCTCTTTTTTCTCTGATGGCGAATCCAGTATTTGATGTACGGGTGTTTTCTTTTTAAATTTGCAATTTTAATTTGCAATTTTAATGTCTACAAACTTACAATTGAACAAAGTAAAAAGTATAAAAACTTAATATTTAAATAATAACCGATGTTGAAATCCCAAATAAAAAAAATTTATATATAAGAATATGAAATTTTTTAAACCCCGAAAAGTTGGTAGAAAAAATGGGTGAAAAAAATCAAAAAAAATGACATGAACTAAAATAACAAGATTAATTCCACCAACTCTTCAATAATTAAAATAAAGACATGAAAAAAAGCAAAAGAAACAAAAAGATAAGCGTCACAACAAAATTTCTTCATAACAAAATTAAAAGTAAAGTAAAAAGTAAAAAATTAATAGTAATAATTACATTAATGTTGAATAAATGTAATCGAGAGGATACAGCATCAACAATAGCAAAAAAGAATTGAATAATGCAACAACCATTTTCAAATGGGGTTTAAATAAAATAAAACACTAAAACAAGAAAGCAAAAAAAAAATAGAAGTTAGAAAACATTAATTTCTAAAGAAAATCTTTTTTGCAACTTGATTAGTATTTACCACGGAAGTGTTTAGCAGCTTCAACCATATTGGTTAAAGATTCTCTAACTTCAGTCCAGCCTCTAGTTTTCAAACCACAATCTGGGTTGACCCAGAATTTGTTGGCTGGGTAAACTTTCAAGATTTCTTCGATTCTGGTGATGAATTCTTCTTTAGATGGAATTCTTGGAGAGTGGATATCGAATAAACCTAAACCAATGTGATTTGGATAGTTTGAGAATTCTTGAATATAGTTTGGATCATCTTTTTTAGAGAATTCAATAGAAACAACATCAGCATCTAAAGCTTTGATGTGGTTTGGATCCAAATCAGAGTAACAGAAATGAGAGTGGATTTGAGTAGAGTTTTCGACACCAGAAGTAGCAACTCTGAAAGATTGAGCAGCCCAGTTTAAGTAATCGGATCTTTCTTTACCGGCTCTTAATGGTAAACCTTCTCTGATGGCAGGTTCATCGACTTGGATAACGGTGATACCGGCTTTTTCTAAGTCTTGAACTTCATCTCTTAAAGCTAAACCTAATTGTAAAGCTTGGACTTTTTGAGAAACGTCATCTCTTGGGAAAGACCATCTTAAACAAGTAACTGGACCAGTTAACATACCTTTCATTGGTTTGTCAGTAATAGATTGAGCGTAAACTGATTCTTTAACAGTCATAGCTTTTGGTCTAGAAACATCACCAACAACAATTGGAGGTCTAACATATCTTGAACCATAAGATTGAACCCAACCACCAGTGGTGAAAGCATAACCTTCTAATTGTTCACCGAAATATTGAACCATATCATTTCTTTCAGGTTCACCATGAACCAAGACATCCAAACCAATTTCTTCTTGGAATCTAACAACAGTTTCAATTTCTTTTTCAATGAATTTTTCATAATCTTCAGCAGATAATTCACCTTTAGCAAATTTATTTCTGTTGATTCTAATATCTTTAGTTTGAGGGAAAGAACCAATGGTAGTAGTTGGGAATAAAGGTAAGTTATATTTATCTTTTTGAGCAGCTAATCTATCATCGAAAGGAACTTTTCTAGTAGATAAAGATTCGTCAATAGTGGCTAATCTTTCTTGAACTTTTGGATTAGTAGTAATAGAAGATTCTTTTCTTGATTTGATAGAAGCAGCGTTAGCAGCTAATAAAGCAGCAACATCTTCACCACTAACGTTTTTAGCAATGGTAACAACTTCATCTAATTTTTGAGTAGCGAAAGAGAACCAGTCTTTGATGGTAGCATCTAATTTCTTTTCATTATTTAAATCAACAGGAGTGTGTAATAAAGAAGAAGAAGTAGAAACAATAACTCTTTCTTTACCTAATTTTTCAATAGCCTTGTTAACAAAGTTAGAGGCTTTAGAGAAATCAGTTTTCCAAATATTTCTACCATCAACAATACCAACAGATAAAGTTTGTTTATCATTCAAGATAGCAGCAACATCATCAAATTGTTCTGGAACTCTGACGAAATCAAAATGGAAACCAGCAACAGATAAATCTTTGATAGCAGATAAGTTAGCTCTAACATCACCAAAGTAAGTAGTTAAAACGATTTCTGGTAAAGATTCGTCACCAACTAAAGCATCAAAGGTAGCTTTATATTTAGATTGGACGGATTCTGGTAAGTCCAAAACTAAGATTGGTTCATCAATTTGAACTTGGTTAGCACCAGCTTTTTTCAATTCAGCTAATAAAGATTTATAAACTGGTAAGAATTTATCTAATAAAGAAATTGGATCTAAATCTAAAGAATCTTTATCAGCTTTACCTAAGAATAAGTAAGAAATTGGACCCAAAACAACTGGTCTAGTAGAAATACCTAATTCTTTAGCTTCCAAGAATTCATTAACTGGTTTTAAACCGGCTTCTTGGTTTAATTTGAATTCAGTAGAGTGAGAGAAAGTTGGTCTAACATAATGATAATTAGAATCAAACCATTTAACCATTTCTAAAGCAGTGACATCAACAGCAGCAGTAGTTTCGGTGGCTTTTCTTTGTAAACCTCTACCCATAGCGAATAAAACGTCAATTGGGGCCAAATCAAATTTAGTATATCTGTCTGGAATAACATTGAATAATAATGATAAATCTAAAACTTGATCATAGTAAGAGAAATCATTAGATGGAATGATATCAACACCAGCAGCTTGTTGTAATTTCCAATTGTGGGCTCTCAATTCCTTACCTTTAGCTAATAAGTCTTCAACAGAGACTTTACCTTGCCAGTAAGATTCAGTAACTTTTTTCAATTCTCTTTGACCACCAATACGTGGGAAACCTAAGATGGATGATTGAACCATAATGTATTTGTCTTTTCTTTTAATTGAGTATTTGGGATACAACAATAATAATGAAATATAAAAAGAAGAAAAAGTTTAGGTTTTTTTGCTAATTGGGAGAAATTAGTTGCAATTTATAACTTTTGGGGGGGAGGGACAATATCAATGTTGAAAATTTTGAAAATTTTTTTGGTTGATTCTCCCTTCACTATGGCTCTAACATTATTTCAGTATACTCTGAACCAGTGCGCACCGCTAATAAATCCCCGTTTTAGGAGCAGCTATATACAGGCTCTATCTTATCCGGAGTCAGTTTTGCAAAATTTGCCAATTGACTCATCAGAATCAACCAACTACAGTGTTCAGTTCAGTAGATGCTCACCAGTAGCGGTTCACCCGTAGATGTTCACCACTAGACGCTCACTCGGGTCAAGTCGTGGGAGCATCCCTGTAGGGTCTCTCCTTGAATCAGGCCAATTATCTGGACTCGACTGATTGGTTTTCGCACGCGTGTTTCTCGTTTAGATCGAACGCAAACGAAGGGAAAACGTGTGTTCACGTGACACGTTGTCAGAATTGTGTACTGCACATAACTGCGGCATGTGATAAATGGCGGTCGTGTGCGTGGGTGAGAAGTGTCACGTGGCGGTCGTGGCGGTGGTAAAGCAATGTACGGGTGTGAATTGTGGGGTGTACGGGGGTTGTTGGTTTGGCACTATTTTGCAACCATCAACTGTTCACCACGACTTGTTGTTCTGGACGGTCTTCTGAAAGTCAGATGCAGAAGGATCAACAAGTGGTTGATGAATCTTGAGCACTTGTGTACGTAAACTTCATAGGGTCAAGATGAATAGCTTCAGAATCGAAAACATGGAACTTGCAAAACAATGCCGCTTCATGCAAAGAGCTTGAGCGATACATACTCTTGAGGAAACGAAAATGAACTATATTATAGAAATGGGTTAATATATACTAGAGAATTTATTAAACAGTCTGAGGAAGATTTAAATACGAGAATCACCACGGTTTTTTCTGTTTTTAACAATTTTTGCAATGGTGTCGTTACTGTGTAAGATCCCATATCTTCTGAATTGCTTGATTGCCTCGATCAAGTTGCTTTCGTGTTCATTAGTATAATTTTGAAAGAATTCACCCAATTGAGCAAAATATTGATAATTCAAGGTGAATTTTTCATTTTCTTCATTTAACAAATCTTTAATTGTTGATTTATTATCCAAAGGAGTGTTGAAGCCTTCACCCAAGCCCAAAAAGACTCCCAAGTTTTTCAATTTATCGAAAACACCAGCTTGATGAGCAGGAATCATACCACCGTGTTCTTTAATCTTATAATCACGATAGAAATCCTTGTATTCATCGGGACAAGCTCTTCTAGTTCCGGTCCAGCCAATGTCTAACAATTGTTCTTTGGTAACAGCGGCCTGGACGGGTGCTCTATGTAATTTGAAGAGTTGAATTGGATTAAAAGCACCGGTGTGAATGAATAAAAAGATAATTCCAAGTTTAACAATATGGAAAACAAAGAAAAAACATTGGGCCATGATGGAACTTTCGTGGATATCATCAAATAAAGCTTTACTCAAACCTTGTTGACCAAAATAATCAGCAACCGAACTTAAAATCTTAGAAACTTGGTTGGTTAAACAAATACCGGGGGTTGGACTAATAAAATCAGGCAAATCAGTGTATAACCAAACCAACAACAAAGTTAAAAAGGAGTAGAAGCCAAAATAATTAAACTCCCAAATTGGAATCAATAATTGGCCGGGCCAGATATGATCACTTACTTTATCGCTATTACGAACTTTTTTTCTAAATCTTTCTTCGCTGGTTTCATAACTGAACAAAAGACCACCATCCTCGGTGAGATACCCTGGAGCAGTGGACACATAGAACCCCAATGGTAACGAGTTGTAAAACAAGTTTGGTCTCAAGGCAATTGGCAAGGTTTTAAAAATTTTGAACAAATCTTTGAAACTATCGCTGGTTTTAACTTGGAAACAGTAATCTTTTTCTAAATCATCATTGAAACGAATGTACGTTTCCACGTATCCGGTATCTTCGACCTCAATCACGTCGTCAATGATTTTTTCTTCAGCCATCTTTGCAGTAGGAAGCATAGTGGAAGAAACAACAGCACTAGGGAGAAATCTATTTGTTCGACGAGATGGTCTGGTAGTGTCCGGACGCGCACAGTGGGGGAATGGGGTTTGACGACATTTCTGGGGGGTGGACCACTTCCGGGGGCCGGTCGCTCGAGGGCATCACCCGGAACTGGTATTTATCCCGGTTCGGTTTTTTCTGGTTTGACGACATTTTTTCGTTCTCGCTTTAATTGTTCCGACACAAACCCCGGCCATCCCCGATCGTATTCTCCTTGTATGAATAGAAAAGAATGCTTGCAAGAAGAGAATAGAAAAGGATATTGCAAAGAATAGAACAGGACTACAAGAAAAGGAAAGGATTGCCAGAAGAGAATAGAAAATTGCAAGATTTGCAGATGCTCGAAGGCCAAGATGGTGTCAAGATGTAGATGTAGATGACGGCCGCTACTTATGGATAAGGACAAGCAAAATGTGTCAAGACCCTAACCAGCATACGATGACACCTTCACCAAGCAACACGAAGCCAGTGGCCCATTGCCGGCAACCCAAAGCTCATTATAAGAGCAGCACTATGGACCGTGTATTCTAACAAGGCGTAAATCAAATGGCCCTTGGGTCCATAACATTCTTCTAATTATAGATTGAAACCGGATTGTACAACATTGCTTCTTTGGGTGTTTTTGTTTTTCAAATAGGCGGACTTCCCACTGATTTGTTGATGATTTGGAACAAGCCCCGGAAGAAGCCAGTATCACGAAAAAATCACCTTTCGAGAATGGTGTTTGGGAATGGTGTGCTGATAGACCAGGCCAACGTCTAAACGTTGCCCAGGCCATTAAATCCCTCGTAACTGGCGTATTCTGGTGGGTGTTCCTAACAAACCTGGGTATTGTTTGGCGTTGTTCCAGTCGTGTAATCCATCTTGACACCTGTGCAGGAGGATTCATTAATGCATTGGAGTTTATTGTAGTTTTGCAAGGTTATAGTGCGTTGTTTTGCAAGGTTATAGTGCATTTTTTTGTAATGCTACTTTGATTTATAACCTTTTGACCCCCGGCCCGCCTAATTATTTCTTTTTCAAGTCGTAGTATACCCATTGCCCCCTTTACTATTTATGTTTATACCGGATTCGCTAGATTAACTATTTATTCTCCCTGGATAATTTATATATTTGGATTTGCAAAATTTTCACTTTTTGATTCTCTCTTTTTTTTTTTTCACTTACTTCTGTAGTTCCTTCGTTTGTATTCATCCACTGACTCTCGTTTATTAGGTGTTTGAAGTATGTTGTTCAAGAACTTATTTGGTGCTGCCTTAATGGCCAGCTCTTATTTCATGTCTGCAGTTAAGGCTGATGATTTACCAGAAATTGAAATTGTCGGTAATAAATTCTTCTATAAAGAAAACGGTTCTCAATTCTATATTAAGGGGGTTGCTTACCAACAAAATACTGAAAACACTACCGGATCTTCTTTCAACGATCCTTTGGCTGATGTTGCTGCTTGTAAAAGAGATGTTCCTTATTTACAAGAATTAGAAACTAATGTTATTCGTGTTTATGCTTTGAATGTCTCTTTGGATCACACTGAATGTATGAGTTTATTACAAGATGCCGGGATCTACGTGATTGCTGATTTATCCGAACCAAATGACTCAATTGATAGATCTTCTCCAAAATGGAATGTCGATTTATATAATAGATACACCGGGGTGGTTGATTTATTCCAAAACTATACTAATGTCTTGGGGTTCTTTGCCGGTAATGAAGTTACTAATGACGATACCAACACTGATGCTTCTGCTTTTGTTAAAGCTGCAGTTAGAGATACTAAAGCTTATATCAAGGCCCAAGGTTACAGAACTATCCCAGTTGGTTACTCTGCCAATGATGATTCCAAAATCCGTGTTGCCTTGGCTGATTATTTCGCTTGTGGTGACGATGATGAACGTGCTGACTTCTTTGGTATTAACATGTACGAATGGTGTGGTTCTTCTTCTTTTAAAAAATCGGGTTACGAAACCGCTACCGAACAGTATGAAAACTTGGGTATCCCAATTTTCTTCTCTGAATACGGTTGTAATGAAGTCACTCCAAGAAAATTCCAAGAAGTTGGTACCCTTTACGGTGATGACATGACTGGTGTTTGGTCCGGTGGTATCGTTTACATGTATTTCCAAGAAGAAAATAACTACGGGTTGGTTTCAATTAAAGATGATAAAGTCTCCACTTTGGACGATTTCAACAACTTGAAATCTCAATTGCAAAAAATCTCTCCTTCTTCCGCTCAAGCCTCCGCTGAATCGGCCTCCTCCGTCTCCGGTACCTCTTGTCCAACCCATACTTCTGTCTGGAGTGCTTCCACTGATTTACCTCCAACCCCAGATGACGAAGTTTGTGACTGTATGTTGGACTCCTTGGCTTGTGTTGTTGCCGATGATGTCGACTCCGATGACTACTCTGATCTTTTCAGTTATGTCTGTGCTAAAATTGACTGTGGTGGTATTAACGCTAATGGTACTACCGGTAAATACGGTGCTTACTCTCCTTGTAGCAGCAAACAACAATTAAGTTACATTCTTAACTTATACTACTTGGATCAAGATTCTTCTAAATCCGCTTGTTCTTTCAAAGGTAGTGCTAGCTTGAAATCTGCTTCCACCGCTTCCTCTTGTTCTGCTTACTTAAAGAGTGCTGGTTCTTCTGGTTTAGGTACTGTGTCTGGTTCCATCCACACCACTAAACATACCGATATCACTAAATCCTCTAGTGCTACCGGTTCTTCTGGCTCCGGCTCTGGCTCTGGCTCTGGCTCTGGTTCCGGTTCTTCTGGTTCCAGCTCTAGCTCCAAATCTGGTGCTTCCAACTCCGTTGCCGTTGACTTTATCTCTAAATCATTAATGATTGGTGCAGGTGTCATCTTTGGTGCCGGTTTAATCGTTGCTTAAATTATCTAAAAGATTTTCCTTTCTACTTTTTGTTCCTCTACATATTTACTCTTTCTTTTCGCTTCTTCTTACCTCAACATTATCGTTTGAGAGTTTTATGGGCTTTATTTATGTATTTTATATTGATGAATATTCATTTTCAAAATACTTACCCATTAATTAAGGTTACATCTTTTTTTTTTTTTTCCACCCTTTTTCTCTGGCTCTTCTAACTAGCGCACAATATTGTCTATATGAATGAATGTGTCGCTAATGGATCGCCAGATGGAGTTTATTTAGATCAAATATACTTTTTTTTCATAACTTTATTACATCTCGTACTACGTCTAATTCGTGTATTCATTAATCTATATATTATTAGTCTTCATCACCATCAATAACCATCTTACGAATTTCCCAGAAATACTCGGGTGAGAAATTAGATCTGCTATTCAAATTATAAGTTGCATTATTATGAAACCAATACTTGGTCTTTTTAATAATCTTTTGCTCTTCCTTCAAAAATCTTTCGATTGTCTTGTCAGAAATATTAAATAATTCAGTCTCGGTATCATTAGACACTTCGTCAGAATCATTTTCAACATCATCAATTTCACTTCTAGGAATCTCAGAACTAGCTAACGAGCTAGTAGAATTGGCTCTTTGGTTTGAATGACTAAAGCCTCTCTTGGTAGAGCCGGATCGTTTGAAACTTATACTTCTATTTAGTTCTGGCTCTTGATTCGAATTCAAATTCAGAATATCATTGAAAACATCATCTCCGTCATCTGCATCAAGATTGATCCACCTAAGATTTTCGGAATCAAATACCATATTTCCGTGTATCTTGTGGGTCTTCTGATCAAAATCTTGAGCGTTAATTAATCTATTGGATTGACTTTTATTTAAACTATTGGCTGACGGTGCTATATTTTCAAATCTCAATAAATCAATGTCATTACCTTCCCACCTTGCATCCGTGGGATTAAACTTCATTTTGGAATTTTGAATCGTCGATTGAGGTAAGGCTTCGTTATTAGAATACCTAACAAGCCCTATTCTCTTTTTATTTCTAGAATTATTCTTTTGTGAAGAATTTAATTTCAGTCTGGGACTAGTTGGACTTTCATTTCTTTGAGAATTTCTATTTTGTTGATTTTGTTTGCCATTTAATCGCTTTTGCTTTTCTGATATCTCCATATATTTATTTAATAATTGTTGTTTTTGTAATTCAATGTCTTGATTCATTCGGGCATCTTTCTCGTTGGAACTGTTATTTTTGTTATAGAATGACGGTATTCTGTCCAATTTTCGTATTATTTTATTGTTGTTATTGAATACCGGATGTTCATTCTCTAATTCACTTACCAAATCAACAGTAGATCTATATTTCTTCATTGAATTGGAATGCGTTGAAGATTGGAAATTAGGCATTGACATCTTGGTTATAAGGGGATGATCTGTATTATCACTTTTCTTGTTTGACTTGAATTGTTTCAATTTCTCCACTTTTATTGGCGATTCTAAATCAAAATCATCTTCAAATTCGTTAAATTCTTCATTAGCATCATATCTCAATGTCTTTTCGTTTTCATTTTCATCATCTCTACGATTTGTAAAATCTCTTGATCTCAAAGTTTTTGCTTCGTTATGTTCATGAAGTTTTCTGTATTTCTTCTGTAATTCTCGTTCTTCGATTTCTGCATCATTTTGTAATTTTTTTTGCATCATGGAAAGGTGTTGATTTGCTTTGAATACCATAGATTTGTCTTGAGTTTCATTTCCATTGCCACTATAAATACCGGTTTCTCCTTCTCCAAAAATATTGTCAATATCTTCAAAATCATTTTCGTTAAACTGAGAAGTGATATCAGTATCACAAGTATCTTCACTATATTCACTTAAGGATTTTCTTCGTTTTGGTGAAGAGGTTGAAAGAGTAGTTGGTGAAGGTGATAAACGCACTTCACGCAGCAGTATCATGGGTTGACGAAACTTCAATTTATTTGAAACTCTTTCATCATTTGGTTTAAATCCCATATCATTCAAGTCCAAGAACTCATCATCAAAAGAGTCAACGTGTTCTGGTGATTCAACGTATTTCAATAGATCTTGGTTGGGAGATAAAGAAGCTCGTGATTTCGCTGATTGGAGTTTTAAAGTTTCAACATTATTTTGATTTTGAGATTTAAATGGATCTTCTTCAGCTCCTCGGCCATTTCTTTTTGGTGAGAGTTTGAGAGTTTGAAATTCATTATCTAGAAAAAATGCATCCCCAAGATTTTCGTTGGATAGTATATCTTCAACTTCGGCAGAATCACTGAGACTGTCATCTCTTGGAAGCTCATGATTGTTGGATTGAGGAGTGCTGAATATTCCGTCTTCTTCTTGATCTTGAAAACGAGATAGAAAGTCTTGTTTGCTTGGTAACCGGGATGTCGGTAATGATGATGATGATGATGATTTATGACTCTCGTTGGAGTTGGTTACACTTCTCTTTCCCACGGTACGAGGCGGTGGTGTCATTATCATGGCTGAAGGTTTGACAGAACTTGTTGATCTTTGAGTATTAAGTTTATGCCCCTGCTGGGAAGGAGAATGTCTTCTAGCTTTATTCGAATAATGCATTTTTTTTTTTTTCAACTTCAATAGACCTTCTCAAACATAAATAAATATTTATATATATAAACTGGCTTCAAAATCTTTCCTTGGGAACCAAATATCTCCGTGGAATACTTTGGGAACGAGCTAATTCTGTACGTAATTTTTTTGGATTCAATTAACCTTCGAATTTGTGCTTCCTTACTTTCCCCTTCCTTTGTATCACACGTAAATAATTATTAGTAGGTAAAAGATACCTTTGCAAATCCTTTATTGTGGATTCTGGCTAAAAAATAATAAACCCTGTTGATAATTCAAAAGTTCAATGGTTGATAAGTCAAAGAGGAGGAAGCATTCTAATAGAAAAATACAAAAACTAGATCAAAAGCATTCAATGTCAAAAATGTAAACAATTCAAACAATGAAAAATATACTGTTTTAGGACTAAAATGTAAATATCAGTCCTGCACCTTATATGGTAATGGTGTATGGGTTTTTGTGTGCGAATTTTTCTTTTTTGCAACCCAAACCTTGTGACTTTATGCTATCGTGCTCAAGGGGGTGTACTCTGGCTTAGCCCTTACAACATCTATTGGTGCTTCAGCACCGGTATCGTTATTTTTCTGGAACAGTGGTTGAACGAATTTTTGGAATTGTGTGGGAACCATCAGTCTGACGTCGACAGTTATAAAATCTTTGAGTAGGATAGGAATCAAGATTGACGAGGCAAGAAAGGCTTGTACCAATAGGAAAAGAAGGCAATATCGGAGCAATCTCCATTTTCTTTGGGTTTTTTGTTTGGCAGAAAGAATTTGGCCCCGAAATTGTTTCGAAGGCTTGAGCCAGAAGATCATTGTTGAATGCAATTTATCAATAAATGGAATGAATATAAAAGGAACCATGGCCATAAATAAAAGATGACCTAAGATAAAATCATAAGAGAAAAGACTCATTTCACAAACCTTCACCACCAATTCTCTAAAAGGTTGCGTTATCGCCAACCATCCTAGTTTCTTAGACAACCATTTGCCCGACCACCAGGCTCTATTCGAAAAATCATCTTTTAGTTCTTTTGAAAGACAAACTAGTAAAACAAATTGTAAAATGGTTTGTTGAAGGCTTAGTATTAGTATTAATCCACATAGACTCCTAGCTAAACTAAAGCTATGAGTGAAGAGAAGAAGTTCTAACGATATTAAATGCATGAATACGGAAAAGAAGTGAGCAAATCCAGCAATTGCCGAAGGTGCACTTTTAAACATGCACGATAAGATAGGACCAACAACCACTGATAAAGGATAGAGAAGTAGTAAGAGGCCAAGGTTAGCAAGAATAGGAAGGAAGGATATAATTAAAATCCTAAAAGCTGGATTGACACCTTGCTGATTCTTTACACCGGTTTGAGAATTAATGAACATATAGGGAAGGAAATAGAAAAGGGTTGCAATTAATGGCATAATTACTTGACCAAAGAAGCTGCTAAGTTTAGAAGGAGGTTTAGTAATATCTAAGATCATCCTGCCCCCCTCACTTGCTGGAATTTTTCTTTTATAACCGGTATATTTAGATCTCTGTACTTTCATAAAACCCACCCAGGAGCTCCTATGCCATTTGCTATTACCTCGCAAAAGCCAACGTATGAAGTTTCGATAATCCATGAAAAAAGCCGTGAACGAAAATTGATGCGGGTTGAAGATAAATGGAGCCAAACACATTGAAATTGTGGTAATCCAAAACCATACAAGGGCTGGTTGCCACATAGTTAAGGTTGCAAAACATATTATGAGGAGCATCTTCGCACCAGGGTAAATTGACTGTGAAGCGTAACGCGAGTATAAATCCGTGAAGGATATTCTTGAGGTTGCAAAACCCCGACCTGTTGCGACATATTTTGCACCCCCAAAAGATATGTTATCAATCAAAGACTTGGCATATATTTGACAAACAAATACTTCGAAGAATGGTGACATTGAAAGAAAATGATAAAACATTCTAAGAAATGCTTTTGTGAACCCCTTTTCGATCAATTCTTCTATAACCAAGGGACTAAAAGAAATGAAAAAACAAATGAAAACCGAAAGTACAAATCTTGTTACCCAGTTCAACACGGGAACGATATTATAGCATCCAATAGGCTGATGCAAGTCTGTGAACGGAACATCGGGATTATAATCACACTTTATAATCTCATGGTTCAATGATCCTAAACTCACCAAAACAAGCATGAATAATTGAACAGATAATATGATGAATAAATTATTGATATGAAAACCAGCATGTGCATAATAAAAGGATAAAAATCTATCAATAGGAAGATTACATCCCAAATAGTAATGTTCTCTAGACAATAATTGCTCACCCATACCAGCTCCGACTTTTGTAGTGAAATTTAAAATAGTACCAAACCCTAGATCTCGACCTTTCCCACATTGATAAAAATCACAATGTTTGATTCTACCCCCACGACTGATAGCATTCATTCCAGCATAAATATCTTCATTTAAATGTAACCCTTTTTGGGCTTTAGATACACCACCTCTTGTTGTCATGAAAATACCATTTATAAAATCAGGATGGCCATAATGAAGCTTTCCTCCAATCTCGGCTAAAGTACGAGCAAATAAAGTACCAAACGTTTGTTCCTTACCAGCTGCAATATCTCCCAAAATACCGATATTCTCTGAAAAAATATATTCTCTTGCTCCGATGAAAGCAACAGGACTGGTCGCCTTGGTTTCAAGAATACCCGGGATATAATCGTTTACTGGATTTAATTCTATTTCTTCAAATTCACATAAAACCGATTTGATTTTTAAACACTCTTCAATATAGTTATCCTGATTTGCATCGATAACTTGTAGGTATTCCCCCCTAGTAAATATTATAGAATGGTTTTGATTGTCGGACTTTCCATCTCCCAAAATAGGATTTCCAGGTAATCGGATCCTATACTTTTTGACGAATTGTTCATCACAATTTTCATGCAACACAGAGAAATAGCTTATCTCGTCAGAAATTTTATCCTTTTCTTCTTCCAAGGAAACTATTTTAATAGCTGGGTAAATGCTAAATAATTTCAATGCATCATCTCTCTCTTGATCTGACATTTTTTGAAAACGTTGCATGGCAATAACTAATCTGAACTTCCTATTTACAAAGTTATCTAAATCTTCTTCAACTACTTCTGGTGTATAAGGATACTTTGAACCAACATCGTTATCCTCAAGTTCGTACAAAAGTCGGAGTACTTTATCATAGTTCATGAATCCAGAAACCGTACGATATAAAGTTTGATATCTTAATGAAGCCCAAATTCTTGTTCTCATGGTATACTCCGGTTGTGCATCTTTAAATCCAACACAATAGTATGGTAAGTCATCAATTTGGCTTTTAACTAGTTTAGCAGTATCGGTTATTCCCGATTCAGTAACCGATCTATGGACTATCATATCACTTTGATTGGAGTATTCTGGCCCTTGAGAAGATGAAATAAGAGTAAGTACTTTTGTATCTTTAACAAAAGCATCCCATTCTGAAGGATGAAGCTTTTTCAAATACTCCAATAAAGAAACTTTTGAAGATTTGCTTTCTTTTAATACTTCAGTTAAAGTTAACAAAATCTTCTCCGAATAATGAGGTATTAAGACTGAAAAAGAGGGGAGAGCTTTGATTGGTATAGGTTCTGGGATAGGACTTGATAGTGACTGAGCAAAAAATAGAATACGTCTTTCTGCCTCTTCGTTTGGATTGAAAAAGTCATTCATTTGAAAGAGATTATTATCATCCTGGAAAACAAAGAATAAAGGTGGCCTTATATTGGAACCTTTGTTCCCAGAATAATCATCAGTCAATAATCTTTGGTAAATTAATTTACTTACTTGTTCTGTGGAAAGGAGGTGCTCACGGTACATTGAAATGACAATACTATTCCAGATCTGCAAAGTTAACAAGATTGGCTCACATTCTAGTTCAGTCGAATTGATAATTTTTGTGAATATCCTTTCTGGAAGTCTGGCAAATATATTTCTCCAAGGACTGAAAACAGATATACCCAGGGAAAAAGAAAGCCCAATTGAAAAAAAGCAGTTGCATATAATATACCAAAGATATGTGTCTAAGAAGAATAGAATCAAATCCGTAATATAAAGTAATATCATAGCAAATAATGCTTGTTGTTTGCATAATAAAGTTCCAAAAACTACATCACCATTGCATCTTGTCATATCCATTGTGAATAACTCTCTTACGGGGTCCCTTAGTGAAAGTGTCAAAAAGAGATAAGATTCAAAAAATTTAGCCAGGAAAACACTCAACCACAACATATAGGAGAATAGTCGACTTTTTTTCAGCATATTAGGAAAAGAACAGGTGAAAATGTTGGATTTTATTACAGTAGCCTTGGGTTGAAGCCAAGGGTAGAATAACTTGCTGGGTGGGGTTATTGCGAGGTAGATTGTTGAAAGTAAAGATATAACAAAATGGATTATACTTACTATTCGTCCATGCTTTGAATAAACATCCCATCCAATGAAGCCAAAAACATAAACAGAAGGAGCAAGATTAATCCCTAGTAATATTATAAGTAAAAGGAATCTTCCAAATAAGGGTTGAGCACCGGGAGAGTATCTAGGAATAAATATGAATTCAAAGACGGTTGCTAAAAGACAAATCAAGCAAGCTATCAGTCCACCTAGTCCAAGTACACTCCATTGGATTTGGGGTGCAGCCTTGTTGTCCAAAAGCTGGCTATAGTTTTTAGTGTAAAGACTTGGAGAATTGAATGAGGTGTAATACCAGAATACCACTATATGAATGATCCAAATTCTACTAAAATTAGTCAAAAGATGGGCCCAAGTTCTCTTCTCTCTATACGTTTTATAAAATTGTTTTTCCCAATCGATTGAGCCCAACTTTAAATATCTTTGGGCAGGTGGTATATCAAGAAGTTTTGTTTTATCAAATAATTTTAACTTTTTGATATTTTCCGGATACCAAAAAAACAGGTTTATGTCGTCATATCCAATGATTTGAGAATGGTCTTTTCGATTTATTTTAACCCAAGAACCATCCTTTAAAACATATTGCTGAGACCTAATGAATCGGTATAGCGGAGTTATAATTGTCTCAAGATAAAAGAATTCAGATTTTGCTTCATCCACTGGTAACTCTTTATTAAATTTCAAGTATTCCATTGCACATTTAAAAATAAAACATATACATTCTGGCATGAATCTGACGTTACCAGCTTCACCCCAAACTAATAAATAGAGACCGACGTGGTAAATATAATCAGTTTGTGAGTACGTCTGCAAAGTCTGCCTCCATTTATACTCCAATGCAAGTAAAGAATCAGAATCATCGATATTATTTGAGTAGTTAAGAGACTTTTTCAGTTTTCTCTTATTCATGTTTTTCAAGGAACGCCATCGGTGATGATATTTTCTCCCTTTGATATCAAGTCCTTCATCTAATTCATAATGAGCAGCAAAGTACCATTTTTTGTAGTTTGCTTGATTTCCACCAATATAGTCTGCGTGAATGGACAATAAAGCTATTGGACAAGAACTTCTGCTTGACCTCGAGTCAAGCAAAGACATGAAATAACTAAACATGTTATCGACGTTGTCAGCTTGGAAACCAAATAGCTTACCCAAGTGTTTAAAAATCAGCATAATCTCATCTTCATTTAAGGGTGCACCATTGTCTTCACACCAAGATGAATACTTAAGAGACTTATTGGGGTTGAAATCGGTACCAGAGGCTTTCCAAGCATTCTTATCTTCAATAGGCGGGCCTGGAGTAGCCGCAGCTTCCTCGTACTTCTGATAAATCCCATAATCTTCAAGATATTGCGAGCTATATTCGTTTCTATTCATAACTTGATGAAATTCTTCGTTCTGATCAGTTATGCTCTCCACCTCTTTTTCACTCAAGCTGGAGTTGGTGCTTCCCTCAATCTCGGAGGTGTCTAACATTTCAAGGAATACCTGGGTAATCTGCCTATTTATCAAGACTCTAATATGTGTATTGAAATAGCCGCTATATCTTTTTTTTTTCATTTGGCTGCAATTTTAATCCCCAAATAGAAACAAAAGGGTGCGACTAATTAAGCGAGACGTGCATATTGAAATCGCCTAACAAAAAACTGTTGAGAAGTTCCTTTCTGCTACTACTTAATAGTAACGAACAACTGACACTATTTTCCAATGATATCCCTAAGTCCCAGCATATGTTTGTAAAGTATACAGCGAGCAAAAAAATATAAAAATAATTGCCTTCAGCCAGATTCGAACTGACGATCTCCTCATTACTAGTGAGGTGCCTTACCAACTTGGCCATAAAGGCTGTTCGATGACCAAAATTTGGTATGATTAAACATGTTCAGCTGATTATACTGACGTTTGCCTAATAAAAAGTTTAAAAAGGCCGGCTAATTTATGTATTGAGTGCTTCTGGGGTTGTTTGAATAAAAATTCATATCAAAATATGCACTGTCTTAGCATTTAATTGTGTTTTTATACTTTTTATGACGAACAAAAAGACTTCTTATTTTCGTCACTTTGTGAACAATCAACTAAAGTGGTTTTTTGAAATTTTCCACTATGCACCCCTTTTGTATATCTCTATCTACTCTCTTTATCTTCTATATAGTTAGTATTTAGATCAAATATATAAAAATATACGTGAAAAAAAAAAAAACAATATTTTGCAAACACCTTTTGTATTGTGTATCAAAAGTATTTTTGCCTTCATTTCCACTTCATTATGAGGGTACATAGGCAAAGCCCTTTTGGCTATTGGCCAAAGGTGGGATTGCCCAGGAGGTTGTATCCTAGGCATTCAGACCTAAATTTAGTCCCTGAGGGCCATATAAAATCAAGCCAATCTTGTGGCTGATAGGTTTGTTCTTGAATTACGCAGACAAGACTATTCAATAGTCATATACTTTCGAATGAAGTAGCTCTTGCCTTACTTACAGAAAATCATTCTTTTAGGTCCACTCGTGCGTGAATATTTGTTTATACAGGGTATATCTAATGACAAAAATATACCGCAAAGAATGAATGTTCAAGCGTATCTTTTCTTAAAGTTATTTCTTTTTTGATCTGGTATGAAGCGGAACGGAAATCAACAGCCCTGCTGTCTGATTGTTAAACACAATTTCATTCCACGAGAGTGCAAGATTGGTTTCCTGTTTTTCAGGAGAAGCAGATTAATATTAGTAACAAGTCGCTGTCTACAACCACTACAATCACTAGTTTGAAAGGAACATTTACTTAACGAGAATAAAAATAAAAAATTAAGAATTATAAATTTCGCAGCTTTTTTTACAAAATTTTGCAACATTTACTACATTTATCTCAAAAAAAAATTTCAATAACTCCAACAATAGAACACCAAAAAGATTCAAAAGCCCAATTCAACATCTCTCTTTTTCAACAAGTTTGTGAAATTTCTCGAAAACTTTCTGTTCTTTCTTTCTACTGGCTTCCGCCACATCTGAAAATGCATGATATATCCATGCAACCAAGCATTTTTTAGTATTCAAGTCTTCGTCATCCAAGTTTATTACTTTATAACGAAATGGAATAACAGCATCCCCAGGGATACTATTTGATTTGAGCAACTCGTCGAGCTTTGTTTCATCGATTTCCAAAAAAAGGGTAGTTGCCCAATTACTTATAATGCCACGGGTAGTCTTGAAACCGATGAAATATTTGTAGATACCTTTAATTATTGACTGGAATTCTAAAGAATTTGAACGAATTTTTTTATTTGAAAAAAACTCGGTGAAAGCTGGGCCCTTGACATCAACAAATACCGACCCTTCTTTATACCTCAATGAATAAATCAAAAAAGGTGCTCCTTCGAAACCGTCTTGTAAATATCTCATTCTTGGTAAAATATCATAATCGGCAAAAGCGAATAGGCCCATTGCTGGTTCTCCAAACCATTTATGAAATAAATAGGAACACTGCTTTTCATTAGTCGGCCGAAACATATCTTTAGCTTGAGGAGCTGTACCAGCAGCAGCAAACTTCCACCAAGCTCCCGATTCAATCACCAGTTCAATTTTGCTTTCATAATCTTCACGAAACAACTCATAGTCGTTGAACGCTTTACCATCCAACTCACTAGTGAAAACTGGTTTCGGCAAATCGTCATCATCTTGGATGCTGAAAGAACTATTGACAATCTTTGGCTCTTTCGCTCCCGGTTGGTTCGAGTTAGAGCCTTCCGGGGCAATGTTTTCATTGGTTACAGACGTAAGAGTATAAATCATCTTTACTTTGATTTCAATCGAGCGTATTAAGAAGCAGCTTCTACCAAGATATCTCTAGGGAAAAGGCTACTAAAGAGAGATCGGGGTACTTATAATCTTTTTGATACGGTGATTTTTTTGCAACTCAAAGTTTACAAACCCATTTTTTAAAAAACAAAAAAATTCAAACTCATTAATTAACTATGACGTAGTCCTTTCTCTAACTTGGTACTTGTCCCAACCATCGTACTAATGCTTCTTTATCATTTGAAAGCGACTTTCATATTTGACTGGTCTCTATCTTATAAACCATTTTGAACGGTGATTTTCTAATGAAACTTCAGTTCAGTAGTTAATGAAGTACACTGAAGCAATTTCCTGCAATTGATCTTTTCTACTATTATAAATATTGTTAGATTATTTGCACCCAAAGTTTATTGGATGCAAGTTTTTCCTCTTCATCAAATTACAAACTTTCAAAATTTGCTGGTTCAAAAACGATACCACTTGATAACATATCATTCTATGAACGAAATGATATCAAAAGGGCTACTGGTGATTAAAATCCTTAGTTAAGTGACTGATTGTATATTTCTTTTTTACAATTTATTTTGGGAGGTACGGGTGGGAAAAATTGAGAAATTTTTTTTTTTTTTTTATCTCATTAAAAAAGTTAAGCCGATGAGATGAATCTTTATCAATTAATTCTTTCTTATAACGAAAAACCAAGATGCCTTCAAGAAACAGTATAAATAGACCAAAAGATAAGTTATACCGTGCTAGCCACAACAACTCCATTGGTAAAAAGAGGGTTGCTCGTGCCAGAAAAGCTGCCCCAACCAGATCATCTACATCTCGTTATAATACCAGTAGTGCTCCAACTCCTACTGAATCTAAAGCAGTCGCATTATATAATGGTGGTAATCCAGGAACTGTGTTAAGTAGTACATCCTTATCCAATAAGAGAGCCAAAAAACTTTCAAGAAACCAAAAATATATCAATAAAAGAAATGAACAATTAAGTATTGATGTATTAGCTAAACAAGAAGAAGGTATGGATATTGATGAAACTTCAAGAGCAGAAGAAGAAAAGAAACAAAAGGAACAAAGTCAGTTAGATAAGGTTAAACAAGCTTTATGGGCTGTTGTTGAAGATGCCTCAAGTGCATCATTCAAAGTCAATACTGAAGGTGAAGGTACTACTTTAGGTGTTCAAGCTTTTTAACCACTTAAAAAGATCTCTTATTACACCGTGTATATTAGCTAGAGTGATTTAAAATCACTTATTTTAGTTTCTCTTCTATTATTTTAACAATAAATATCATTTTTTAGAAAATCAAAACTATGTAACCATCTATCTACATAAACTATAACCCCACAAATCAACCTATATATGATTATTTATCCAAGACACCTTTTGAAGCCAAACTATCTTCAACTTTAGACCTTAATAAACTAATAAGTTTGGATGGATCAGGAGCAGTGAAACAAGAAGTACCAGCAACAATAACGTTAGCCCCGGCATTTGCAGCATCATCAATTGTAGCCTCACCTAAACCACCATCAACTTGAATATTCAACTGAGGGTATTTTGATCTTAAATCCTCGACTTTAGGCATCATATCCTTCATAAATTTTTGTCCACCGAAACCTGGTTCGACAGTCATAACTAAAGCCATATCTAAACTTTCAGCCAATGGATATAAAACACCAACATCTGTACCTGGTTTAATGGCACATGCAGCTTTTAAACCATGATCCTTGATTAATTTAACTAAAGCTACTGGATCTTTAGTAGATTCGTAATGGAAAGTATATTGATCTCCTCCGGCTTTAGCAATTTCTGGTACCCATTTTTCTGGCTCAGAAACCATCATATGACAATCGAAAAAAGTTGGTTTACCTTCTTCACGAGGAATCTCTTTTCTCAAACTAGTGATAATTGGAGGTCCCAATGAAATGTTTGGAACAAAATGTCCATCCATAACGTCAATGTGCAACCAGTCAGCACCGGAATCATACATTTTATGACAATTGCAACCCAAATGGGCGAAATCAGATGCAAGAATTGATGGAGCAATAATTGGTTTAACCATTTTTCTTCAGTTTTATACTAAGTTGTTGAAGAGATCAAGAGAAACAAGTAGTTTCGATAAATTTACCGTAATACATTGCTATCGAGCAATAGCTGTTGGGAAGAAAAAAACACACCCAAACACCAAGTAGAGCTGTGCAGGAGACAACGAATTGACTACAATAACCAACTAGAAAGCTAATCTACGAACAGTCGATACTGATATATCCAGCCAATCATCAAGTCCAGTTATTCTACTTCCATTGAGGTGAAGTAGGTAGCTTGCGTGGCTTCTAATAAGCGTTGAAGAACAAGTTGCAGACAAAAATCCGTGCCCCCTCCACATTTCACGGAGTATTCGCAAAAGGTGGCAGTTCTAAGTTAGATCAAAAGTTGATGAAACACAAGTATTTCACGATTAGAGTTCAGTCGATATCTGGATCAGGAGAACGGTATTGGAACGAGAATTAACGGACGCAAATGACCCAAGAAAACCATATCGAAGGAGCATCGTATCCCGAACAACTTTTGGAAGCTGCAAGAAGAAACAATACTGAACTTTTACTACAAATCAAATCCGAATTAAATAATGATCAAGAAAAATTAGCTAATTTGATCAATACTACATCAGAAGTGATTACTCTGAATTCTCCATTGCATTTAGCCACCCAATTGGGAAATTGGGAATTCATAGATATAGTGTTGGATATAGAAGGGGTAGAAATAGATCCAATTAATAGAGAGGGTGATACTCCATTACATTTAGCAGTGAAATATACCATTGATGAACCTGACCACGGCTATTTTGTTATTGATAACTTACTTGATGCGGGATCCGATCCTAGAATCAAAGATAAACATAATTTGAAACCAGTTGATTATGTCAATAAAGATAATCAGAAATTGAAAGACTTATTAGAAAGTGCCGAGTATGCCATTTCAATGGAAATCCCCGATGATGAAATACTTGCTGCTGAACAAGGGGATGATGACGAAGGATCTGCATCTGAATCTGATTAAAACCATAGACCTTCTATACCTTTATTTTTTCTTTTTTTTTTTTTTTTAATTCTAAATTCCTATATATACATATATATTTATAATTCATTACAAGTTTTCATACTTGGAAGTCATCAATAGATGTTCTTGGCCAGTATTTGAGAACAGATCTTCCGTGTTCCTTTAAGGATTCTCGTTGATGGTTTTGTAGTTTCCATGAAGAATAGTGAAAGCTACCTAAATTAGCAATTGTTTTTGCAATTAAATAAAACTGCTCATTGCAAATGAAACTTTGTCCGGTAGGTTTTGGCGGCTTGCCCTTGATAAAACTACCATTTTTCACTCCGTTATTCAATACTTGAGTGTTGCCATTAGGTATGACACGTAAAAGCGATAATTGTGATGGTACAACTTTAGACAGACAAGTTTCGGGCTTTTGAAACTCAAAACCATCGTCATCACACCGTATATGTTTCATATACTTGACTGAATGGTCTTTGGATTGAAATCTATCATAGAAACATCTGGTCAAATCACGTTCACACGCTTTACTTTGAGGCAAAACCAAGTAATCAATAAATATAGGATCTTTCATAAAGTAACTTGTAAAGCAATTGTTTATCCCAATCAATTGTTTCATGCATAGTTTATCGGAGCACGATTTACTTAAAGAGATCAAACTGTCAGCTCTTCCTGGTTTAGTTCGTACCTTTCCCAATTGATCGAAATTGGCTCTTCCTCTCAATACGGTTCCTTCATTGTCTACTTTACGTCTCTTTTCTGGCTTGGTCTCTTGCCAGGGTTCTCTCTCATCGGCAATATAAGTCATTGAAGCATCTCCACAAGGCGGCTCCGAAATATAAAGAGCTAACTCGATATTCTCCCTAAGACTGAATTTGGCTTCATCCTCACATTTTTCAATGATCTGGGAACTGTACTGGTCATTTTCAATCAAAAGACTCATTTCTTTCAATAAGTACCAATTGAATAACCGTAATGTCAATATTTCTGCATGCATGTCATGAACCATACTTCCCTGGGAATACTGTCTTACCTTATCTGGTAAAGCTTTAACTCCTGTTGCAAAACAAATAGGAGAAACTTTGTAATTTGCAGTTTCATCTATTTCGATCATAGCGATGCCTGCAAGAACTGTCCATTCTTTAACCCCATTACTTCTTACGCCTGGTTTCCCGGACTTTACAGAAAGATTGTTGAATGCGTCGACAATCAGTCGACTGACTCTATTTGCAAGTGCCTTATCCTTGATACTGTCATCTTGCATGCTTAATTGATAAGAAGAATTATGATCAAACTAAAATCAAGAAAAAAAAAAAAAAATAATTGATGAAAAGAAAAACTACATCAGCACGCACATCAGGAGGAATAGCTTTATTCATTATATAGGATTGGATATCATTAAAATAAAAGAGTAATTAAAGATCATTAGTCGTTGTCGGATAGGAATATCGGATACCTAACGTTTTTTTCTAGCCAATGCACCAATCAAACCAACCCCAAGTGCTAGTATTCCTCCAGCTACCCCGATTCCAATAACACCGTCTTGAGTGATTTTATCTTCAATAGCCAGAGATAATGCCTTGAATTGGGTGTTCTCGGGTTCCTTACCCAAAAGCTTGTTGGTATAGCTTCTGGCTTTTGCATATTCGCCAATTTTGAAAGACCCCAACGCCAAATAATACAATGATTCTCTCTCCATAGATGGAACGCTGTGGTATAAGTGAGTTAAGATCTTAACACCAGCTTCCTGATCATGACGCAGCACTGATTTAAGTAATCCCCAGGCATAATTGAATTGTGATTGTGGAGTGGCCCCTGGTTTCTCGGAATCAAGCTGGTTTTTCAAAACGGCCAACTGCTCAGGCGCAATGGGCTGATTGACTTCTTCTAAAGCAGCATACTTCTTTTCAAAAAACGAAAACATATCTTCAACCCCAGTCTTATTTGATGAAATATTACTTGTTGATAAGGGAGTAAATAGTAGTTTGATTTTTATAACGCGTGAAGATCACATTAATTTTTTCGTTTTTTTTTCCCTCCCGTCATCTGGAGAAGCGTCGTACACGAAGAGTTTTTCACTTCTTGTCCACTTGTCATTGGCAATAAGCTGTTACATACTTGAATTCGTATGATGAACGAGGAATTCGAGAAGTTTTTAAAGTTGGTGCTGGATCAAAACAGCAGTGATAACAACGTTAGAACTCAAGCTGAGCTTGATTTCACCCAAGTTAGTCGTCAAGATCCAACCCAGTCTTCTTATATTTTAATTGAGCTGGCATGCAATGACCAATTGCCTACTGATATCAAACAATCGTGTCTTTTGCATTTGAAAAGATTTGTCCCAAAGTTCTGGAGCCTTGGATTTGAATCGTTTGTTGGTCCTCCTATAAGCCAAGAGTTGAAACAAGTCATTAGAGATAAATTGATTCAATTAGCTACCTCTTCACCAGAATCAAAGATCAGGGCTGGAAGTGCTTACGTGATCACCCAGATTGCAGCTGCAGACTACCCAGATGAATGGCCTAATTTGTTGAAAGACTTGTATGAGCTGACGACTAGATATAATGATGAATGGTCTATGATTGGGGGGTTATCGGTATTAAACGAACTTTTCGATGATCTTATCACTGAAGAGCAATTTTGGGACGGTGGTGTTGGAACCCAATTGATCAATCATATAATTCAAATTTTGAGCCAGGAATCATTGAACTCCGATATCAAATCAAGTACTCTTAAATTTTATAAAAGTGTTTTCAATACTTTACAAAGCCCCGAAGCTTTCAATGTGCCAGAAAGACTCAGAAATGTTCATGACCATATCACAACCAGTATCCCGTTATTTCTTCATCTTTTAGAGAATTCAATGTCTATTACCCAAACTCCAATACCTACAAAAGTTTTAGAACAAGAAATCAATTTACGTACCTATATCTATGATGTATTTGGAATTTATTTCAATAACTTTAATAAGAAGATAAGTGGTGCTAATAAAGAGTCTATTCTTTATTTATTATTAAAAGACTTTGAATTTTTGTCTAATACTTACTATGAAATTTATTATAATGATAATTCTAATTCTACATTATCCAATGATACCATTTTATCCAGGGTTCTTGAATCATTATTCCCAACATTGAGTGCACTCTTACATACCATCAAGTTGACTACTATTTTACCGGAAGATTCATTGAATCAATACATCAATAACTTAGCCAAGGTTTCTGTATTGCCAGTGTCAGTAATTGATGAATACGAAGCCGACTTCAATTCATATGTTACCGACGTCAGCGGAATTTCAATTGGTAGCATCAGTGTTCGTGAATGTGTTAGTGAATTCTTAACTGAGTTAAATAATGACGACTCAAGTTATATTTTCAAAGTTGTTTTAAAGCAATATTATGATATGAATAATAATGCTACTGCGTGGCAATTGAAAGAAACAAACTTATTTTTATTAGAATCTTTATTCATGAATGAAGAGAGCGAAAGTATTGGACAAGATATTCCATTAGTAGAGTTGTTCAAAAACTTAACCACAATTGCTTTAAATAATAATCATCCATTAACCATTGGTAGAGCATTTTTAGTTTTACCTAGATTTTTAGAAAAATTTGAATCTAAACTTTCATTTTCTGATTTTGGAATCAAAGCACTTGGTGAAATGATTCAAATTGCCTCATCTTTAATCGGCAACACTAATGAATTATATAATTTAGCAAAAGTAAGTGCCCTTATCAGTATTACCTACTATAATAATATAGGTGATTTGAAACAATTAATTTCCAATAATGATAAGAATTCCATTCAAATATCAATTTTTAATATTATTTTATCATTAATAGAGGATGGTGAAGACGATAGTTTACCAATCTTATTAGAAGCAATCATTGTTGCTATTAAACTAGATGAAAAATTTGCATCTCAATTAACTTTAAATGATAACGTTGATGTAATTGATATTATATTTAAAGTTTCGTTTAAAGATCCATCTAACGTTCAATTATCGATTGATTCAAATGAATGTTTGACTGCATTACTCCAAGGCATTGAATCATCATATTATGTTCGAGTTTGTGAAAAATCCTTACCATTTATTTTCAATGTTATTAATAATTCTCTTCAAAAAACATCTTTAGATTATGTCCCAGAATTAGATTTGTCATTGGACTTACTCAGCGTAATAATTGGATCAGCACCAGGTGAAGAGTTTCCAAGTGAAGTCTTTTTATATACATTCCCTATTTTGAAGAATTTGATTTTATCAACTACTGATGATCAAATCTTACAAAATAGTGGGGAGGTTTTTAATAATCTATTACAAAAAGCCCTGAGACATTTTATTGATTACAATGATTCAGAAACTGGGAAACTGGGAATTGATTTATTATTAATGATTACTTCTAAATTTTTATCACCAGAGTTAAGTGACAGTGCCGCTTTAAATAGTGGATCGATTGTTTTATCAATTCTTGAAAAATTTCAATCATATTTGAGTGAAAATTTCCAGTCTCAATTATTAGAAGCTACTGTGAAAAGATTGATCATAGCCAAAGAAGTGATAACTATTGAAAATCTTATTTTGGTATTTTGTAAAATTGTCTTAAACAGTTCATCACCACAAGATTTAGTTAATTTCTTATTCAATAATGTTGTTTTAACTAAAGATCATATCACTCAAAACGGATTGGAATTAATTTTACCAATCTGGTTCAATTCATTTGAAATTACCAGAGGTTATGAATTAATTAAAGCCAATACTTTGGCTCTCGGTAAGCTATTTAGCTTAGGTGATGAACGGATAGAGTCGATGATTGTTAATGGTGATATAATTCCATACCAAGGAGACGTGATCAGAACCAGGTCAATGGCTCGTTCGATGCCAGATGAATATACCAAGATTCCTGCTGCATTGAAAATATTAAAATTATTTGTTAGCGAATTAAATTTCCAATGTCAGCAACCAGATGCTGATGACTACTTACCATTGGATGGTAATGAAGGAGACGACGACGAAGGCTGGGAAGATATGGACGACATCGGGGTTCCAAACTACGAAAAATTGAAGTCATACGTTGACGAAGAAGAAGAAGAAGGATTAAATGCCGATGAGGATTTAAAGAATATTTTAATTCTGTTTTTCAAAGAATGTTTATCGAAGAACTTGGGTCATTTCCAAACATTTTACGAGATGTTGGACGATGACGAAAAGAAAATTGTCACTGAAAATGTTGTTTTTTAATAGATAGTAATAAAATACACTAGTTAGAGTATTAGAGTCTTTGCAGTAGAGTCTTTGCAGTGGAGTCTTTGCAGTAGTCTTTGCAATAGAGTCTTTGCAATAGAGTCTTTGCANAGTCTTTGCAATAGAGTCTTTGCAATAGAGTCTTTGCAGTATTTATCGTATATAATTGCGGCAAGATGAGCATCAACAAAAAAAAGTGAAGAAGTGAAAAAAAAAAAAAAAAAAAATTATAACAAGATAAAGAGTCATATTTATGTATAGGATATTGTCCAGAGTCCCAAGATTGACAAACCAGTATAGCAGTATCCGAAAGATGAGTGGGACCAGATTCAAGACCGAGATTCTTCCAGTCAAGCTCGACTCGATCGTATTCCCAAAGGAGGCCAGTACTCCAATCATAAATGATGAAATGACCCGAAAGAACTTGGAAATAGCAGCCAAAGAGCTCCAAAGTACCAACAACGTTGTTGGGTTCCCCACAGAGACCGTTTACGGGTTAGGCGGGTCAGCCCTCAAGGACGAGTCGGTCAAATCAATCTATGCAGCCAAAAATAGACCAGCAGATAACCCATTAATCATACATGTATCCTCATTGGACCAATTGAAAAGAAAGTTATTGGGGCCCAATCAAAGCGTTCCGGAAATATATGAAAAGTTAATATCGAAATACTGGCCCGGACCCTTAACCTTACTATTACCAGTGGAAAATGAAGCAATTTCCAAATACGTTACCGCAGGACAATCTACTTTTGCAGTCCGAATGCCAAGTCACCCAGTTGCGAGAGCCCTTATTGCAATCAGCGACATCCCACTAGCAGCACCCTCTGCCAATGCATCAACCAGACCCAGCCCAACTTTGGCCAGTCACGTCTACCATGATTTACAAGGGAAAATCCCCTACATTCTAGATGGGGGCAGCTGTGACGTCGGGGTGGAAAGCACCGTAGTCGACGGCTTGGTGTCGCCGCCAATGTTACTAAGACCAGGAGGAGTCAGCTTGGAAGAAATCCAAACTTGTGATCCACAGAATTGGGGCCGGGTCAAAGTCGGGAAAAAAACCGCTGGAGACTCTGAACAAGTGAAAACCCCAGGAATGAAATACAAACACTATAGTCCCAGTGCCAACGTCGTGCTATTCAACGGTTGCGGCAACGGCCTCGACGCAATCAAACACTACCTACAAGAACACCATCCCTCGGGGCCCATTGCATTACTAAGACTGAAGCACTTTGCAGACCCTTCGCAAGACCCGGGCCTCGCCCAAATCACTGTCACCAAAAACCTAGGAACTAAGGGGGCAGACATCTCAAGAAACCTCTTTGCAATGTTACGAGAAGTCGACGAACTAGGGGTGTCTCTCATTCTAGTCGAGGGCATCGAGGAAACCCAAGAAGGGTTGGCCGTCATGAACAGGCTCTCCAAGGCTGCTTTTGTCACCATCTCCAACTAGTCCTTTCGTCCTTTTGTCACCATCTCCAACCACTTCTTTCATAGCCCATCCCCGTAATGCAAACGATAATTGCAAATGCCAACCTGTAAACACAGCCAACGGCTCCAACCTGTAAAACAAAAACAAACAAAAACCCCGGCTCCGCGCACGACCCGCGAAGATAACACATTTTCTACGATTTTTCTGTAAGATTTTTTTTTTTTGTTTTTGGTGCCGTTCCTTTACACCAAAAAAAGCTTTCAAGTCCACCGAAAAAAAAGCGCTACCCGCTCATCTCTGAACGATTGATTAGTTTATCAATTCCCACCCTTTCAGCGTATCAAGACCAGAGGAACCCATCATTGCCATCCTTGTCGAGAGACTGAGCCCATAGTTTGTCATCTCCATCAAACCACGCTACTATCGAAGCTTATTTGGTTTGTGACTGAGTCTTTTGAAGCAAACACGTCTATTTATCTTTTTCAGTTGGAGCCGCCGCCGCCCAGTTTATGATTAATTAATCCAGAGCAGATAGTTTCATCAATATCTATCTATCTAATTGTTTAATGTCCATTACGTTTTGAAGTCTGTTTGTTACGTTGTTACTTTTATTCATTCATTTTTAATTCATTTATTTATTACTTTTTTTTTTTTTCTTTTTTGGCTCTTTGAAAAATTATCATTACCCTAGTGTGTTGTTGCTAACGATCCATTTTCAATCATTTTTTTTGTTTATCATTCTACCTGTTTATCTGTTTATCTTGAGTCTTATCTTTACATCAATTTTTGCTTACGCTGTCAACATTACTTTGCATTGAATCAACGAAAAAAGAGAACGAAAAAAAAAAAAAAAATATCATAGAATGAGTGAAAATCCTTTTGAATTATCTAAGATTTCTGCTGCTGCAAGTAGCATGGTTTCAAATACTCTAAACCCCAATGGACCCAATACTAATGCTTCTGGTAACTCTGCCTCTTTACGTTACTCTCAATACTCGATTCTTGAAACCGCTCAAGATTTACAAACCGATATAAAGTTGGGATTATCCAATAATCAAGATGTTCTCACTCGAAGATCTCTTCATGGTATAAATGAATTATCGGGCGAAGAAAATGAAAATATCATATTGAAGTTTTTCTCTTCTTTTTACCAAGATCCTCTTATTCTTTTACTTATTGCTTCAGCCATTATTAGTTTTTGGATGGGAAATGTCGATGATGCCATCTCGATTACCTTAGCAATTACAATTGTGGTGACGGTTGGGTTTGTTCAAGAATACCGTTCTGAACAATCTTTAGCCGCTCTCAATAAATTGGTGCCTGCTGAAGCTAACTTGACTAGAAATGGTAATACCTCCACTGTTCTTGCTTCTACTTTAGTCCCTGGGGATTTGGTTCATTTTAACCAAGGTGATCGTATTCCGGCCGATGTTCGCTTAACTGAAGCTGTTCATTTATCAATTGATGAATCTAATTTAACTGGTGAAAATAGACCAGTTAAAAAATATTCTCATGCTGTCGGTAGTCAAAAAGAAGGTAGTCCATATTCTGGTTCCGGCTCTTCTTCTCTTAGTAATCTGAGTGAATTTAATCCAGAATTACCCATCACTTCAAGAAGTTCAATTGGTTTCATGGGGACTTTAGTTCGTGATGGTCATGGTTCAGGTATTGTTGTTTCAACCGGTCATAAAACAGAATTTGGGGTGGTTTTCGAAATGATGTCAAGTATCGAAAAACCAAAAACTCCTTTGCAACACGCAATGGATAAATTAGGTAAAGAATTATCTACTTTCAGTTTTGTCATAATTGGTGTAATTTGCTTATTAGGTATAATTCAAGGTAGACCGTGGTTGGAAATGTTTCAAATTTCAGTTTCTTTAGCCGTTGCTGCTATTCCTGAAGGTTTACCAATTATCGTGACGGTCACTCTAGCATTGGGTGTTTTAAGAATGGCTAAACATAAAGCAATTGTTAAAAGATTACCTAGTGTTGAAACTTTGGGTAGTGTCAACGTTATTTGTTCTGATAAAACTGGTACTTTAACTCAAAATCATATGACGGTTACTAAATTATGGTCTTTTGATTTCAAAGGTCTGTTCAATACTCCATTTTTAATCGTTGATAAATTAAACGATAATTCTTTACACGATCAATTAACTACCAATATGAAACGTATCTTTGAAACTGGTAATATCTGTAATAATTCAAAATATTCTAATGATAATGAAAAATTTGTTGGTAATCCTTCAGATATTGCTTTGGTCGAAGTTTTAAATCATTTTGGTTTAGATGATATTAGAGGTACCAAAGAACGTATTTATGAATTACCTTTTTCTTCAATTCGTAAATTTATGGCTGTTTGTGTTCACTCCGGTGATATTAATAAACCAGAAACTTTTGTTAAAGGTGCTACTGAAAAGATTGTTAATATGTGTACCGATTATTATGATGAACATGGTAATGTAAAACCTTTAAATGATGAAATTCGCCGACAAATTCATTCCAAATCAAATGGTTTAGCTGAAGAAGGTTTAAGAGTTTTATGTTTTGCTAGAAATAATCAATTATATAATCATTCAGAAAAACATAGTGATGACGATGTTATTCCTGATCCTTCTAATTTAATTTTTTGCGGGTTGATTGGTATGAAAGATCCTCCAAGACCAAATGTTAGTAAATCAATTGCTTTATTAATGAAAGGTGGTGTTCATGTCATTATGATTACTGGTGATTCTCCAACTACTGCAATCAATATTGCTAAACAAATTGGTATGCCAGTTTTAAATAATGATTCAATAATGACTGGTGATCAATTAGATACTTTAACCGAAGAAAGTTTGAGTGCTGCCATTCATAATGTTTCTGTTTTTGCTAGAACTACTCCAGAACATAAGGTTACCATTGTTAAAGCTTTACAAAGAAGAGGTGATATCGTTGCTATGACTGGTGATGGTGTCAATGATGCTCCTGCTTTAAAATTGGCTGACATTGGTATTGCTATGGGTAAAAATGGTACTGACGTTGCTAAAGAAGCTTCTGATATGGTTTTAACTGATGATGATTTTTCAACAATTTTAAATGCTATTGAAGAAGGTAAAGGTATTTTTTTCAATATTCAAAATTTTATTACTTTCCAATTATCAACTTCGATTGCTGCCTTATCTTTAATTGCTTTATCTACTTTATTTGGTTTACCAAATCCTTTAAATGCTATGCAAATTTTATGGATCAATATTCTAATGGATGGCCCACCAGCTCAATCTTTAGGAGTTGAACCAGTTGATCATGAAGTAATGAATAAACCTCCTAGAAAAAGAAATGATAAAATTTTAACAAATCAATTGATAAAACGTGTTTTACAAAGCGCTTTCATCATTATCTTGGGTACCATTTATATTTTCGTTAAAGAAATGAAAGATAATGAAATCACCGCTAGAGATACTACTATGACTTTCACTTGTTTCGTTTTATTCGATATGTTCAATGCTCTTGGTTGTCGTCATTATTCTAAATCTATTTTCAAAATTGGTTTGAAAAACCAAATGTTCAATTTTGCAGTTATCGGTTCATTAATTGGTCAATTATGTGCAATTTACGTTCCTTTCTTTCAAGATATTTTCCAAACAGAAGCTCTTTATTTAAGTGATTTGGCTCATTTGATCCTTTTAACAAGTATTGTGTTTATTTGTGATGAAATAAGAAAGTATCTCTTTAGACGCAGTCAGCAGTTTCTAAGTGTTTTTGACTATGGTGTTTGATTAACCTTCGGTGCATTTTATATTATAAAACAAAAAAAAAATTTAGAATTAATCAGGAACGCATAAATTCATATATTTAAGAACGAAACCTTTCCAATTTCAAAGTACCTTCATTATAGATGTCTTCTTATCTGTGTTCATTAGTATACAGATTACTTATCCGTGCTTCAAAATTCCATTCATTATTTGAACAAACAATTTCCTTTATTTTTTCTTTTACTTTATGTATATAAATATATGAATTAAAACCTATCATGATAATTAGTAAGCCCTCTATCAATTATAAATTCATACTTGAAGTCATGACGGAGTTTGACTCAATTCCCGTCTGACTCTGGTTTAAGTTCGCAGCTAAAACTTGCCCGCTATTTTTATTCTGACAATTTCTGTTTTTTTTTTTCCACCGAGAGAACTATTTGTATAAAACCTAGCCAATCCCCCCCACAATCCTTAGAGATGATTCTTATTGATTATTAAGATGGTGTTCAAGTTTACGATTGACAAACTTACGAACCGGTATGTTTTACCCAACCTTACTGGCAAACTCCCAGCCCCGATTGCTCGATTTTTAGGAAATCACAAGGCAACTCCGAAAGACGATTATTTAATTTGGTTAGAGATATTGGTAGCATCATTCTGCGGAATAGCATTACTCGAAGGATTGGGTATACATCATACTGTATTCACCGACCATAGTGCTCCTATTATAATTGCTAGTTATGGTGCAACAGCTATTCTTTGCTTCAATAGTATAACGGCACCATTGGCCCAACCCCGGAATATTCTTATTGGGCATTTCGTATCATCCTTGCTTGGAATTTGCGTTCAGAAACTATTTTCACTTAGTCATGGAGGTAGGGAGCATTATTGGGCTAGCGGAGCTTTAAGTGTTGGTATATCATCAGTAGCAATGTCTATTTTGAATTGCGTCCATCCGCCAGCCGGTGCTTCAGCTTTATTACCGAGTATTGACGAAGAGATTCGGAAAATGAGTTGGTGGTACTTACCATTACAAATCATATCTTCTCTTCTAATTATAGTGGTTGCATGTCTTACAGGAAATGTCATTAGATCCTATCCAACCTATTGGTGGACTCCCAACGATGTTGGCAAACCAAAGGAGGCTGAACTGAAGCCAGTAGAACCAACACCAGCTCCTCCATCCAAAGTAGCTTCTGGTAATGAATCTATTGAAAGCAGCGTTGTTTATCTGGAGGAAGCCAACTCCATTATTATTTCCCGGGATGAGATAATCATCCCTAAAAATTTAAATATTGAAGACATAGACGTTAGTTGGTTACTGGAAATGAAAAGTCGACTCGAGAAAACCGAACCATTACAGTCGGTTGGTGTTTGAATCTACATTTATCATATACATAATACATTAATTCATTTCATACATTTGTAGAAACATCAAGCTATTTTCTAATTTCATCTAAAAGAACAACACCACTAGCATTCTTATCCTCTATTTTAGCAAAAATCTTTGTAGCGACTTGCTCAGTAGAACATGGAGGTCTAACTAATTGATTTATGAAGTCTATGTTATTTCCCAACAATGTATTCTTGATGTCATAACCCAAGCCAACGAATTGAGTGAAAATTCTGCGGTTATTCAAGGGGGGGTCAGACTCATTATATAAGACACCAGGCCTCATAAAAATAGACCTCAAGTCTTTTTTACAAGATAATTCAAATTCAGCCTCTCTCTTAGTATTAATGTATCCTTCGGGAATGATTGGAATCTTTTGATCTGCCGATATATAGACAAACGTTGGATCTTCCTTTTGTTGCTCCAAATATGCATCAGCCAAAATCACTGCAGAATCACGCTGGATGGCTTCATAGGTATTTAAACGATCCTTCTTCATCGGGTTGGGGCCCTTTAAAGAGCTAGCAAGATTTTGTAAATCACTTAAGAAATTAAAATTCGAATTCATAGATTTTTTATAGCCCTGATTTTCCAAAATAAGTCCTATAGAGTGAACAACGGCCGATTTCCCCTTCAATTTCTCTTTATATGATTCTGGCTTGAATATATCACCGTGGACCCATTCAACTTTATCCACCCATGCTTCATTGATACTTGGAGGTTTCCCCGATCTGGAAAATGAGGTGACCTGATAACCAAGTCCTATACCAACTTCACAGATCTTTCGACCAAGAAACCCACTGCCTCCAAATATGGCAATTGACTTGGACATTGTTTCTTGTCTTTAAAAGTTAAAAAGTAAAGTATAATCGTAGGTCCTTTTATATTTGAAAAATCTGGAGATTTTTTTTTGGACCTTTTTTTTCTCTTGCTAGAAAATTAAAGCAACTTTGCTAAGGTGTACGGACCACCAATAACTACAAGCTTTAAGAGTTACTATAATATCATATATTAATCATAAAGGCATTAAATATATAGAGAGTAATAATAATTATTGACCGAATTTTTTTCTAAACATGACGAATTCCTCATCTTCAACTTCTTCGATTGAAGGATGTTTATGCAAAGGAGAAAGACTTGAGTCCTTTTCAGCGGATTTTAAGACCTTAACATTTGGCTTTGTTTCAGGAGTAGATGCTTCGGTTTCGGGTTCAGAACTGATGGATTCTTCATCTGATTCGTAGCTGGTTGGTTTTATTGTTTCTTCTTGATTGCCGGAATCGACTTTGGTGACTTCAGGTTTTTCATTCTTGGATGGAGTTGAATTCGACTCGACATTTGAATTTGGTTCGGCTTTTGGTATGGCCTGTTCGAAGAATGGACTGAGCTGTTGGAAAAGAGGATGGGCACCAAATAATTGACTAATGAATTCCTGTTGTTGTCTGATGGCTCTGGCATATTCTTCTTCTCTTGGAGCTGCTTGTTCTGCTTTCTTTTCGGCTTCTTGTCTAGTTTGTCTAGCTTTTTCAGCCTCTTGTCTGGCCTTTTCTTGAGCTTCTCTTCTAGCTTGTTGTTCAGCTTCCCTTCTTGCCTTTTCCTCAGCTTCTTGTCTAGCTTTTAATTCAGCTTCTTGTCTAGCTTTTAACTCAGCTTCTTTTCTAGCTTTTAAGTCGGCTTCCCTTCTAGCTTTAAGTTCAGCTTCCCTTCTAGCTTTAAGTTCAGCTTCCCTTCTAGCTTTCTCTTCAGCAACTCTTTTGGCTTTCTCTTCGGCAGCTCTCTTTATTTCTTGTTCAGCTCTTTCGGCCTCTTGTTGTTTCAATTGTCTTTGAGTGGAGAATGAAGTTCTTGGATCGTAACCAAACAAAATAGATCCTAAAGCATCAGTCAAGTCATCAGTACAGTATTTGATTTTCTTTGGAATATTCAAAACCAAAACATTGTCGTTTTCAAAGTATTCCCAGTCGATTTCACCTACCTCGATATCTTCAAGATTGAATTGGAATGCTTTTCTAAACTCATCTTCTCTGGACTCAATAACCAAATTGATCAAGTTGTTAAAATTGAAAGAACTACTCTTCAAAACTCTGACTTCGTAAGAATCAAAGTTACCGTATCTTTTAAAAATTTGAATTTGATACTTATCCTCAGTTTCTAACTTCTTGATTATCTTTGGTCTTGACTGCGCCAACTGTTGTTGTCTCTGTTGTTCTTGTTGTTGCTGTTGATATCTTTGATATTCATTAAAGAAATTAGCGAATGAGTTAAAATCGTATAATGGACCAGCGTTAGTGTTGATTGCGAACATTGTTAATTATAATTTACTTGATTGATATTTATTGATTGATATTTATTGATTGATGATAAATAATCTAACAATTCCCCAACTCAGGTATTCCTTCTCGTCCTTTTATACAATTTACCAACATGGCGGAACTGACGGTGAAGGCAAAATCCCCAGTATCGAGAAGATTCTTATTTTTCGCAGCCTTTCTATTTCTAGAATCTTCCTACATACTATAGATGTTTTTTTTTTTTGTTTTGTTAGTCTTTTCTGGAAGGTTCCAGACCGTATGCAGTACAATGATGATTTTAACAGCCAAACCATTAGGAATCTTCTAGAAGTGGAACTACGAGGATCTTTTATTGAGGAAGCATTGATTGAGTATACGTTACATACCGACCCAGCTTTGGATGAGCAGGCGAATGGCTCCGATACTGGCCATTATAACCATGACCGTACCAAAGATACTGAAACTTAAGGAACTCATGGAGGCAGCACGAGGATCAATGTTGAGAAGATGAGCAGTTGCAATAGCACCGCAGTTGATCCCAAGGGTGACTCCGCGAGTGACGTAGTCGTTGGTTGGGACCCTTAAGAAATTGAAGATGGAATCGCCGATAAGAACACCGCAGATACCACTTAAAATGGTACAAACTGCCATTAACGAGACCGAGCCACCTAAAGCGTTGATTAAGGGAGTTCCCAAGGCTAGGGTGACCAGACGACCGATGAATCCGATTGATCTCAAGGATTCAATACCTATGGTGTAGCAAAAGATTGGATAACAGAAAAAGGTCAAAGCTATTGAGACAAGAATTGGAGGCATTAACACCCAAAAGTTGTTTGTAAAGTCTTTTCTATGGGTAAACATTGGTAATGACAAGGATACAATAGAGATATCCATTAAGGAGCTAAGGAAATCTCCACAACCTGGCCATTGGGGAGTAGCGGTATGGTCGACCACGTTGTGATTCACTTCTTGTGAGTTATCAAGTAATGCTTTACCGCTGAATAAGTTGATATAGGTTTTACCGGTTTTGTAGTACTTAAGATCGTCGAGAAAACCTTTTGGTTTACCACTATGATAAATAAGAGAGCCGATAAAACAAACAAATAGGATTTCGGCAGTCAGGACCAAAATTGGATGGGCAAACTTTCTTGATTTGGGCCATTTGATTGGGATAAGTAATGCTAAATAATAAGAGATTATGGTGATACTTAGATGATAGGGTAAAAACGTGTGAATGGATTTGATATAGTATAATGGCAATGAAACTATGAATAAAGTGATGAAAAGAATCCAGTCGATGTATTTTGTAATGAAGACGGTGATTTTTTTAGTATTATCGGACAAATTTTCAAACGGAGATGGTTCGTTCTTTGAATTTGAAGAAACTGAAGAAGAAGACGAAATGGGGGATTGGTTTCTTGGAACTGGAGATGGCGATTGAACTGGAGGTGCCGGGCTAGTGTTTGATTTGAACAAGGCATTTGAGTTATCATGATACCCGCCGTCTCGAACGTGTAGTTGTTCAGGTTCTTGTAAGTTGATTGAGTTCTCTTGCGTGTTGAAAGGATTATCTGAGATCGATAAGCTTCTTATTCTTGAATTATTTTGAACTGGCTCTGTTTTAGTTGACCTTAAACTCTGGATATCAATTGTGGTTATATCGTCTCTCATGGAAGTGAAGACGTTTTGCTTTGTACCGATTTGGTCCATATCGGGATTTGTTGGAGTTGGGCTATTCATACTTCTTAATTCCATTTCTTCTTGTTCATCTCGAGAGTTGGTATCATCATTTTTCTTAAACAGTTCATCTTTATAAACGTTGAAGTAGTTCAAGACCCATTTCAACCCAAGAATCATATAAACATCGATACATAGCAAAATGAGACCTCCCACAACGAACACCCCAGCTATTTTCAAACACTCGATGAAAGTGATTGAATCACTCAAAGGTAATATGATAAAAGAAGGAATAAAGAATACGTTAATCCATTTCAAAGTGAAATTCATTGAAGGTTTGGTAATCATCAAATAATTAGTCAATAAAAACGATGACCATTTACTGACTCGGCTCTTGAAATTCTGTTCAGAATGATTTGGTGACATGGTACTAAGTATATTCAATATACATAAGACCACCAAGTTTATCAACATTCCCAAGACTGAAGCAGGAAACTTGATTTTGAAAATGTCTGCCAATAGTACATTGAGTCCATACAATATTGTGAAAAGGATAATTAAGCCAAACGGGACTACCAAATAAGAGTGAATCAAGTGGTGTTTGGAGTACCATAGTCCGTATCCAATACCCTTCACCACTTCCGTAGGCTCAACTGATTTTACCGAGTCAACCCACCGTTGAACGTTGGTTCGATTATTGATCTGGGAAGATTGGTTATATATTTCGTGGGATTGTTGATCCGAGTTGCTGTCACTTCTATTAGCAGTATCAGTAACCATAGTCAGAGACATTATACCCTTAGAGCATTGGAAGAAAGAATAGGGTAAAGAAGCAGTCCCAAGTATATATATCCGAGTGCAAAAAAAAAAAAATGGTTTTCCGTTATCTATGGATTTTTCTGCCGTTTCCGCTGACTCGTTTGACGTATCCTCAGGCCCGAGGCGTATCCACCAGTTGCGTTAATCCGGGGAAGTTTCAGTATTCGTTTACAGCTATTTAGGAAGGAATCAGAACTACAAGGTTTAAGAGTATAACTACAAGGTTTAGATAGACGGAGAGCAAGTCCGAACGTACTCCGAAATTATCAGAGATCAAGGATTGATAAATGCATTAAAGAATAAATATAGATGGGTGAAATTCGAAAAAGAAGAAGGAAAAGAAGCTATTAGTACAAAGGATGATAATTTTAATCTAAGAAACAACTTGCAATAATGGTTTAATGATGATGACCATTTTCAATAAGATCTTTATGTTCTTCTTTAGCGTATCTCAAACCACAATAAACACAAGTGGCAGCTTTTGGTTGGTCCAAGTTAATGAAAACTTTAGGATGACCTTGTAAAGTATTACCTCTATTACCATCACAAACAGCCACATTACCTTCTTCGTGGGTTAAGTATCTGACTGGTTCTTGAGCAATCAAGTCAATGGCAGCATAAGGTCTTGGTTGGGACTCCAATTCTTTCTGGATAAATCTTTGTGGATGACGAGCAATAACTTCTGCTCTTGATTCTTGAGTTTGGGACCATGGTTCTGCTCTATTTGGAGCTTGTTCTGCAATTGGGTTTTGTTCTAATTCCGGTCTAGTTAATCCAGTAACTGATTCTGATTTATTTCTACTGATATTGAGCAAGGAAACACCGGCACGTTGCATGCCGCTAGGCTTACTTATTCTAATGCATCTGGCCAACATATTCGAGTTATATATGGATATTAAAGAGTATCGACTTGGTTGTAGAAATTTTCTCTTCTTTTTCTGCCCACAAAAAAAAACAGAGTATAAATCAAAATTTCACCGGATTTTATTGGCTAAGAGAAAGTCACGTGCGCACATCGGGCCCAACCTCCGTACACACCTACAAAAGAGATAGTCAGAAGATCATATCGATTACAGCTTAGGTATTTAAATGAATTTATTTGATTTGGCTTCTAGTCCTGCCTTGTCCAGAAATCAAACTAGTGGGAGGGAAAAAAAAAACATATTTATAAATGATTATATAAAAGACACGATAACTTCGAAAGTTATAAAGAGGTTGAAATGGGTGCAAGAGAAGTAAACCAAAATGAATAAATTATCAAAGGCAGCATAACAAGAGCCGGGAGCCAGCTCGTATTATGGGGATTAAGTATAGCGATAGAATCTAATCAATAATCAAATCAACATATGATAAAAACAGTAGAGAAATAGTTAAAAAAAAAAACACATATTAAAAACAACAAAAAAAAATAAGTAAAAACTTAGATAAAATATATTAAACCTACTCAACATTAATAAAAAAAAAGGTTGCTTATAAAACAACACACTTCTTCTTCTTTTCCTTCTTTTCTTTAGTTTTCAAAGAAGCTCTAGTGGCGGCTTCAAAAACTTCTTTAACCCCTTCACCGGTTCTAGCAGAACATTCCAAGTAGTATTGGGTACCGATCTTAGTAGCAACAGCTTGACCTTCAGAAGAAGAAACTGGTTGTTGTTGTTGTTGTCTTAATTGTTCAATAGTATCAGGGTCATTTCTTAAATCTGATTTACAACCAACCAAGATAATAGGAACCCCTTGACAGAAATGTAAAACTTCAGAAATCCATTTTTCTAAAACGTTATCCAAGGAATCTGGAGAATCAACAGAGAAACAAATTAAAATAACATTTGAATCTGGATAAGATAATGGTCTTAATCTATCATAATCTTCTTGACCAGCAGTATCCCATAAAGCCAATTCAACTTTTCTACCATCAACTTCGACATCGGCAACGTAGTTTTCAAAAACAGTTGGAACGTAAACTTCTGGGAAAGTACCTTTAGAAAAAACAATCAATAAACATGTTTTACCACAAGCACCATCACCGACTATAACCAATTTTCTTCTAATTTCAGCTGGAGGAGGAACCATTTTATGAATTATGAATTATATGGAAATGAAAAAAGGGATATGAAAAAAAATGAATAAAAAGTATTAACAAGACGAATTAAATCAAGATTAAACGAGAAAAAAAAAATAGATTAATAAAAAAAACAACGAAAGGATTAAAAAATGACTAAATGCAACTAATTGAAAAAAAAAAAGTTAGTATTAAAGCCAACTAAAAAAGACTTTAGATTGATCAAGCTATTTCTCAAGAGAGTTTCAATGGTTTGAACACGAGATGAACGTATGAAACAAACCTATTAAAAGAAGCAACGAAGGAGAACAACAAAAAAAAAAGCACAAGAATACGAAGACAATTGTGAAATTGAGACGAGCGAAGTGAATTTGACAAATTTCTACTCGATTTTTTTTTTTCCTTCAATTTTTTTTCCTTCCTTCGGTTTTTTTTTTCCTTCAGTTGTTCACTTCTTGAAACCAAAATAAACACAGTAGACTCAGTGTAGCTTGCGCCCACGGCAGATTCCAGTGCACGGTCTGATCATTGAAACGGTGATTCGTGTTGTATCAAAGATCATGCGGCCCATTTCGTGTACACGAAACCAGGTTAAATGATGCATCAATATCAACAATTTCAAGTATTATCAAGGCGCACAATCAAGGGAGCAACAGTTAAACCACATCGTTATACTAGGATAACTTTAAATGCGTCGTGTGCGGCCACCAAGGACACCAACAGCCATGTAAGTGAGCGTGCCTATAGATATCTATTTTTAATTCAGATTAATCAAAATAACGGGTAGATGATGTAACCACGATTACTGGACTGGCCACTGAGTGCCAATCCATCACCCATTGGCCACCGTCAACCTTGGTCAACCGGCAAGCATCCATCGTCCATTGATCAATTGGTCAATTCCATAGTTAATCTGATAGGCAAATTCTGTAGGCATTCAGGCAATTGGATAGGCGATATAGAACCTGGGTAGGCGATATAGAACCTGGGTAGGCGATATAGAACCTGGGTAGGTGATTGCTATCACTCCCGCCCACCGTCCATCAATTGGCCGCCGTCAAAAAGCGTCCCTGGAAGCAAATCATCACTCCGTCGAAGAACTTGATCAATTCTAAACCATTCTCTTTCAAACTAACGATACGTACCTAGTTAATAACAAGAATATACAAACTGAACGATGCTATACTTGTTAAACAATTGTTACAAGAGTTATAAGTTGGGAAAGTAGAAAGAAAGAGAAACTGTTGATAGGTGATTTTTTTTTGATCTGAGAGTAAAACGACAACAACGAAAATTCCACCAAAATTGAAAAAAAAAACAACAAAAAAATGGCCTTGTTTTCTCGACGCTCTTTTCTACAGCTTTACACCGCTCTATATCCGTACTACAATCGCACTGAACTTAGTAAGTGTCCATACTACTCTAAGGTTGCCAGCTTAGCTTGCTTTATGCCTTATTAGCTGGGTCTGATTCGTAAGGGGGGCGCAGTCGCCTTCTGATTTTAGAGGGGAGAAAAATAATGTCGATGATTATGTAAGCAATATATTATAGGTGTACGGATGTTTGTGGATTAATTTTTTTGGAATTGTAGACCCGTGCACCCGGACTATACATTTTGCAACTCTATATACATGAGGGCCTACGCCAGCTGATTAGCTTCTGGTTCGACAGAGGACTCGGTGGCCGGCTCAGTGGGCTCGGCCAGTGTGCCGTGGGCTTTGATCTTTCGGGGAGGTAACACTTCGTTGAACGCTTTCCCCCAGTCCTTATCGTTTTCAAACCATTTGCAAGCGATTTCGTAAACATGGGAGGTGGCTAATACTTGTCGGCCATTCATCTTGATATACTTATCGATGGGTAATCTACCCACTTTCAAGCCTAGTTCCTTGGCTTTGTTAACACATAGCTTCTTATGTCTGTTTTTATCAACGATCCCTCCTATAATGTAAGTAGTATCGGGCTCCAATTGTTCAATTACTTCGTTGGTATCTGCAGTTAAATAAACGTATTTATCCTTTTGGGTTTGGTCGATTATATCGCTGAGCTTTTCGTTCTCTTTGAACGGTAATCCCTTCCATAATTTATATTGGGATACTGCTTTTTCAAATCGTTCTTTTAAATTTTTATTGAAACTGCTGATTTCTAACCCAACTTCATATTGACAATGTCTTTTGGCACTATAGCAACGGGCTATTTGACTGCTCAAAGATACAATCTCCTTATCGTTCATCAAGTCGTCAAATTCACAGTCCATAATGAAATTGATCCCGGTAGTTTTTTGCTCGGTTGGGAGGTTCTTGGACTTTCTCATTTGATGGTAATTTTGCTCTCCTTCTTCCTCCTGTTCCCTCTCTTTCCGTCTTTGTCTTGCTAGCTTTCTCTTTTCTCGTTTTTCAGCTAGATATTGTGGTTTGGTTTCTTCCCATTTCTTTCGTTTTTGAAGCTTTTTCCATGCACTTTTGGACATTCCTTCGGGAATCTCAACCTTGGGTCTCTTATTCTCTTGAACATCGCCTTCTTCGTGCTCTCTCTTATGAGTCTCTACTTTGGGCTCGTCTGCAACCCTGTCGGTACTCGCCACCTTATCCTCTTCACTCATGGTATCTTATGTATAAGTTAGATTGGGGTATCTGATGTAGTTTATGGAAATTTTCAGTTTGATTTTTATTTTTTTTTTTTGTAATGAGCATCAGCTCTCGATTTAGAATAATTCATTAAAATATATTTACAATTACTATATAACTAGTTCCCGAAATTGAACATCTTGTCAAATGGTAAGTCGCTGAAAATATCAAACTTGGATTCCAGCTCCATATCTAACCTAAACCTATCAATTCCTGCAGGGCTACCGGCCATTCCTAATCCAGTTTCTCCTATGCCTCCTCCTGGGGTGAAAAATTTACCTGGCGTTGGCACTTGATTCACTTGCACTCGGGATGAATTATCTTCATACCCTGGCGTCAACCCACTAAGGTCGCCTCCGTTATTTTCATCTTCAAATATTTGTTTGTCATGTTTAACACTGATCAAATTAAGCCATAATCTATCTATACTTGCATTATCAACAAAGTCAAATCCAAAATTACTATCGATATTATCATCATTGCCAGTTTTAAGGTTCGATGGTTGATTGCTATTATTAAGATAATCCTCCAGATTGATCGTACTTGGGAAGGTACTTTCACTATTTACCTTGTTCTTCATGGAACTGTTGACCGATTCATTAGTAGAGTCCCCACTCACACTATCATTTGAAGAAGGTAATCTATTACTTCTCAATTGTTGCACTGCTTGGGTGAAAGGCGAGTTTCCATTAGTTTTCTCATCGGCTGACATAGGCGGTAACCCTTGGTACAATTGTTCGTATTGCTGCTCAACCGATTGAGATTCCTTAGGTTTATTTTGGTTTTCACCAACTTGTGAAACTGGTGATGTCTTAATTCCCATAGTTTTATAAAATGAATCAACAGTACAATGCGATTTACCATATTTAGACAATGTTGTTTCACAAATTTGAATTAATTCCTCTAATTGTTGAATTGAATATTGTGGTTTACAAAGATTTTCTGCCAATGGGTGGATATCTTGATAAAATTTTGTGGAAGTAATGGTCTTCAATAGAAATGTGTGTCCTTTAGTAATTCTCCAAGCATAATAATATCGATTACTAATTTTCGAAATTGCCGATATTGAAACTTCAGCACATCTAGTTAAGCATGATGAAAACCGACATAATGATTTGAAATAATTCTTATAGTTCTTATCATTATTTAATCTTTCATCATGACTCGTTTGTCTCTTCATATCAAATATCATAAAGTTAATCTTAACAATTGATGCTAAATTTGTCTGATTTGATTTATGAATAACTTGTTCTAACATTGGATTAATAATCATATCACAGATAACTTCACTATTACCTAATAAATCACTATAATATGGCATTATATCTGCAGTCGAGATTAAGAGTGCTTTTTTCAAATAAAAAAATGATAATGATACATCCTTTGATTCATAATATAAATAAAAATGGAAAAATAACGAGATGAAAAATGAATTAATCGATAAATAAAACTTAGTCAAATAGTTTCGGGTGAAAATATATTGTTTTTCTTCAGTTTTCAATGGTGATAAACAATCTTTCAATGTACCAAAAGTTTTTCCCACGTATACTTCGACATCGGATACTAATTCAGTTAATTCTTTCATCTTTATTTTACCTTCGACATTCAACACTAAAGTTAATACTGGTTTCAACTTGTACATAATGTCTTTACCAGAGAAATATGCGTCTGTGATATATTTATCCAATTCTGGATCTCTAATTGTTTCATTCCCTGGTTCGTGGAAAGGAACTTTTGTATCGTAATGCATTTTATCAATTGACATTGGATTCCCAAAAGTATAAGATAAATAAACATCACTAGTTACTAAAAAGTACCAAATTTTACGACCTAAATGATTCAATTTAGGATCGTTGCATACATCTGGAAATTTATCAGGCTCTCTATTAAGTCCCAAAGAAAATGCCATTTGGATCAACATTGCACCAAGAACTTGACTATCACCTCCATCAGCACCATCACCGTCTTCAGGAGCATAAGTATGATAAAGCCTCATGTAGAAAGCAAGTTGTAAAACAGTGAAATTTGTTTTACGTAACAATTGGAATTGATCAAGACAAAGTTGTGCAACATCAATGGTATTTATATTGATTGGATTGGATAATAAATATTTTAGTTCTTGAGCTTTTGGTGATTGAGCAGTTGAGTTTAAATTCTCCTCATTAACAGAATTTTTATTACAAAATAATGAAAGATAAGATAATCGACAAATGATTAGTAAAAGACCAATTGTAGCTAAATCTAATTTTTTCTCCACGGTTAATTTATCAACTTTCTCATCTTCATAAGACTCCGGCCCAATTATATTGGCAACATCTTTGTAGAAAGAAAATTCATCTAAAAATGGCATAAATTGGTATAACCAGGCAAAGTAACGTTTGATTAGTTTCCAAATAACTTTCTTTTTTGGTAAGATAACTTGGATCTTATCAATTAATTGTAATTCCCGATCAATTTGACCATCATAAAAAGTTAAACCAAGAGGTAAACCATTAGCATTTAATTTCAGTTTTTGTACATTACGTTCAGCCCTTGCCTTTAAAATATTATTATAGGGAACCATTTCGTCATAACCATCAGTTTGTAAAGCTCTTTTTTCAAACACTGCTTCTGGTAAGCCATCAGAGTTACCTCCCTTCACTATGGCATTGGCAGTTTCTTGGGAGATTTCATCTGAATTATTCAGAAACACAAGTGCACCTGAATAACCTTTATTAAATGATTTTTCCTCCTTTTGCTTAATAATATAATCCCAAAGTAATCTTAAACCATAGTCACGTTTCATTAATGAAGACCAAGCAAAAGGACCAAAATTTATCCTTCTTAGAGGTTCCTTAACATGGATTGAGGTGTAATCTTCGAAAAAATTTATCGTTTCTTCAGGGTTACTATAAGGGTTGACACCAATAAAGTCTTGGTACCTTGGGACGTCAAAGGGACATGGTTTTGGATTTGCATTAGTAAGCTGAGGTGAAAAGCTCTTAAAATCAGTTGGACGCGTTGGATACAGCTCTTTGTACATATCCGGTTGCTTCATTGTTGAAAAATTGATTGGCGGTAACTGAATTGATTCTCTGTTTTGTTTATCATGAGGAATCGTGGATGTGCTTGACTGATTTCGATAAAAGCTATTACCTGATGGTACGGGGGATGACCCCAGTCCCCAATACTTATTGGCCAGTGGATTTCTGTCAGGGGGTGGAGAAATCAGTGGATTTACTGGTAAATTGGTTGAGCTAAAGCCATACATAGATGTATTGATTTCTTTTGGATTGTGAATGGGAGAGTTACTTGAATTTTTACGTTCTGGAGCATCGGTTGCTGGAACACCAATAGAAGCTTCAATTTGCTTCAATCTTTCTTTCAACAACTCGAGCTCACTCTTAGAAATGGTCACCCCGTCATCAACATGAGGGTTGGCGTGAGAATCGTTACCCACTTCAGTCTTTGCCTTCTTTGAATTCTTTTTAGTACTCAGCGAAATATCATTCGTAAACAGTCTAATATCAACATTGAAAGGATTTATCTCCTTTCTCCTTTGATTTCCATCAGCCCCATTACCAATACCAGATTCCACAAAAGACATTGGTTTTTTAGCTGATGCTTCATATGGTAACACAACCTTGGGGTCTGTTGCAAGTGATGACTCAGCACTGGAGTCATAATAACAAGACTCAACTAGATTCGCCTTGGTACATTGCTCACACGGTTTCCCCTTGCTACAACGAATCTTCTTTCTTTTGCAATTGGAACAAACCAAGCTTGACCTTTTCCGCTTTCTAGCTGGTGGGTTTGAAGAGACTGGTGGTAGGGCACTCATCCTTGATAATTGGAAACTGTTGAAGCAATTAGCAAAAGAGCAGCGTGTACTAGAATTTTGGGTGGCGAAAAATTCCAGCTACTTCAATCCATTGAAAAGTCTGTATAATTAAATATTGTAAGTATCTTTTAATTAGTCAAATGTTTTTTTTTTTTTTTTTTTCTTAATTAATGAGCACACCCGCATGCCCCAAGATGGCAACTCCGAATGTTAAAAGCGAGTTATCGCCGGCCAGGCTGAACACTAACAAAACAAAAAAAAAAATCGACAAAAAAAGTTCAATGAATGAAGATTGCAGCCATTTACAGAAAACACGGAGTTTATTATACATTTATTAAGTGGTATTCTCTATCTATATGGTTATACTATCTATATGGTTATACTATCTCTTGGAATACTCACGAGTCCTATTTATCTAGACGGGTAAAAAATTTGATCCAAAGGCAAGTCACTGAATAGATCAAAATATTTTGAACCAAGGGCATCTTGGATCTGGTCTTCAGCCAAGTTTTTATCCGACGGAATTTCAAAGAAGGTTTTGTCGATTGGGTTTGTAGTGAAGTCGAAAGGCTTTCTGTGGTTAGCAGTGGCGGGCGAATGACCATTGGCGGTCAGTTTCTTATGATTTTTGGCTGGCTTATTGGAGTGATTTTGTGAGTTATCGGGTTGATTGTAGGAAGAACTGTCTTGTTGCTGATTCTTTTGTGCTAATAATTGTAACCAGCTTGAATCGACTTCGGGCATGCTTTTATAGTTATTGAAGTTTTCAAATTCGTTCTGCATTGGTGTCCAATCGTTTAGAAATCCATTCGACCCGGGTACATCATCCTGGAGATTCAAATTGGGTATATTGGCAAAATCACGAGGAAGAATACTACCTTCGTATTCTTTGTAATTTGATTCCTTTGGTTTATCAAAGATTTGATCACTGGGATTGAGTAAAAATGGGATTGGAGATTTGGAATCAGTAGCTGATTTATGAAATCGTTGGGCAGATTCTTGTTCATGGCTTCGTGATAGAGATTCCTCCTCTTTTATTTTCGATATATTTAACTCGTGTCTTCTTTTGGCTATCGAGACATACGAATCCTTATTTCCTCTTCTGGAATAAAGTAATTCATCATGACTTTTGAACATTGATTCCAAGTTGATGGGCTTGCAATTAACCTCCATCCATTTCTCCAAATAAGACATACCCGATTTTCCCATGGCAACTAATTGTTCCAAAGCTCCACAATCACAAACATCAACATTTTTAAGCTCAGCCATTTGTCCATAAAATTCTTCATTAGTCACAACACTCAACATAAAACTATGAGCTTTTTCAATTGTCCAAGCAAAATAATACCGATTACTCAACACATAGGCTGAAAATAAAAAAATTTGTGAACATCTGATCATTATATTAGAAATTTCAATCCGTCTTTCAAAAAGTTGTCTATATTCAGCATCATTTTTAAGCTTTTCATAGTGCTCAGGATCACCTTCCAGTTGATAAACACTAGCGGTATTTCTGCATAATCCAATTATGAGTAATTCATTACATCTATGAATACAAAATTGAATGTTTGGATTTATTTTTAAGTTAGCCCCTTCACCAAAACACGATTCACTTTTGAAAATAAAAGGTAAGATGACCGGCATCACTTCTTCAACCACTAATGAAAACATCTTGGTTATATAAAATTGGCGCAATTCTGGATTACCCTTTTCGTCATAATATGATACAAAATAAAATGCAAGAATCATGAAAAACAATTTACATTTCAAGCAAATTGATACTTTCAAGATTTTTGATGAAGAATAACTTATTTCATTGGATTCCAAAGGTTTTATGTAATCAATTAATCTTCCGAAACTAGCAAATGCTCCAACTTCAGCATGATTAATATATTTAGTTAATTCTGACATCTTAGCTTGGGAATCAATTTTCAAGACCAATCTCAAAATATGTTTGGTTGGGCCTTTAAGAAAAGCTTCATTAAATTTGAACGTATTATTCACTGCGTCATCCAATTGAACATCACGTAAATTTGAATTACCTGGCTCAGTAAATGGCGGTAATGTATTATAATAATCCGAATTGATAGACAAGAAAGTACCTGATGCATAACATCTATCAAAATCCTCAGTGCATAGATGGGCCCATATCTTACGCCTCAAGTTATTCTTTCTTTTATCAAGGTTGGAATTTTTCACATCACGCATTTCACGGTTAAGTCCCAAGGAATAAGCCATTTGTACTAACATACCGTGGAATATTTGGTTTTCAGCATCATCTATCCCATTCCCATCTTCTGGTGCATAACAATGATAAATTCTTATATATAATGCACATTGTAAAACTGGAAGTCTACCCTTTTTCAATAAGGCAAATTGATTAAGACAAAGATGAGCTACGTCAATGGCTTGTAACAGAATTGGGTTTAATAAAAGATAACATGTTTCATGAGCTTTGGGAGAAATAGAATCCCCAACATTTAGCCTTGATTCATTTATATCAATTCTATTTGAAAAAAGTGAAACATACGATAATCTGATAACCACAAGTAATATACCAATTGTAGAAAAATCAATACGTTTGACTATATTAATCAGAACGAATTTTTTATCTTCGTAACACTCGGGACCAAATATCTTCTCCAAGCACACTCTAAAATCAAATTCGTCTAGAAATGGGAAAAATGGATACAAGACACAGAAAAACTTTTTAACTAAAAGCCATAATGCTTTCTTTTTGGGCAAAACTGAAAGAATTTGATCAATAATTTTAGTACCATAATGATCAAGCTCATCAAACACCGTAGCCTTAAGTTTCGGATTCTTGTTAACTGAACTTTTTAGTTGATTAGCATTATCGTTATCAATAACAAAAGGCATATCATCTTCTAAATTATCATTCAACTCTCTTCTAGCGAAGTCTTCGTATGAGTTATCAACTTTGCTTTCGCTATCACCAGATATAGAATTAGCCAAAAAAGTTGGTCTGGGCAACTCCGATAAATCTTTTGAAGCGGAACTTATGGGACTCTGAAGATTACTCAAAAATGAAGGATTCAGTAAAGATCCATTAGAGCTGACCGGTGAAGAATGATATTGATCAGCATTCCTAACTAAATCTAGAGCATTCAACCTACTTTTAGCTTTTTGATCTTGACAATAACGTCTTAGTATGGCTAACCAAAAATCTTTCTTCAGTACAGCAAACCATGCAAATGGTCCAATCATCGAACTTTCTGCGTCATTATGAGCATCTGGATCATCAGACACCGAGAACTTGGACACTTCATAAAGACTTATAGTTTCTTCTTCATTTTGAAATGGGTTAACCCCCAATTGATATCCTTTCAATAGTGGATATAAGGATTTTGGAGATTTTTTACCCTGGGAATCTGAGCCGGTTGTTTTTTCTGGTAAAAATCCGGGGAATTTAGGATCATGCAAAACATTCATATCCAAGAAAGTTCCGGAAATATTCAATGCTTGATGTTTTGATGCATTTAAGAAAACTGGGGTGGGATACAGTAGAATTTTATATTTAAAATGCATATCATAATAGTTCACGTCGATAATATCACTATCTGGAGAATCCAATTTGACATTGTCAGTACTTCTTGTTGGGTCCGGTTGGGTTTTATGTTGTTTCAGTTCAAGCGCAATAAGTCTGTCCATTAATGTATTTAATTCCGATCTTCTGATCTGAACCAAATCCTCCTTTAATTCATTCTTTTGTTGACCATCTTTATCTCCAGTTTTAATATTTGGCTTTTTATTGGGTGGTGGTTGAACAAGCGATACTGGAACTTTAGAATTTTCAATAGCTTTATCTAAAGAATCTTGATTATCTTCTGCTTCATGGTTACCATCTACTAACCAATTAGAGTCATATATACAATGCTTGACGGTATTACTCCGTACGCAAGAGGAACATGGACGTTTCTTATCACATCTAATTTTTCTTTTTTTGCAGGCCAAACATACTAGAGATGGTCTATTTCTCTTCCTTGATATGAGTTGAGACTCCATTTCGACGGAAGGTTTCCCAAACAAGGGCTACTTGAGCATTGAATGTTTCGGGAAAATTTAAGTCTTTTAGTAGAAACTGTCTGTGGAAATCTCAACGGCTGAACCCTTTAAATTTAGACTTACTAATCTGACAAATGCAGCTTGTGATTTTAAGTAGAGGTTGCTATCGGGCCTGAAATGTTTGAAAAGCAAAGAAGCAGCTTATCTGTAGCAAGCTCTTATTTATTATCGAATAATTGGATAGTTAAGCCTTGAATGCTACGCTTTTCCCAGATATTAATTGAAATCAATTTATCAATATACTTAACTAAGTAAATGTCTGCTTATAATATCTTTTTTTTTTTCTTTTTTTTTGGTTCCGCCCAAATTAAAAACACCCGTACACACACCTGAAGCACATAACTGCAAAAACTACAATTCCTCTTTTTATTCAAATAAATAATTTTTTTGTTTTATGGACAATGTCTAAAAGTACATATATAGAGACTAGTTGGTAGAGCCATAAGCATGGTTATTGTCGGAAGAGACGGCATCACCATTCAACAATCTGCGTTCTTCTAAAGTGCCTCCATTCTTTTTAGTTCTTGATGGACCAGAAGTATTTGTAATTTCATTTGCCGAACAGCTGTCACAATCAGACTCGTTATAATTATCATAGTTTTCATTTTCGTTATAGAGAAAAAATTGAATGAAAATGGTAAAGTCCAAAGCCAAAGTACCAAACGAACCAGCTAACCAAGAAGAATTAACCCAAAGATAATACCAAGAAGTATCAATGGCTAAAATGGAGATAACATAGGTTAAATTACCTAAACATGCAAAAAGGAAAAACATAAATGAGATACCGTCACAAGATTTACGTTTAAAATTAAGTAAAATTTGAGGAATACGAGAACCCAAGTATAAAAATGCACATAACCAACCAAAAAATTGAGCTAATGGATCATAAACTAAATCTTGAGGTTTCTTATGGTGTTTTTTATTGGCATCCTTCAAATAAGATATATACCAGCCAATCAACCCGGCAGAAATCACAAGAAGTACCATAAGACTCTTGTAAAGAGTCGTCATTAATGGAGAAAGAGAATCCGACTTGGAAATTTGTGACTCCTCATCAATATTAGCACCCTCTTGTTGTTCAGGTTCCTCTGGGCGTGATAACACGGTTTCTAAAACATCTTCATTCATAGGATTGGCAGGAGACAAGTGAACATAATCAGGGTTAGAGTCTCCGTGGCCGTAAACCAAACATTGCCAAAGTAGAACAACATCGGCCAATGTATAGTAAATTGCTAAAATAATCATGGTCGGAAGAACTCCTTGTAAAATCGACCCCAATACATTAAAGACATCCCCGGCTAACCAAAGGATTACAAACATTAAGGATAACCCTTCAGCCGACTTTCTTCTAAAGTTCTCATATATTTGAGGAGCAAACACAATAATCCAACAAGCTAATGAAATGGACCCCGTCAACTGGGACACTTGATAAGCATCGATTATTATAGGTGGAGGTGGTGCCATTTCTATCACTTAAACAGTTTCTCCCAACCCGAAGTACGTACTAGATATCAGTAATTCAACTAATAGCAGAAACAAACTCTAGTATTCTGGAAATAAACCCTGTTTCGGTGACTTTCTTCATCGCATTCCATTTTTTTTCATTCTTTTTTTTTTTTTCCTTCATTTTTTATTTTCGTTTTTGGTGAGGAATTGGGTTTCTGCGTGCGGCATCATTTGTGGAGACAATTCCGTTTTATTAGTCATAGGCTGAATTACTGCAAATTACTGTAAAGCCATAAAACAACAGCTACAGGCTTACAAGATGAGAGATGCAATCTGAGTATGTGTATTCGACAAGAAACCTACAATTTGGAGTGCTCAACCAAAGATCTTTCAAGATCATATAATCGGTTGAAGATGGATGCAAAAAACTTTGAAGCAACACCTCGTTTGATTTTGAAGGTGGGAGTGACAACGTTTCTATCTAAGGTGAGTGGGTTAAGCTCAATGTGGATATTATGGAGTTTTTCCAAGCCGTTTATGCTACTGCTGACATTTTGATTAATTTTCTTCAAAAAAATGGCTTTATTTTCGACTTTATTGAGTTCTTGAAAGATCTCGGCGACCGACATATCAGCTCGATTGTACCCACATTCGTCGTTTAGGAACTTGATTCCCAGCTCGTGGGAAATACCAACGATTCCAACCAACCAATGTCTGATGGAATCACCATGGATGTATAATTGTTGTATGATTGGATTCTTCAGTAGGTAAATGTTTTCAATTTTCTCGGGTGATATGTATTCTCCTTGAGCCAATTTGAAGAAATTCTTAACTCGGTCGATGATGTATATGCGGCCGTTGTTGGGATCAATACGGGCAATATCTCCACTACTAAACCAGCCCAGGTTAGAATCTAAAACCTTGCTTGTCTCTTCATCATTCTTGAAATAGCCTGGGAATACCCCGGGTCCTCTTATTAATAGTTCTCCCTTGTGTTCGTCAACAGTGTAACCCATTTCCTCACGGCTAACCAATTTCACCTCACATGATACCCCAGTGCTCCCACAGGATCCTGGTATGCACTCATAGGGATGACCTTTGGTGAAAGCTCCGGTGACTTCTGTGAGTCCATACAATTGACTTACACCAATACTTAAACTAGCCTTTAAGTAGATCAACGTTGCAGGGTTTATGGGGGCCGAAGCCGTCTGAGTCCAAATCAAGTTATCAAATCCCAACATTTTTTTCAAGTAAGTATAACCAGGATAGTTATCTATCAAATGGTTCTCACCTTTGGCAGCATCTCTAACCGATTGTCTTGACGTTTTATACTGAATGATTTTGTTGATCAATTGTGCATTAATTGAATCGGTTTCTTGAGCTATATACGATTTAACCACCGATTCAAGCTTGGTAAGAAGCCTAGGCACAATTGAGAAATAATGAGGCTTGAATATCTTACAGTCTTCAATCAAATTGGAAAAAGCATCTCCCCTTTCACTATTGGCAGTGATTGTACGAGGAAACCCAAGATAGTACCCAGTGGTTAAAGCAAATGCTGAAGTTCCTCTTTCGTAAATGTGGGTTAAGGGTAAGTATATTAAGGCTCGTCCGTCTTTGATCTGAGGAATTTCCGTGGCAAGATAGCTCATAGCACTAGCAATGTTAGCCTGAGTGATTTTGGCTCCTTTTGGATTGGACCCAGTGGTACCTGACGTAAATGAAATCGTATAAACTGTTTGGGGCAAGGGAGGCAATTCATTTTGCGTATTAATCGATCCCAAGAGCTCAACCTGGTACATATCATGGACTGCAATACGTAAATCTTCACCCAAGGTAACCATTCCATTATCTTGATCGGTCAAAGGGTCCATCGAAACAATGGCAATGACATTCTGCAAGCTGGTAGCATTTGCTTGCTTGAGCTTCAATAACATCTTGATTTTGTCCTTAGAACAAATAATTATGGGGCTTTCGGTACTCTCCAATATATGTTTTGCAACATTTTCGCCTAGAGTATCGTACAACGCGGTGTTTGTAATAGAATAGGATGAGCATGCCAAGTCAGTTAATAGCCATTCCATTCTATTTGCTGAAAAAATTGATAAAACAAAAGAGATATTGTCGTCGTGAAAGTCGTATGAGCGATACTTCAGTTGATGGCTTAAAATCTTTTGGTGGCTACTCAAATTGGTGTCCACGAATGGATTATTATTCAAAACATGTAATATACCTGAACCCAAATTTTGTTTTCTAATATTCACTTCCTTATAAGTCAAGGACTCGTAATGGCCAGCTGATTTGCCTGTGGTGTAATCAATTGGTCTGGATCCAAAACATGGTCTATCCTTGAATAGCTTCACTGAATTTTCAAACAATCGATGATGAGTATCCAAATCTGGATGAAGATTAGCAACCAAACTTTGTGGATGCATCTTGTTTCTGTACACTGGAGATTCATTCGGCGGGTGTGCTTCCATGTTGATTGGAACAGCATCGACCACTCCCAACTCATCAAAAGGTAATTCATTGGGAATTAAAAGTTGGGGGTCGGGATGCATCTCTTTCGAGAATAAACTAGTTGCACCATTATTGGTTTCAATTGAAGTTCCTGCAAGCTCTTTAGACATAGTTCGTTAACCGGTGGTGCAACTTAGACCTTTTGCACAACTTAGCCGGATCTCTAACCATCTTATATACCCAGTGAAGGTTTGGAACAATAATTACGGAGGAGAAGAGAAGCTCCCCGCAATAACCTTATCCAACCATATGTCAACGGGTATCCATCCCACTTGATCCCAACTTCTCATATATCCGGGAGAGGAGCTATGTCTTTACATCGTCGGAGTAATACCCGACATTATCACTGCTTGAAGTGCAAGTCTTTAATACGGCTCTGCGAATTGAATTACGTCCGCAAAAACTCAAATACTTGATTCCCAATAAGTTTATTAAGTTATGCTATACTATTTTATATGCTAAGAATATATATTATACAAATTCTACTTGGTATCTGAGTCCTCACCCGTGAGAATACCTTGATACCCCTGAAGAGCTATCTTCTCTTTCGTTCAAGGCACTTGGTCATATGCTGAGCAAACCGACCACCAGCTATTTTCCTTCCACAATTATCACAGGTGAAGTACCTGGAGGTTTCTGACGATTTCAATTTAGCTTTATCCTGGCCATATATATCGTTTTTCAGATTGAGTTGCTCGTTGATGATCACATCCTTGGTCGCATGCTTGCCCTCTTCTCCCACTGCTTCTTGGTATGACTTGAATCTGGTTAGACTGGCTAGGACCTGCTGCTTAACCATATTATTAATCATATCCCCAAACAAGGATTCTGCCTTTTTTGCCGTTGTTAATATTACTTTGCTCTAGTTGGTTGCGTCTAGATCTTATCAAACCATACATACAAGAACCTGATACGTCACTGGGGTCTCGGACATTCTGTCTCTATCTACTTTTCCATAAAACCCTCTGGATGCCTCGCCTATAGACAATATTCAAGAGAACGATACTAACTGTGAGAATCTGTTAGATCTGTGCTAAAGATGGATAAGTCAATCTCTTTTTCGTTGAATTTTTCAGGGCCTCTTCTGTGCTGCGACCTTCAATGAGAGAAAAAAAAATATGAAGCTGCTCCAAGTATTGATTCGATCACATATTCACGAACAGAATTCAGTATGGAAGAGATAGACGATGAGGCCCAGATAGTCCATTCTGGTGACTTGAAGGTGAATACGGTTTCTGCAACAGCGGGGCCAGAGCAGGAGGAAGAAGAAGAAAACATCCAGGATTGGAAAGCCTTTAACAAGCAGGTTGCTAGATCTGCTGCTTCACTGGCACCTAGTTCTGAAGCCATACCCGCAAGGGGTGAGAAGGACTTCGAGCCTGACGGGACTACTGTTCAGAATTCTTTGCTTGACGAATCAAGAAACGAAATGTATGCTGCATTGCTGGGGTTGAGAGGCCATCCTTTGAAATCAACTGTTACAGCCGTATGGATTCCTAGCGAAGGTAAAGCCCTTATTCTTCATGCTAAGGGTAATTTTTTCAAAGACATAGGGAAACCGGTTCATATCCCTTTAATAAAGAAGGCACAGGGGGTGTGGCTAAGTCCAGTGGAGACAGTGTACCTAGTCGAAAGAGGATCGGTGATTTGCTACTTGAGCAACGATGAATTCGAGAACTACTTGAAAATAGGTGGTGACGAGGGGTTTGACTATAGAAATCGGTTGCGTCAACTCACCCTAAGTCATGTTTACTCACTTGCATTCTGTGTGGATGGTGATTTAATAGATAAGTATCAAGTATATTCGTATTTGAAAAGATCGGGTTATATCGTCCAAGATTTCAGACTAATTACCCCGGAACAAAGCCAGTCATTAGCTTTATTGCATAATAAAAAACGGGACTTATTTCCTCTTGGACAGCATCTTATCAGAAGGTTATGTGGTTTTTTTTCTTTCCCAATTTTCAATAAGTTAGCTTCTGCAGCATATTCTATTTGTCGTCATTTTCAACCTAGTCATTTTTTCAGCTATACTTCACTTTTCAAATCATTGCAGTTCATTCCGTCATACTCTACTTATGATACATTAAAGCCAGAACTCTATCCCAACCTTACTACGGACTATAAATTAGCATACAATGTTTGGAAACCAATGCAAGGTTTTTCTAAGAAAAACCCACCTCCACCGGACTTTCAAGTTTGTATAATAAACACCGGTCAGAATCATTTATTCCCCACGCTTCAAGATATCCAATGTCTCTTCAACCAAATCAATCATACATTCCCATCCCAAAATAATGACGAAGGGAAAAAATCAAAAGAAGATAAACCAAAAAAGACTAGCTCTTCTCAACCAACAAAAAGAGAAATTAAGCAACAACGCCAAAAGGAAAGAGCTGCAAAATTGGACCCAAAGATCCAGAAAAGAAATGAATATTTGAAACAACGTGATCACCACTTAAAAAATGGTCTGAACGGCCGTACATTAATGTTGGCCGTGATAGATAACGGAGTAATAAGTTTTAACAAATTGAGTGAAGCCGACTTCACCTTGAATAATGATCTGACGGTTTCAAACCTCAATGACTTGGCCCCTGAAAGATATGGATTACATGGTACAATGTATCTTGAAAAAATATAAAATTATTTATTTAGTGTATATATATATAATCAATCGTCATCTCTCATGAATTTTTGATTGGTAAATCATTTATTATCTTAATAAAATTCTCGTCTTTGTCTTTCTTATTTGATCGTTTCATTTCATTCATTTGATTATGAACTTCGATATCACCCACTATATTTTTAAATAGGTTACTTTTGAAATTTATATTCTCTTTTCTCTTTAAACCTTTGGTTTCTATACTATGCCAAAGCGCTTTATGTTTTTGCATCCTGACTTGCTCAATACAATTGCGAAAGTGTTTTAAAGCCAAGTGTAATTCATTATTCAAATACTCTTCGTCAAATCGTTTTATATAGTCATTGATAAAGGAAGAGGCCCATTGATCGACTTCTTTAGGTTTGTTACGGTAAAGGACACCAAAATATCTATCAAAGTATCCCGTCAACTCGGCAATTATAACTTGATCATCATTTAAATCACCTTCAAATTCAGAAAGTGCACCTTTGTAATCGTTAGAGTAAATCAAACGGTCAGGCAATCGACTCTTGGATGCTATTATACACTTTACAGTGTCAACCATTATTTCTTCAGAGTCTTCTATAAAGCCCTTGATCTTTTTATGTTCTTCTGGTTCACTTATAAGTTGCATTTTTTTCTTGATCATCACTTTAAATATTATTGAGCCTTCTAATTGGCTCGAATAGATCAAACTTTTCAACATGCCAGCATTTAACGTTTTACTTTTGATAATTTTTATCCATCTTTTTAAAACACCCGTATCACTCAGTATGAAGGGTAACAAATTTAGTTGGTAAGAAGGAGAAGTTGGAAATTGGAAGTTTAGTATTAAAGAATTGATTACCTCATTGTCATAGACTAAAGGTATTTTCAATGGAGGCAACTTATAGTCAAACTTATTTGAATAATTAGAAAATTTATGATTTATCAATGGCAATCGTCTAAGATCCTTCTTGACCTTTCTATAACAAAGACTATCATGTTCTATGAAATACTTAGTCAAGGTTTGAAATAAGTTTAGTCTTCCATTCAAACTAAGCTCTGGGTTGCTCAAAAATGACCCATTTTCCAATCTTACTCTCTCCGTAAATCTTTCTCTATATTTCTGCCAATAAGAATTATATAATGTAAAAGTGTTCCTAGAATCATTCTGCCAAAATTGTGGATTCCTTGCCACTATCTCTTTATCATTCAAATATTTTACAACATTCCATTTCAAAATATCTGTACCTAGATTTGTTGAGAACTTATTCGAGTATCTCAAAGATTCATTAAGTTCAGAATCTTCGAATGGTAGGTAATAGTAATTATCTCTATCTTCATCGTCAGTTTTATACGTTTCAACATCTTCTAATATCCCCAAAATTCTATGCATATGTCCAATTGAAGTTGAATTGAATGATTGAAAGGATTTTGTTAAATCTACTTGTTCGTCATCTTTACTGGAGTAATATCTCTTCACGTTGTATGGAATCACTTGTCGTGCCCTTCCTTTAGTGCACGTCCTTAACATTGGTAGAGGCTTTCAACAAGTAGTTAACATTAATGATGAATTGATTTAAAAAAAGCGTGAGAATTCTACTTTTGACTTGCAAAACTAATTTTTCAAGCGATATATTTTTGTAAGTTGATATTATACATAGGTTTAAAGTATATACATGACTATAACTTAGGAACTAATGTTCTTCGATAACAGAAGGTCTTTCCGTGTGCTGGAGTGTGGTCATTTGGTGCCCTCGTAAAGATGTAGACTACGATCTGTCAATGGGTTTGAGTCATTCATACTAGGTAGACTACTTAAGATCTGTAGAGCATCAGTTTTTTTCTTCTTCTCTTTTCATAATCTTTGGTTTTCTCGGAGTGTTCTCATCGATTGGCTTCTTGGGGTCCGGTGATGAATTTGGCTTCTTTTTCCTCAAAGGAGGTTTTGCGGAGTTTGAAGAGTTTGGTCTTGACGGTTCACGAGAAGATGAAGATGATGAACTAGCTGATTTTTCATTGCTAGATCTATTCCTTGGTTTGCGGTCATTACTTTTCCTGTCATTGGATTTTTCGTTTGGTCTTGAGCTTTCTTTTGGTTTATCGCCTGGTTTTTCAGTTGGTATTGGACTTTCCCTTGATTTTGACTTTTCTTTTGATCTATTTTTTGAATTGTCTTTCTGTTTATCTTTTGGCTTATCCTTTGGTCTTTCTTTCGGCTTCTCGCTTGATTTAGGTCTGTCCTTTAACTTATCCTTAGACTTGGGCTTATCTTTTAGATCATCTTTTGTGTCTCTTGGTTTATCTTTAGTCGAGTCTCTTTGTTTCTCTTTTTTTGAACCTTTTGGTTTCTCCTTTGCTAAATTCTTGAGTTTCTCTTTGAAGATTTGATCCCTGTCACTTCCCTTTTCTGTTCCTCTTGGATTGGCTAATTTATCTTTCTTATCTTTCTCTATTCTTTTTTTCTTTTCTTCGTCTCTCTTCTGTTTTCTTTTCTTCTTCTTTTCTTTCTTTTTCAAGTCATAGATAACATTTAGTAAATCGAATTGTTTATTTTCCTTCTTCAATTCCAAAAACTGTTGGAAATAAACATTATTATCCAAATTAATTGTACTGGTTAGAGGTCTCGGTCTAGTATTGAGCGGTTCCAACTTATTGAACAACGCTTTCTCTATAGTAGGTATCAATGAATCATTAGTTTCTGTTTCTTTGAATGACTTACCTTTCAATTCTCTTGTAACTGAATCAGCCCAGGATTGATTGGAAACACCCAAATAGGCTCTGGAAAAATTAGGGGGTTCGTAGGGAGAAATTGGATACGACCCTTTCACATAGTATTTATGGAATATCTGATTGGATGTAGTGGGGGACAAGTGATTTGAAAGTTGATTATAAAAATCTTCTTCCAGCAAATTTGAAGGTAATAGACGGACTACTAATTTGACATATCGGCCAAAAGATCCCAGATCCGCTGATGATCCCGACGAATTAGGTGGAGTCGAGACCGCAGGTCTTGACCTTGATGGCGGACGTCTCGCTGGAGCCACTGAAGCCATGGTTGTTTGTAGAAGACTGACTTATCAAGCAAGGAATAATGCTAACTAACTGAAAAACAAAAAATTGCACTGAAGAAAACAAAAAGAAAAAATTTTTGAAAAATAAAAAAGAATCTATGGAACTTGAAAAGAGGTTCTGTTTTACCATCTATCAAAGATCAAGACTATGAATGAAGCTGAAAGCCTACTCGGCCATTTGGAGAATGTGTTGAAGAACAACCAGTACAAGCAATTAAGTGGAATACTTAATGTGAATCCACAATATAATCCATATATAGTCAAACTCTATAATTCGGCGAGTATTCCGAAAAAACATCTTGATTCGATGGTGGAGATGCATAAATACTTCGGAGGAGACTGGGGTGCCTTTAACGAGGTTGTGATATCGTTTATCCAATTGAGTCAGGAGATGAATCCTTGGTCCGCCGTGGAATCGTTTGATTTATATACAAAGTACTTGAATGATTTGGCGGTTGCCTTTAGTAATAGTAAACGAGGAGGAATAATTGTTGATTTATTGAAGAGTTCAGTTGAAGAAATACTCCCACTTGCAACCAAGTTGGATATCCAGTTGTACTATAAAGAAGATTGTCGACAACCCCGGTTAACTTATATTGCGACCATTTTATTAAAAGTGTTCAATAACATTCGAAGTCAAGCAGGCGAAGAAGACCAACAACTGAAATTGAAGAAAACGATCTTGTTATTCATGGGGAACAAACTATGCCAGGTATATTTCAAGATTGGTAATCCATTGCTCTGTCGAAATGTGTTTAGTAATATGAATAATGCTAATTTACAATTTAGTTATTTCCCACCTGATCAACAAGTCACCTACAGATACTATTTAGGGAGGTTTTATTTTATTAAAAACCAATTCATCGATAGCTATCAGCATTTCGAATGGTGTTTGAATAAAATGGTTCATATGCAAAATCACAAAAATATTACTCAACTATTAAAATACTGGATCCCGGCGGGAATAATGTTAGGTAAATTCATGAACTTAACCCAAATCAATCTGGTTTTCTATAATGGACAAGGACCCGCCTTCTTATCAGTGTACCAAAAGATCAGCGACTCTATCAAACAAGGTAACTTCCAGCTTTTCTACAGCTTACTTGATGAAAATTATTCTTTTCTAAAACAAAATCAGCTTCTTGTTGCCTTAAGCTCTAAATGCAACTTATTAATCTTGCGGAACCTCATCAAAAAAGTATGGATAATCACCGGCCGCCAGCCCAAACTAAACTTCGATGACATCAAGCTTGCATTACAACTCCTGATTGCAAACTCCAATAAAGTACTAATGTACCTTGACCAAGACCAGACCATCGAAAACATCTTTGTCAGTCTCATTGATCAGAACTTGGTCAAGGGCAAGCTTTTCCCGCGTCTCCGCGTGGTGCTGTTGAGTAAGATCAACGTCTTCCCAACCGTCAGTGAAATCAACTTTGTCAAGTTTGGCCACGGTCAAGAAGGACGCTTGAGCAGTGGTGATAAGTGGATGGCGGCCTAGGTCGCGTGCTTAGGTAACCGTCCAATGCTTATGTCAGCTTATGGCAGTCCGTTGCTTATGTAATTCTGCGACGTGCTTACGTAACGACGCGACCTGTCTGAGTTTGAGCGCAAAAAGAAACGGAGGGGAAGCTTCGTGACGGTTCCATACTTCCGGAAAATCATAAGAGGCATTTTGTTTGACTGTGGATTCGCAATCACTCATTCAAAAGAAACGACCGCAAAATATAGGTGGATGCTATATAAAGGGAAGCTTTGAACTTTATATTGGGGATTGTCAAATTTGACTTGGTACTACAGAAATGACATTAACAGAGCTTCCATTTAACATCCTTGACGGGATAATATCGGTTACGCCCCAAGAAGACTTGACTAGGTTATCGCAAACGAATAAATGCTTCCGGTTTAAGATTAACCAAAGTCTTTATAGGAAGATCTTGATAACAAATGAAGAGAATGTGCATCATGATGAGTATACGGTTATTCCGGTTGGTAAGTTGGATAAGTTTGCTGCCAGTTTGAATTCGTTTAATTTTGGGTTTATTCATTCGATATATTTTCAAGTGAATCTGACATTAGAGGTGAATGATTATCAGGGATTTTATGATAAGATATGTCAATTATGGAATGAACAAGCTGATCATAAGATCTATTTGTTTAATTTTGATTGTGCAAACTTGCGTCATTATCAACTGTTTAATGCATTGCTATCATCCAATTTAACCTATATTGAGGATACTGGAGAGTCAAAATTGGCCAATTTGAAGATTAATAATTTGCAAAATTGGATTGTTCATGATATGAATGAATTCATCAGTTTACCTTTTAATCCTAATTTGAGACATTTGGATATTGTGATTGATCGCTCGTTGAGCTTTTTATCGAATCCTTTGCAATCGATTATTGATTCGGGAAACACCATTCGCAATTTGGTTAACGTTGAAAGCTTGAATCTTGATAGTCCTTCCAGTGTACAGTTTCTTGTTCAACTTTATAAAGAGTGTCCCTTTGCCATGGACAATTTGACCAGTTTGTCCTTGACTAGTTCTCATAATTACCGCCATCCAAAATTAGACTATCAAGAGTTATCCAAGTTTATAAATTTTAATGCATTAACGGATTTTGAATTGAAGGTTAACTGCAATCATACCGATTGTCAATGCATAACTAATTTTTTCAATAACTGGTTTTCTGCTTCTCAAAAGATTAATTTGAAGAAATTGGTTCTTTTAAATTATAAATCAGTTTTACTTCCAAATAACATCAACCAATTCAATCAAGTACTCCGATACTTTATCTTTAATTCGAAATTAGAATCGTTAAATGAATTAGTAATCAATGTTAATGATTTTACCAAACCCCTAAACTCAACAGTTCAATTTGATTTGAAAATGATGATTGACAAATTGCCTCATTTATCTAACTTATCTAAGCTAGTTATTCCGGATTTTTTCAACCGTCATTTGAAACAAATTAAGCCTTTTATATCGCATTTCACTAAAGATCTCGATGATAAACCAATCTTGGATCTTCTTTTGAATCATTGTCATTGTGACAATTGCCAAGTGACTAGATTTAATTTCAAACATTTGGCTCAAAAAGGTTACAACGATAATCATAACTACTCAATTACAGAATGTCCTATGGGGATTTCAAACAATGTCAATGTTAATGATAAATCAACTCAAGAATTCTTTAATTACATTATCATCAATTTGAAAAATGAATTTGCATCCACTAGCTACTTACGAAAAAATTTCTACCACTGCAAATCTTCCTTCACCGAAAACTTTATTCAATTAATAAACCATGGGATAATGGGTGACTTATTCAAATTCATCAATACTAAAAATGATGACTTGCATTGCAACTTTGGTGGTATCAGTGTATAATTTATAGATTTTTATGAAAAGTTACGATTTAGTCTAATATTTTAGTTTGTAGACCTTTGAAAGTCTGTTGAGCAGTTTTTTTTTTTTGCGCAAGAGCTACTTCTTTTTTCATCCTTTACCGAAGTTAGGACTATCAGAATAACCATTGCGGATCATGATTCAACCGGCATTTGCTACGAGAGAAGAACGCCAGCAGAACCTTAACACTCAAATGTGGCATGCTGCGGCCATTGGACTGCTCCGGGGGTCTTTAATTGCTCTAGTTAGTGGATACTATTTCAATTATCGGTATAACTATGCTCATAATACAAAGTTTTTCAAAACTCCGTATAAAGTCTTGTATTTTGTTACTTGGAATATCGTTGGAATCATATTCACAACGGATAATGCAAAGATTAGATTGGGTAGACAAATGGCTATGGAAGAAGATTTAAGACGGAATCTTTACGTTCAAGAAGAACTAGATAATTGGGGGAAACCAAATAAATGAACTAATGATATTAATATATATTCAATATATAACTATTTAAACGTAAAAAGCTTCCTCATGGAATTTTAATCCATTTTCACTTGCCCATAATTTTACATTATTTACTAACCCAGATGGTCCAGCAGAAATGACCCATGCTTTACTAGCATCAGGAGTTAGTTTATCTTCATGTACATTACCTCTAGGTAAATCTCGGCAGCAAAACGTGTTACCAGACGAATCGGCCTTAGGTCCAGAACATTGAGTGAAAATATCATCCTCATTGACACACCAATTGAAGTATCGATAGTTCAATCTAGGACGTCCTTTATAAATACGATGAGTTAACCTTAATTTGGTAACCGTCTCCTTGAATTGTTCAATTTGTAAATTATTTGATGATTTGATATTACTAAGACTTGGTAAAAATGCTTCATTGGTTAAGGAGGATGCTTGGGTTTTCGGTGACTGTGGTTCCTGGTAGATGTCTTCTTGGTTTTCTTGATCTTCTTCGATAATATCATTCTCTGCTTCATTCCTTTGATTCAAAATTAGTTGTGGCACATTACAATCAAGGTCCGTTATACATTCACTTTCGTTATCGCTTTGTTCTTCATCTCCGTTATCGATCGAAATGTCAACGTTTTCATTTTCATTTTCATGACGTAAACTATGGTGTTTTGCTGATTCAAGATCAACATAATCTTTATAATTTTTAGAATTGGAGCTACTTGACGTGTCGTCGATTTCACTAGCTTGCTGATCATTGATTAATGGATCCAATTCGCTGGCTTGATTTTCCAAGTCAGGGTCCATACGATCCAATGTCTCGGTATTGTTTTCAGTCGAACCATAACCATTATTAGAAATCAAGTTAAAGTCACCAGTGACAAAAATCTCAAAATCGTCATCATGAATAAAACCATCAAAATATTTCAAGATTGAAATATCTCTAAAATCTTTAATGACCCAAACTATTTTAGTTCTAACTCCGTGATAATTCATGACCCTTAAAATCGGAAGTGCAAATGATATAGCCGATCCTCCAACTACGATTAATATTTTTTTGGCATTAATTGCTAATTTAGAAATTGAAAACTGGGAATTCTTACTAACTTTTGATTTGATAAATAATAAATGAGGATCAAATGTACCATAAACAATATATTTATGATAATTCTTAACTTGAAAGTTTGATTTTCTTAATATAAGTTTTTGATAAGTATCCTGGGGTAGGGAAACCAATGTATATGGATGATAATTAGGGATTATTTGTTTATATAAGCGTACTAAGTAATTTGGATGATACTCTGTTAATCTTATATGAGCACCAGGGTTTATTGCTTTATTTGAAATAAGGTAATTTGGGAACTCTATATAAGCCAAATTAGGTGAGACATCAGTAACTTTGAAATCATACTTTGACAGAGTTGTCTTGGATAATTTTAATCTGTAAAATATTTGACCAAATAGAATCGATAAGTTTATCAATGTATAAAAAGTCGCTTTCTTGGGTCTCACATGAAACTGTAGACAAATAACCACAATCCATGTCCAACAATAATGATTTAAAAAGAATAATTTATAATGAGGGTTTCTCATTTTCAGTATTGAAGTTATTATAATGAAAAGGAATCCAGTTAGCGCAGCCCAACCGTACAAGTTTTCAGTTTTCCAAGCTTTAGCCCAAGTGCCATTTTTTTGGAAAAACCCACAATAAGCTATAGTATGAAGAATCGATTGTAAGATTATAATCCGAGATAGCCACTTATGTATAGGAAGCAAACCCAAATATAAGGTATGAGGTAATGGCGAAGGTCTCAATGACAAGAATAGTATTGTTGGTAAGCAATTATTAGCAATGCGTCCCAAACGTTTTGCAATGAAGATCAAATCTCCATGGTACGACTCACTTAGCGTTAAGATTGTAAGCAAGATGGACCAAAATCCAATGTTGTTGAGACTCGGAGAGTTATAGTATAATAAGTAAACCCATTTTTTTGAACTGATGGCAAATTTTTTCTTCAACGTTAAATTTCGAATATCTTCCTCTCTATTAGTATCTGATTCGTCTTCTTGGTCTTTTTCTTCACCTCTGATCACTTTATTCAAATACAGGTTGACTATTTTAAGCAATGGGATCTTCCCGGAAACCGTATAACCTTTTGAAAGAAGTAAATTTTTAACTGGAATGATCAACAAAAATACAATAAGTATCCAATTGATGACAGCACTATACTTATCGGTAGTTTGCTGCCTGAGCTGAGAATATTCTTTGGATTTTCCAATGGGATAGTGGAAGAGATTTGTGATGATAGTGCTATTGATATTACCGTTTTCAAACCACATAATGAAAAGTTTTTTTTTTTATCTATTTGATCAGTAAGCCAAACTGAGTTAAAATCAGAATGAGCATCAAGGGATAAGTCGAGCCCAAGTACACTGCCGAGCTGAACGGGTGATCTCAGTTATCTGCTGGGGTATAGCACGCTTGTCTGAAGAGGATGAAGTAAAAAAATAGCTTCGAATTGGTACGGCTCTCCTATTTTTAGTTAATTTGATCTCAGTTATAGAAAAACTGATGAAAAAGATAACTTTTTTTTTTTGGCACAGGCACCGTACGAACTACAATTAATGATGATTGGCCAACTACTGGAGATTACACTGAGTATATTAGGCTCATGGGTAGTATTACAGTATATAAATACTTAAGTTTGAAAAAAAAAAAAAAAAACACCAATACCAGGCACCATACTATGCACATAAAATGAAAAAGGTCTATAAAGGTCTAGTATAACATATTCATGTTCTTTTTCTGTTTCTTTGACTTGCTGCTCTTCTCTATCATGCCGGACCTTGTAGGTTTACTAGGTTTGGAAGCGGTCAGGTTGTTCGTGATGTAGCCAGATCGATTAGGCTGATGCAGAGACTTTTGATTTGGGCCGGAAGGAAATGCGTATTTGGTAGGGTTACTGTAATTTTTTTGGGAGTTATTTCTATTATTTGAATGATCAAGGTATCCTGACCTTGAAGGATTTGGTTGTTGTTTATTGTAACCATTGCCAAACCCGTTATTATAATCATAACGATTATTATTATTATTATTATAATCGCGAGAACGTTTACCATAATTGCGAGGTTCAGGTTGGATCTTATTATTGTTTTGGTATAATCTAATTGGAGGTGGTCCATTATAAGATTTAAAATCAGAATAATGATTTCTTTTAGATTCTTTAATTCTTCTGAAGTATAAATCTCTTAAATGACGGGGTAAGTTATCACCAGTGAACGCACTCCCACATGAATTTGGCACTCTCGAGCTTCTCATTTGCGGGCATTCATCTCCATAATGAGTATTATCACCACAGTTATAACAATAAATGATTGGTAATACCGTACTATTTTGTTCTTCTATTGAGGTAGGTAATGTAATATATGATCTCCAAATTGTTGGACAAGTGTCATCGCCATGACTGAAACTATCACAGGCTTTACAGTATTGCTTTTTCTTAACCTTATTAGTACAGTTAACTGCAATATGGCCCTTTAATCCACATCGGGAACATATCATAGTAGTTGGACATTGAGTTTCGTAATGGTCTCCAACAACACCACATTTATGACACACAACCGTTTTACATTTCAGTCTAATATGCCCTCTTCTATGACAATTCCCACATAACGGTCCTAGACTTTGTAAATTGTTAATTGTAGTTCCAGAACTTGGATCAGTAACCCCAAAATATCTTCCTTCTCCCCTTAATTCAATCAACTCGTCGGCGTTATCATTCACTTGGTCCAACGAAAGCGACGTCACCTCGTTAGGGTTGCTGTTTTCGTCCTTATTCTCCTTTTTGTTCTTTTCTTTATCTTCTAGCTTACTAGGTCTGTTCGGGAGATGAGATGAGCCGTTGGTGGTTCCTCCACCGGGACGGTACGACTCGTACTCTTGGTTCGACACATTCATGGGCAGCGTGTCCTCCACAAAGGGTAGTATATCTGACATTTTCTATTCGTCAACCCCGTTCTTCTGTTAGCTTATTCTTCTTTGTAAAGCTGCTAAGTTCTTAACTGAAGAAGCATCGAAAGAAAAAAAAAACAAAAAGAAAAAATAGTAAATATAAACCCGTACACCTTTATGGTTTACCCACTACCCACTAGTTATTTGCATACTTAAGATGTCGTATAGAATATCTTATAGTGGTAGAATATCTTATAGTGGTAGAATATCTTATAGTGCTAATTTATATGTTATAGTGGTAAGTTATACTCATAAGCTATGGGATAGCCTCACACACAATGGCATTGGTTGTTTTAGTTAACTGTATATCCGGACACACCCATGCACCACGAGTATTTGGTAAGGGACTAAACTACAACTGATAAGCCCTGAATAGGACCGACCCTGACCCAGCAGTTGGATACAGAAGAGAAGATATATTTTTAAATAAGGGATTTTGTAAGAAGAAGAAGAAAACGTTCACTCATGTGGAATTGAATGGTAGAATGTAGGACTTATAAAACATTTCTGACAACATGTTCACCGACTTGACCTTGTATAGAGTCACTTGGACCAGCAACTTGGAAAGAGGATTTCATGTATTCTTGATGTTTAACCGCAGCCAATAAGTAACAGGCACTGGCCAATAAGAAGAACACGGCCACCACAATCAAACTGGTTGCTTGAATGGTTAAACTCAACCATTGAATCACACTCATTAAAAGATAGAATCCACAACGAGGCCAGTTTTCGTCAAAGTTACGAATAAACTCGGTGAATTTATCAGTCAATGGACAGATCTTCAATAAAAATGGAATTTCAACGAAAACAACAATTAATCCTTGTACAATACATATAATTGAGAAGATAATCACAAGCGAAGCATGGAAGATATTGGCAACCCCCAAAGCTATACATAAAAAGATGGTTAATAACCCAATCCATTGACCATAAAGTGAAAAATTCTTTTTCTTAAAATCTGACAGAAGTCCTCCAAAAACATTGGACATAACTGATTGGAAATTCATGGCAATCTTTTCTGTTTGTATTTGTTAAATCGACTTTTCAATTGATATCCAATTGGTTAATTGCAAATAGGTTTATCGTGGTAAACGTGTAAACAAAAAGTTAATATCTTTAAAACAAGCAAAAAAACAAAATTCCTCCTGATCGTTTTTTATGTCTTTTAATTTTTGTTAATGCCACTAACAAATTATAAAAAACGCTAACAAAAAAATTTTCAGGGAAGAGATTTTGCAAGCATTAGCGATAGATTAATAGAAATATGGGAAGAGAAACCGTGGTGGCACTTGTCGGGAAGCCGTCGAGTGGGAAGAGTACCACCTTGAACTCGTTGACTTCTGCACAGGCGAAAGTTGGGGCATTTCCCTTCACTACAATTGAGCCAAATAAGGCTAGTGGATTTCTTGAAGTTGAATGTGCTTGTTCAAGATTTGGTAAATCTGAATCCTGTAAACCTAATTACGGGTACTGTCGAGGAGGGAAACGAGGAGTGCCAATCATGTTATTAGACGTTGCTGGATTGGTTCCTAATGCTCATTTAGGTCGAGGTTTGGGTAATAAATTTTTAAGTGATTTAACCGAAGCAGATTGTTTAATTCATATTGTTGATGTGAGTGGTACCACTGACGCTGAAGGGAAAGCTACAAGAGGGTATGATCCTCTCAACGATATAGAATGGTTACAAGACGAAATATTCCATTGGATTTTGGGGAATTTAATGGAAAAATGGGGGTCAGTAGTAAGACGTCATACTTCAACTAAATCAAGTACTTTAGAAACTTTAAGACAACAATTGGGTGGTTATAACGCTAATAAAGAATTGATTGCTCGTGCCTTGGACTTGGTCAACCCTTTACCGCCTTTACAAGAATGGGATAATGCCAAAATCGAAGAAGTGGTTCGTGCTTTTATGGATGTTAAGTTTCCAACCGTATTATCCTTAAATAAAATGGATCATCCTGATTCAGATAAAAACGTTAGTAAAATCATCTTGAAACACCCAAAACTGAGATGTGTCTTAACTTCTTCCATAACTGAAGTTTTCTTAAGAAAATTAGCCAGTCAAAATTATATAAAATATGACCTGGGTACCGAATTCATAGATACCATCGATGATTTGGGTCCAGAAAGTGGTCTTAAACCTTTGGATGATAAAATCCGTAACAGAATTGAAAACATCCGGGATTTGGTTCTCTATCGTTTTGGGTCAACCGGTTTGGTTCAACTTTTACAAGAAGCTGCTAATTTACTAGACTTGGTTCCTGTTTATCCAGTAAGAAATATCAATACCTTCACCGGCGGGTCAGGTGAATACGTTTTCCGTGATTGCGTCTTGATTAAAAAGGGTACTCCCGTCATCTCAGTCGCCCGTAAGATCATGGGTGAAGTTACCATTGCTTCGATTGAAGGGGTTGGTGGAACCAGAGTCGGTGAAGAGGATACCGTTGATGTTGGCAAAAACGATATATTAAGTTTCAAAATCGTCCCTGGTGGTGGTGCCCATTAGTCTTGTAGTTTATAGAAGTTGTATATAATGTATTTTTACGAATTATTCCTTCTGTAGAACTCCTTCCACGTCGTCAATTCACCTACCGTTGTTACCAACAATAACCACCCCTTTTTGACCTTTTTCATCCTTCGTCCAGCTTTCCATATAAAAAGACGTCTTCCGGCATTCTATTCGAAACTCACATTTCATTTTCCATCCTCTGAATACAGTTTATAGTCAATATACATTTCGTAGGTGTATTTATATAAGTTTGATCTGCTTTGGTCCCTGAAAAACTGAAGAAGGAACGAACAAAAAAAAAAAAAAATCAAAAAAAGGATAAAATCAAAACAACTTCTTGCGATAACACACCCATCTTTAGTATCTTTTCATATTGCAAGAACCCCTTTATTGACCCAGGTATTACGTTAGACTGAAAGCTGGACTAGTGAGCCAACCCGCTGTGATTGTTTTTTTGTTTTTCTTTTCATTATATATACTTATAGTTGGGCGCTAAAACACGAAAATCCATTGAATAATGCCATTGGCGGGTAAAGACCATTATAGTATATTGGGGCTTCACCCCAATGCTTCTGATGAAGAAATCAAGAAATCGTTTAAGAAGTTGGCGGTGAAGTATCATCCTGATAAAACTGATGATAAATCCCATCATGAACTCTTTCTCAAAATCAACCAAGCGTATGAAATATTGAAGTCTTCAGATACCCGTACCCGGTATGACGAAGAGAATGGATTTAAATCGAAGCATTCGCCGGTGAACAAAGCATATAATTATGCTCAGCATTTTGCTACTAGCTTTGCCCCTAGAAACCCATTCAAATATGGTGGTGGTGGTGCTAGTTATTACGAATTTTATCGCTCTACGAGAAGGTATTCTGATGGATTAGATTCCGAATCGCGAGAGGAAGAGCTATTAAGAGAATTGGAGAAGAAAAGAGAAAAAGAACGGTTAGCTGCTGCCGCTGCTGCAAGAGCAGCTAGAGAACGAGTCGAACGTGAACAGAGAAGAATGGCTAAAGAAAAGAAGGAAAGAGAAGAGGCTGCTAGAAAACGGGAGAAAGAAGAACAAATGAGACAATTTTGTGAAAAGGAAGCAGAAAGACACGCCAATAAACTTAATGAAAAACTTAAACGTGAAGCTACAAAAAAACATTGGAATGATTCTTACCCTAATTACGAAACTAAGGACTTTGATGAGTTCGACCGTCAGTACCTTAGTTCGAAAGAAGCCAGAATGCGGGAAAGAGCTAGGGCTAGAGAAAACCTATACGCTAATAGCATCCACGATGATCACGATAATGATGATGAAACCCCTAGCAGTGAAGGTGTTGATGAATCGAACCCTATCATTGTGGAAGATAAGTCTGATGATGAAAATGTTTCTGATGATGAGGAGAAATTTCAAAGATACCCTCCTTCAACACCCAACTATCCTTCTTCACCTCCAGCTTATCCGGAAGATGGTATAAACAACGAACATGATAATGATGATGCTAATTCATCGTCAGATTCTTATGCTTCGGCCTCTGCAGACGTTTATCCGAGTCTTGAAAAGGAAAATCTATTTCAAGGAGAATCAAAGAATTCCCAAACTTTTGAGCAACACGCTCACTCTAATGAACCTCCTGGCACTTATCTCAATATGGAAAATGTACAACGTCTTTTCAGTGATACCAGCATGAACCCTCGCCGTAATCACCGGTCTACTTTTTCCAGAAGATCAGTTAGTCCTACAAGAAACCCCCGTCCTCAAAAATTTAGTAATATAAGATCCACTCCATTGAGTAAAACAACGTCGGAAAAATCAAGTACTTCCAAAACTAAAAGAATGAAAATAGATTCTCATTTTGATTACTCCGAGCTACGTCTGACGTTGAATGTTACTGACATCGGTAACGTAGACTTCCAAGATATTTATGAAAGTTTGCCCAAGGGACCTTCAAATAGTAATCGTAAACTTAGTGAATCGGTAACCCAAGGAAATCCTAAGAGACCTAAAGTGGCAGAATATCTGGATGGCACGTCAAAAGCTGAAACCTTATACACCCCCATCAATAAGAACGTTTATCAAGCTCACAATACTGAAACCCCCTCGCCACCTTTGAAATCCCGTAGAGTTCAATTGACAGAATCTGATTTGAACTCGTCAATAAGTTCGTCATCCTTGAAATGCCCTCAACCCCCTCAAGTTCCTAATATATCCAGCTTGACCACAATGGCATGGAATCAATACGTTGCTTCGATGGCTGCCTACGATATACAATTCGCCCAATACAAACAACTCATCATCCAATACCAAACTGAAAGATTTCAAAAAGACCAAGCACTTCGTGATATAATCAACTCCAATGAATCCGCCTTTATGATCCATCAGAATTGCCTTGTACGCGATTTGGACGTCATGACTGACTATACCTATGCTCTTCGTGCTTTTACTACCAGCGTCCAGCAGTACAAGCAAAATTGCAGCTGGGTTGAGTATTCTCAAAAGAAGTAGCTCAACCATGTACATTAGTTTTATTTCACTTTTTTCTGTAAATACCACTCAACTCTCGGTACTAGCTACCGGCTAATGCCTCTAATGATTACGACCTTTCCACTTATAACTAGTTCAACCGTGTAATATGTTCTTACTGTGAAAAACGTTTTTGCAGTTTATTTGCTTCGAGCTAAACCCTGGTGGGCGCGTCTTGATTGAAAAAAAAAAAAAAAAAAAAAAAACATAAAAACGAATACGTTTCCAAAAAACCATTGAAGCTGAACTCATTTCACTGAAGAAGGACGCTTGAAGCAGGCATAGCAGCAAGATGAATAGAAGCCGTCAGCTATTACTATTTGTAGGGTTGCTTTTCCATTTTTTCTATTTATGGTCAATCTTTGATATTTACTTTGTGCTGCCGCTTGTGCACGGTATGGACAACCATAAATCAACTGATTCACCACCGGCTAAGAGGCTTTTCCTTATAGTAGGAGATGGTTTAAGGGCTGATAAGACGTTTCAAAAGCTCCACCATCCTAGAACTGGAGAATATGGGTATTTGGCTCCCTATTTAAGAAGCTTGGTTGAAGAAGAAGCTACTTGGGGTATTTCAAATACTAGAATGCCTACTGAATCCAGACCGGGACATGTTGCCATGATTGCTGGGTTTTACGAGGATGTCAGTGCTGTTACTAAGGGATGGAAAGAGAATCCAGTAGATTTTGATTCGTTTTTCAATCAATCAACCCATACCTATTCATTTGGTTCCCCGGATATTTTACCAATGTTTGCATATGGAGATAATGTTGTTCCTGGAAGAATTGATGTTTGTATGTATGGACATGAATTTGAAGACTTTACCCAAAGCTCTATTGAATTGGATTCGTTTGTTTTCAATCACTTGTATGGGTTAATGGATGAGCTGAAATCAAATGATACTTTACGCGATGAATTACATCAAGATGGTAACGTTTTCTTTTTACATTTATTAGGTCCTGACACTGCTGGTCATGCTTATAGACCTTACTCGGCAGAATATTATGATAACATTCAGTACATTGACAATCAATTATCCAAGTTGATTCCAAAAATTCATGAATTTTTCGGTGACGAAGAAACTGCTTTTGTTTTCACTGCTGATCACGGTATGTCCGACTTTGGTTCACACGGTGACGGTCACCCAGATAATACAAGAACTCCCTTGATTGCTTGGGGTGCTGGTGTGAATAAACCGGTTTCAGCTTCTGCAGAAGATAAAAAGGCTCAAGATCCTGTTCTTAGTGGCTATGAATCGACTTATTTTGATACCTGGGGATTTGATCATTTGGTAAGAAATGATGTTAATCAAGCAGATATTGCTTCTTTGATGGCATACTTAATTGGTGCTAATTATCCGGCTAATTCTGTTGGTGAATTACCCTTAAATTACATAAATGGTGATTCTATAACTAAAGTTAAGGCTTTGTACGAAAATGCTTTGGCCATTGTTGAACAATATTTAGTTAAAGAAAGTGAAGTTTATGATCACCAGTTTAAATTTAAACCATTTGATCCATTTATAAATAAACCAATTAAAGATTCTAAAAACCAAATCGAAGCTTTAATCTTCTCTTTAGAAAATCACCAAATTTCTGCCAAAGACAAAGAATTTCAAATTTCAAAAGCTATCGAATTATCAGAACAGTTGATGAAAGGTGCCTTGGATGGTTTGACCTATTTACAAACCTATAACTGGTTGTTACTTAGAACTATAGTAACTTTTGGTTTCTTTGGTTGGATTATATTCTCTTTTAATCTCTTCTTAAAATTATTCATTTTGCATGATGTCCCTGAACAACCATTATCCAAGCCTTTACTAGGCTTTTTCACGATTTTAGGTGGTTTGATTAATTACTTGTTGATTTACCAGGCTTCTCCCTTCAATTATTATATGTATGCAGCATTTCCGTTATTCTTCTGGTATATTATATTAAACGAATTCAATATTTTAATTCGTGGTATTAATGAGTTTTTATATGGTATTTCAATTCCTACTCGTTTATTCATTTTGGCAAGTTTCCTTGGTATGTATGAAGGGATTGTCTATGGATTTTTCGAAAGGTTTATGTTCTCGATAATTTTTGTATTGGTTGGGTTATATCCGGTTGTTTTAAATAATCCTAACATAAAATCACTCACCAAACTTTCTTGGTTTATTAGTTGTTCTGTTATGACTATTTTCACTAATTTGGATCCAATTAAAACTGAAAGTTTATGGCAAATTAACACTGGTACAATCATTGCATTTTCTGTTGGTGTTTGGGGTAGTAGGAAAGTTTTTGCATCTAAAAAACCACTCCATCCTTTCAACAAATCCCTTATTATCATCCAATTGGCGCTCTCTGTGGTGATGGTATATTGTACTAACGTATCGGTATTATCATTACAAGCTCGAAATGGTTTACCATTGCATTCACAAGTTTTAGGATGGGTTACTTTTGTCATATCTGTTGTTGTCATACCAATCTTATATACTTTCCATCCCTCCAAGGATTACCAATTAAGACTTTTGATAATTTATTTGACATTTATACCTACCTTTATCATTTTAACTATATCGTTTGAATTGTTATTCTACGTTGGATTTTCACTTGTCTTATTGCAATGGCTCAATATTGAGCAAAGTCTAAAATTTTCCAAACAAGAAATCTTAAAAGCTAAAGAATCACAGCATCGTTTACCAAAAGGATATTGGTTACAAGTCATTAGAATCACAATCATTGGATTTTTCTTCTTACAGTATGCATTCTTTGGTACTGGTAACGTTTCATCTATTTCTTCGTTTTCTTTGGATTCTGTTTATAGATTGATTCCTATTTTTGATCCTTTTTCGATGGGGGCACTTTTAATGTTGAAACTCCTCGTTCCATACTTGTTATTATCTACTTGTTTGGGCATCATGAACTACCAATTAGAAATAAGAAAATTCACCATTTCTTCATTGATCATTTCAACTAGTGACTTTTTATCGTTAAACTTTTTCTTCTTAGTTAGAACCGAAGGTTCTTGGTTAGACATCGGGGTCTCCATTTCTAATTATGTGTTGGCCATCCTCTCCTCATTATTCATGTTAATTTTAGAACTCATCAGCTCGCTTGTCCTTCATGGAGTGGAATTCGAAGAAGCCTTAGAAAGAGAAGATAATCTGCCTGTTACTTCTTCGGTCTCTGGCTCAAACTTCAATGATGATGACGCACCAATTAGTTCAAGAATTAGGAGGAGAACTCAGAAATCATAATCAGTTAATCCTTCAAATACCTTTACTCCTGTCAATAATATAAAAACTATATATAAATATATAAATATATAAATGTAATAGTATGTATAGTATAGCGATAAACCCGTACATACTTTTTCTTTTTGTTCGCTTTTTTAATGAAAATGAGTCAAAAAATTTTTTTGAAAATTATAAATCTGATCAAAGAACTAAAACTCCAGACTTCTAAGTAGTAGTTTAAGAAAAGCTTCTAGGGTGAAAATGAGTGGCTCCAAAGACCAAGTGGTCAAAAAACATATTTTAATGATAGACAATTATGACTCGTTTACCTGGAATTTATATCAATACTTGAACCAATCCAAATTATGTGAAAAAGTCGATGTATTCCGTAATGATAAGATTGATATTGAAACCATTGAAAGAGAGATAAACCCCGATATAATTTTCATTTCTCCTGGACCGGGTCATCCCAAAACCGACTCTGGTATATCCAGAGACCTCATAGAACATTATAAAGGGAAAAAACCAATTGTTGGTGTTTGTATGGGTCAACAATGTATATTCGAAGTTTTTGGAGGAGATGTCTCATATGCTGGTGAAATTGTTCATGGTAAGACTACTTCGATCAAGCACGATGGTAAAGGTATGTTTTATAATGTCCCACAATCGGTTGCAGTTACCAGATACCATTCTTTAGCAGGATCTTTGAAATCCTTACCAGATTGCTTAGAAGTTACTGCCACCACTGAAACCGCACCAGAAGTTATTATGGGAGTGAGACATAAGAAATATACCATTGAAGGGGTTCAGTTCCATCCAGAATCCATCTTAACTGAATCTGGACAACTCATGATTGATAACTTATTATCGTTCAGTGCAGGTACCTGGGAAGAACATGAAAAAAATTCAGTTTCGAAACCAAAGGAAAATATCTTGACTAAAATCTATAAACAACGTATCGAAGACTATAAGATTATTGAAAATTTACCTGGTAAATCTTTTAGTAATTTGAATACTTCTTTGTCATTAAATGTTGCTCCTCCATTAATAAATTTTTATGAAAGACTCTTACACACTTCTAAGACCTTGGATCAAACCATTATTCTATCTGAGTTCAAACGTGCATCTCCTTCAAAAGGTGACATCAACACCGATGCCCACCCCGGTACCCAAGCTTCTACCTACGCTTCCTTTGGATGCTCCACCATATCGGTATTAACTGAACCAAAATGGTTTAAAGGTTCCTTGGATGACTTATCATTGATTCGTAAAGTTATAGACTCTCCTGAAAATGCATCCAAAGACTACAAAAGACCAGCTGTTTTAAGAAAAGAATTCATTTTCAATAAATATCAAATCTTAGAAGCTCGTTTGGCCGGTGCTGATACAGTTTTACTTATTGTGAAAATGTTAAAGGACTATCAATTATTACATGAATTATATGAGTACTCCTTATCTTTAGGTATGGTTCCATTGGTTGAAGTGAATGACTCTTCAGAATTAGAAGATGCCGTCAAATTAACTTACAAAAACGATACCAAAGAACCTCTTATTATCGGGGTCAATAACCGTAACTTAACCACCTTTGACGTTGACTTAAACACCACCAGCTCCTTGGTCACCAAAGCAAAGAACAACAGTGGTAGAAAAGGTGACGTCTTGGTTCTTGCATTATCCGGAATCACCAGTGTTGATGATGTCAAGAAATACAAATACGAAGACAAAGTCGATGGTTTCTTGATCGGAGAAAGCTTGATGAGAGCCGAAGAAAAGGGTAACGCCGGTGAATTTCTAAATGCCTTGACTCACGCCTAATCTACTCCACATACTATACTATGTACATACTATCTAGACGTCTAATGTAATAAGTTTAACTCTATCGTTTTTTGCAATCATTTAATTATGGGTGCGCGCACTACTTTACCTGAACACCAACGCGTCTCTGTTTTTCAAAAAAATTAAAAGAGAACCTTCACTTGATCTTTGCAAACTGTATCAAGTTGAATAGAAAGAGAAATGGAAGTTGCTAGTATAAGAGTAGACTCGTCTTTGTTGCAAGAGTCCCAAGGTAAGCTTGTTAGGATCATTGGCAAGTTGGAATCGTACGATCCCTCGTCTAGTGCCGCCACCTTAATTGCAGGTAGTCCAATTCAATTACAGTTGACTGAAAACGATTCTCTACAAGTCGGTAAGATATACGAAGTCATTGGGAAAGTGAGTACTTCAAACTTGACAGTCAACACTTATTCGGTCACCCAATTATCTGACAACACCAATTTGGATGTTGCAGCTAAGTTGGTCAAGTATGTTCATAAGGTTCCCGAATTATTTTACTAGGGTAGTTTTCAATTCTAAATTTGTGTATAATAATAATGTTTAACGAAGTAGTTAACGAATAACAAATACTTGTGTTTTATATATGTGTAGATTTTTTATTATAGTTATTTAAGATTTATTTAATGATTATATTTTTTTCAAATCTTGGTCTAATTCAGCAAACCTTGGTTCACTACCATATAAAGCCTTGACTTTATTAGACCATTCAGGTGACACTTCTATGGTTTTAGCAACAGCAAAATTACCAAATGCCATACTTAATCTGTAAGCTGCTTCAGCGTTTGATTCAATCAAAGGATACGCAACACCATTTGCAAGCGATACGACTGGGGCCGAGGCAGAGGGATTGCTTCTTAAGGAAGAATTGATGAAAACCAAAGCAGATAAATTGTAAATGAAACTGGATAAAGCAGTTAATGTGGTGTTATAATGTTTACTGGTTTTAGCCGTTTGAGAGCTGGCAAAGTTTTCCGTTATACTTTCCAATTTAGCCACCAACTCTTCGAAAAACTCATTATAACTCAATTGGTTAGCGGAGTCATTTGTCGTGATATATAGTTGTAAGAATAAGGTGCTACCAACCAAGTTATTCAATATTTTCAAGAGCATCATGAACAAGGGAGATCCGTCGGTTTCCACCTCGTCAAACCCAGTGTTTAACGCCTTCAAGATTATTTCGGCGGCATCGGTGGATCTGATTAAATCGACAGTGGTAACTCGTGGAATACTCACTCTGAGTAAATCGTACCCAATTAATTTTTTGCTTGCATCCCATTCATTTATGATCTTAGGAATGTAAAAAGTAATTAACTCCAATGCTTCTTTGGAATTCAAGCTGAGGAGATTGGTTGATATTTGAGAAAGCTCAGATTCAGTGAACTTAGAATTGGCTTGCTCGTTATTAAACTTTGTAAGACCTTTCATCAATGTTTCAGCTTTAAAATCTTTAAATGAAATTAACGTTTTTTGAGGAAGAATACTAGGTTGAGTTTTTGATTGAGCAGCTGGCGCTGGTGAGCCGTGAACATCAGCATAAGGGTTGGCGGTTGGACCCAGTTGTTGATCAAGTTGAACACCGGCAGTGTTCTTCTCTATGAATTGTACCACTTCTTGTAAATAACTAGCTGGTAACTCATTGTCGGCCAAGAATCTTTCTGCTGCAGCATAAGGAGATTCATTACTATTATAAGGAAGCTTCAAAGGTGGTTTCCCATCTTCAACATCAACATCGAAAACATAGTCCCATTTTTGACCGTTAAGATCAACTTTTTTACCAGAGCCACCACCTGCAGAGCCAACCACATCACCAATTTTTGCCCATTCACCACCTGACCACTGGTGGGCTTCTATCACACCCGCGGGGTTTTTAACCATAATGGTTTGACCTTCCTGTTTACCTGGATTTTGTAAAATATCAGAGCTTGGAATATCAGTTCTTTTCAAGTCATCAATAGACTGTTCTGCAATACTTGATTGTTGAACAGATTCTACAAACTCCTGGATTTGGAATTGAGGGGCAAATCGGTTAGAATCTCTAGTAAAGACTCTTAAATTATTATCTGAACCACCAACCACAATATCATCATTTGGTAACACGGATAAACACCATACAGAGATACATGGTAAAGTAATCACTTGAAGAATATTGCCGTTTCTCCACACACGAACAGTCCTATCTTCACCAGTAGTGACCAAATCACCGTTTGATAAAATACCTATATCGTATACAAAAGAATCATGGCCAACCAAGGTTTGTAAAACAGCCCCAGAATCCAAATCCCAAACCTTAATAGTTCCATCATTCGACACGGATGCAAAAGATTTAGCATCGGGGAAAACCAATAACTTTCTGATGACATCATTATGGCCCGAATATTCAGCAACTTGTTTATTACCAATCCATTTACGAATAGTTCGATCAGCAGAACAAGTCAAAAAGATGTTCTTTGACGCATCAACGATCTTAGCGTCCCATACGGACGATTGATGGCCTTGAAGGTCGAATTTCACGGTACAGGATTCCAAATCCCAAATTTTTGCAGTTGAATCCCACGATCCAGATATAACGTATCCGTCCTTATACGACAAGGCGCAGATATTACCAGAATGCCCAACCAACTGGTACTTTCCGAAATCGTCACCGGCCTTCACGAAATTGTCCTGTGGTAACGTCAAGTAGATGATTGCTTCTTGACCAGCAGCGGCTAATAAAGGCTCTTTTTCGTTAGGAATATAAGTGACGGCATTGATAAATGCATTTGTTGGCAGCTGGAAAGCAATAGTCGACTCTATAGGCACCTCAGAAGACCATCCTTTGGAAGCATCGGTGCTCAATGGGTGCCATACCCTGGCAGTTGCATCTCTCAGTCCAGATACAATACTTTCGTTGGAAGCAGCCACAACCGACCTAACATCTTGTTCGTGGCCGCTCAAAGTTGTGCTTAGCTTGAATGTGGATACCATTCTGTCAGACTCGTTGTCAATCCTCAATTGGATGTTTTATAAGTTGAATCAAGTAAGAAAAGATGGTGGCAAGGCCCTGGTTGAAAGATTGGAGGATTGAAAAATGCGCTTTTTTCTGTTGATAATTCGACAGCTTGAAGGTCAAGTCGTATCCTTTGACCTTTTTTTTTTACTTCTTCTTCTTGTCTTTTGGCTATCGTCAATACATCAACTTGATTCAGTGGTAAGGTTTCTATAGATATATAGACGGAACAAAGCACTGTCAAGAATTCACTTTTCGGCTGTGGATATACTAATCGGAAACGAAAACTTTACACGTGAAAGCAGAGATTTGCGAACATTTGTCTTCATCACAAGAATCGTATAAAAACTAGTTAAACTCACTAGTTGTTTTGGGAGAATAGACTAGATAAAGTAATTGAGTAGAAGAATGGTGTTATCACATTCAATTGCGTCCGACGGGACTCACATTTTCCATAATTCCATTGCTAAAAAGTATCTTTTCTTGAATGGTAATACTGGGATTGAAGTTTCGGATTCATTGCCAACGATTTATGCTAAAACCAATATAGGTAGCTCGACTGCGGCTATTTCCTGTATTCTTGGGGTGATTAAGTTGAAGATTAACAAGTATGTTATAGTTGTTGATAAACATTCTATTAGTGGGTCTATTACTGGTAAGAAGATTGCTAAAGTTGAATCATTTAGAATATTACCCTTGAATAATGATTCTATTTCGAAGAAGAGCTCAGAGGAAAACCACTATTTGGATTTACTTAGTCAGCATTTGACCAATGCTACCTTGTATTTTTCTGTTGACAACTCTTATGATTTAACCAATTCATTACAAAAACAATACGTTAATTCAAATCAGGACTCTCCTTTAACCTACGATAAAAGATTTTGGTGGAATTATTATATTTCTGAAGAGTTATTGAGTAATCAAGCTACTGATTTTGTCACTCCGGTTATTTATGGTTATTTCAAATCTCACAGTACTATTTTCAAAGGTAGTCAATCATTAGAATTTGCTTTAATAACCCGTAGGTCTAATAAAAGAGCCGGAACCAGGTATTTCCGTCGTGGGATCGACTTGGAAGGTAACGTTGCCAATTTCAATGAAACCGAGCAAGTTTTCACTTCGAATGATGGTCAACTTTTTTCATTTTTACAAACAAGAGGTTCGGTTCCTGTTTATTGGGCTGAAATCAATAATTTGAAGTATAAGCCTAATTTGGTTATCTCATCCCAACCAGCTTTAGATGCCACTGCTAAACATTTTGAAGAACAAGTTGATTTATATGGTGATAATTATCTTGTGAACTTAGTCAACCAAAAGGGTTATGAATTACCAGTGAAGGAAGGTTATGAAAGTGCCGTTGAAAATCTTCCTCCACATTTGAATGAAAAAGTGAAGTATATCTATTTTGATTTCCATCATGAATGTAGTAAAATGAGATGGGACAGAGTTAAGTTATTGATTGATCATTTAGTAAAATTGGGTTTCACTTCAGATAATTATTTCCATTATGATATTAAAAATGGTCAAATTCTTTCAGTACAAGATAAAGTGGTTAGAACTAACTGTATGGATTGCTTGGATCGTACTAACGTCGTTCAATCTACTTTGGCTCGTTGGGTCTTACAAAATCAATTATCTAAAACAGGTTATTTACCTGCAAATAATATGACTCCTTGGGAAATTTTAGATCCTCAATTCAATCTATTCTTTCAAAGTTTCTGGGCGGATAACGCTGATGCTGTTTCCTTTGCTTACTCGGGTACCGGTGCTTTGAAAACTGATTATACTCGTACTGGTAAGAGAACTAAAGTTGGTGCTCTTAATGATTTGAATAACTCCATCGTTCGTTACTATAAAAATAACTACACCGATGGTGCCCGTCAAGACTCCTATGATTTATTCTTGGGTATCTTTAAACCACATCAAGATGCTGTCAATACTCCATTCATTGATAAGAGACCTCCTTACATTCAACTATTACCTTATCTAATGGGCACTTCCTTATTGGTTTTCTTAGCCATCTTATGGTATCCAAGGGGCTCGGTCTTAAATTGGAAAAACTTATTGGTTATTAGTGGGTGCATCCTTTTCAATATTAAAAGCTTGCTTTATATTCACACCGAAGGGTACCAATTTGTCAATTGGCCCAAATTATACCAATTGGATTACTTGAAAAAAAGTGACGTTTTCGACGCTGAAGGTAAATTTGTCGGTATCAAGTATGAAGAACAAGATAACTTCAAAACAATTGGCAAAAAGAAAAACTAATCTGTATTCTATTCTTCAAACTGTCTTTTACAATCTTTCTACTGTGCTTTGTACTGTTATATTTGTGTTTTTTCTTCTTAATGTAACTTTCTTTCCTGTTTTTTCTTTTAAATTTCTATTATTTTCTGTTTTACAATACACTTGATACGTTCATAGTTTATATATTGTAGTATAGCTGTAGTAGTAGTAGTTGTAGTAGTAGTAGTTGTAGTAGTAGTTGTAGTAGTGTGCGAGTGACTGAAAAAATCAACAGAAAACTCAAATTCAAATAAGCTCGAGTTCTGATAGTTACGTTTCCTTATTAATTTTGATAATACTTAAGTAATCGATAGTGAAAATGTCTGATATATTGGAAAAGTCTTTGGATGAGATAATTGGAGAAAATAAACCTGCCAGAAGACCGTCTCAACGTAATGGAGGTGGTCCTAGAAGAGGTGGAGGATCAAGAAGATTTGTATGTACCGTGTATTTTTAATAATTCGAATTTAAATAAACTAACACAAGTTTAGAATCACAGAGGTGGTAGAGGATCAGGTCCTGTTAGAAGACACGATTCTTTCAAGCCAAACAACGCAATACCATTCGAAATTCAAGAAGCTGCTGCTGGTAGACCGATATTAAGAGTGAAAAACATTCATCAAGAATTAAACGGTGAAGATTTATCAAATTTATTTGAAACGGTGGCCCCTGTTGAATTCATCAAATTTGATCCTAAGAAAGATAGCATTGCTTATGTTTGTTTCCAATATAACTTTGCTTCTAATAATTCGGAAGCTATATCTAAATTTGATGGTAGAAAAGCAATGGGTAAGATACTTATTGTTGAAAATGCTACTTCTTTAGCAGAACGTATAGCTATAGTTCCTCCTGATAGGTCACATCCGTATGCTAGGGCTTCACGTGGATCGTCCGGTCCAAATCCGAGAAATAGTAGAAATGATCGTAATCCAAGAGTTAGACCTCCAAGAAGGGCCCCTAAACCTCAAAAGAAATCAGCAGAAGAATTGGATAATGAATTGAATGCCTATATGTCCGGTAAGTCTGATGAGCAATTAAGAGAAGAGGCTAGAGTCAATAAACTTGATAACGAAATGGACAATTATTGGAAAGATACTGGTGATCAAACAGCAACCAGTGAACCTGTTAATGGAACCACTGAAGCCCCAGCACCTACGGAAGCCCCAGCACCTACTGAAGATTCAATGAATGTTGATTAGTTAGTCTATTAATTCTCTTTTACTGTATAATTATTTAATGACAATACAAAATTTTAAAGCAATTAGTTATATTCATCTAACAAGATTAATTAAAAAAAATAAAAGGGAAAGGACAAAAAAATGTCTATTAAAAAGCCAAAACCAAATAAATAAATAAATATAGTCTATAAATATGCTAAATGAAATTAACCCATACCTTGAGTTAATTCTACTAATTGAGCGTAAAGCTTTCTTGTTCTTTTCCTCCAAGTTTTACCCCAAAGTAAAGTTGGTATAATAAAAGCAATTGAAACAAAATCAATAACAGCTAATGCAATATAAGTATTTGCAGTACCAGCACTATCTAACCATAAAGAGCAGACAAAAGTGAAGATACATGCTAAGGTGTTATTAATAATAGAAACACCCACCATACCTTGAATAACTATATCTGGATAAGCATCCATAAGATAAGACATGGCAGTATCACCAATCAGCCCCCATCCGAAACCAATACAACCTAAACCAATATAGATTGCATAAGGCGACCAAGATTTTTCCGCTCCAATACCGAAAAGCAAAAGACCAACTGGAGAAACAATCAAGGTGATGAAAAGCAACCAAAGTCTAAATTCTGGTTCTAAAATACCGTTATTACGTTTGGCAAGCCACAAGACATGTTTATCGGATAAAACCCCTGACATAAAACAACCAAAAACAGCACCAACCAAAGTAGCAACATTCATAATTGCAACACCGGTTTCAGAATAATTCCAAGGATCTTCAGGGAAAAAAGTATCTTGAGTAGTAAGGAAAAAAGTCATATAAGCATCTTGTAAACCCCATAAGATACCTGAGATCCAAACTGCTGGTAAGGTGAATACTTTGAAATAAACAATAAATCTTTGAAGGTATTGTTTGAAACCATATCCTTCAAGGTACGGAGAAGGAGTAATGATTGCAAGTCTTTTATGAATAGGCCATAAAGGTTCTGATTCAGCTTTCTCGTTATTAATATTATTGTTATTTTCGATTTTTGAAGTGACGGTGATCAAATTTTGAGGGTTATCGTTAGCATCCTTATTAGAATCTTTTTTCTCTAAATCGATATCTTGATCGATATTCTGTTGTTGATCTAAAGATTGTTTATCGTCGTTTAAATTAGAATCATAAACCGGGAAATAACTAGATCTATCGAAGACCGTTTCTTCACAAGTGAAGATAAAAATGATAAGAGAAATACCAGTGATGATGGCCCCCCACCAACCAACCCAACGGAAAGTTTGGGATTGGGAGATAAGATGAGCAATTAAAGGACCCAAGAAAGAACCAACAGAGGTAGCTAAGATATAAACGGTCAATACCGAACCCAATTGATGTTGGAAGAAGATATCTGAAAGAGACTGCTGAGCTTGAGCTTCAGCAGCTGATTCACTTATACCAACAAAGATTTGAGAATAAATGGTATCACTAGTTTTATTAGCAACTGCAAACCAAATGGAACCACAACAACCGCAAAGTAAGCAAACAAGATAGGAAATTTTTCTTCCGTAAAGAGAAGAAGCAGGAGCCAAAAAGATACAGGACCAACCAATGAAAATGAAAAGAACCCCTGCCCCGGTGTTCATGGCATCATAAGAGATACCATAAATTTTATTCAAAGAATCTTGAGCAGCACCAGCATCATTTGAAATGGCTGCAGTTAGCCCGGTAAAGAAAGAAACAAGAGCAAAATGCCATGCTTTACGAAGGAAAGACCAATTAAGAGGATCATTTGGAGAATCAGAAGGTTGGGGAAGTAAAATAATGCCATTTTTACTTCTTTTGATGGGTTTAGTGGTTGTAATGGAACTATCATCATTGGCATTCAAGACATTGATAGTACCAGGAATGTAATCTTCGTCAAAATAGTTGGAGGCATTCATCAAGAAAGTTTAGTCGTATAGCCAAATTATAAGTCGTTATAAAAGTCAGATATTCTGGGTCAGATATTCTGGGTCAGATATTCAAATAGTCAGATAATAAAGATAGTTAGATAATACTTAAATACAAATAATATTACCAAATCGTCAATAAGCCAATAATGTCAGTAAGACATTGTAAATGATATCTAGAATGAAGTTAATAGGAAAAAATTAATGATATGCTAGCAAAACCTCTAGTTGATACACTGTTGAAACACCCTTTCTTGCAACAAGCTAACTGAATAACGACCTGGACCTTTTCTTAACGAAATACCGAATAAACAGCAACTTATATGTCCATCTCTTCCTTTTGAAAAATTGACTGTAAAAATTTTGTCTCAGAAAGTCGTGTGACGGTCGACAACATCAGGTTCACGATTTTCTGGTTTTTTCTTCTAATTCAAACTGAGTTTATGCTGAGCATGTACTAAACTTTGAAGACTAATTGGCAAGAATTAGTATAAGTTGATTAGCTCGACGACCAACAAGTGCTTGTACTACTAGTAGAAGCACATGTATTGGTGAAGTTTTGTTTTTGTTTTTCTATTCTTTCTCTCCTGTAAACTGCAGAACCAATGCCATTAAATCAAAAGGATATACTAACCTGGTGTGATGAATTACACCAGGTGAAAGGTAATGTTTCCCAATTGCAGGCCACGCTTAATCAGATATTAAGTAAGGCGCCAACTATTAACCAGTATAAACAGCTAGCATATCATTTTGAGGAAACACTTAATCAACAACAACAAAATGGTGATATACAAATGATTGAAAAAGCGAAGAGTTTATTGATATCACCACAATTAAAGATAGCTATTAGGTTGAAGTCATTATTTGAAAAGGGGTACCTACCATTATTGTTAGCGCTTTCCAGGATAAATTTCAAATCTGGTAAGTCGGATCGATACGTTGGGTATTTTTTAAATTATAATCCACCAAAGGATATAGTTAATAAGTTACCTGATAAGTTGAGAAACGGGATAAATGTGCCGGCCAGTACTAAAGAACAGAAGGCCCCAATAATATTGAGTAATTACCCCCCGGTGTTACCACCAATAACTGATCCAAAATTATTAAAATTAATTTTAACTGATAAAAGTTATAGACAACCAAGTGATTTCATAGAACTGGAAACTGAAAGTGGTAATCACTTGTACAATTCAAGTCATAATACAAAATTAGCAATAAGGGGGAATAAATTATTGAATTATTTAATTTATAATATATTAGATGAAAAATTTCCAGAAATTCACGAAGATGATTTAACTTATTTAACCGAAAAATTAACTAACAAAAACATATTAACCAAATTAGCCTATGCTTATAATTTGGTTGATATATTATATAATAATATTTTAACCAATGAAAGTAACACTAATCTTGATGAAAAAATTGATGCATTTTCCAAGGTTTTCTGTGCCTACATTGCAGGATTGTCAATCAATGATTATACAAATGAAGAAATCAGTCAATGGTTAGAAAAACTATATGAACCAATCATTAATAAACTATATCAAATCAGTAAAACCAATCATTCATTAAAAGATTTAAATCAATTAGCATATGCAGAAATCAATTTTTTATTGAAAAAAATCAATAACACCTTTGCTGCTCAACAAACCAAGAAGATCCAGTATGATTTCAATATCATTGAGCAAGATCCCTTTGTTGTTCAATTGAAAATCGGTGATTTGGATTATGGAATGGGTACATCTTCCAAACGAGAAGAAGCAGAAAATAAAGCTTGTTACGAAACATTAAACTCAAAAGAGTTGATGAGTAAATTGATTGAGTATATCTTGGCCAATTTCAAAACTCCTGAAACCGTTCAAAATAAAAATATGAATAATTTAGCTAATTTATATGGAGATGAAAGTAAGAAGCAGCAACAACAGCAGCAGCAGCAGCAGCAACAGCAGCAGCAACAACAGCAGCAGCAACAACCAGTTACCCCGATTGAAGAAGATGAGGATGCGTACTCGCCAAAAGAAGACGAGGACGACTACGAACCCCAATTAAACACCCCGGAACCAACTGAAGCTCCAGTACAACTACCAGTGCAGCCGGCACCATTAGCTCAACCACCATTGCACGTGAGAGCACCGTTGCCGTATGGAGCGTTACCACCAAACCCTACCAATACTTTACATAACGGAGTTAGTATAGCACCGTATGCTTTACCATCCTTGAATAATGATGTGAGTTCCCGAATCCCCGTCGACCATTTGGCGAAAAACAACCTCTATGCATTATTAGGAACCAAGCATCTCAGTCCAAATTACCGTAGCCATAAAGTTGGTAACGATTACCAAACCACCATCATGGTTGGGGATATAGTCTTGGGGGTTGCATACGATACCAATAAGAAGATTGCCAGCCAAAAGGCTGCCATGAATGCGTTATCCAATAAGCATGGCTTACAGCAGTTGGGATTAGATGCCTAACTTCGTCTATGTAATAGCATTAATAATAAATGTATCATTTTTTCTGATTTTTGCAAATATGCAACTTAATCCTAAACTCGAGAACCTAGCCCTACAAGTACCACAGATATACAGATATACAGATATACAAATATACAGATATACAGATATACAGATATACAAATATACAGATATACAAATATACAGATGTACAGATATACAAATATACAAATATACAAATATACAAATATACAAACATACAAACATACAAACATACAAATATACAAATATACAAACATACAAACATACAAACATACAAATATACAAATATACATATATATAAGAGTAGATGGTTGCAAAAGGTCGGCCGAGAGTTTCCGAGGGTAAGGGCCAGCACCCGAAGCCGGCCGGGGCGGGAGGTACGGGTGGTTCCGTATATAGCTAACAAACCCGAAAAATTCCCGGGAAGTAAATTGCATCTCGACGTTTCCAATTAGAAATCAATAAACAAAAAAAAAAATTGAGCAATCTGACAAAGCGCACGCCATAGAAAATTTTTAACACTGAAATTTTTGATTTAATCATTTAGTTTATTTCTAATACCTTCTTTCTTTTCCCAATACATTTAAATTATATATTCATAATATAAGAATGGCTGCTCCTGTTCCTCCTGTTGCTGCTACTCCAGCTTTACCTCAATATAGTGTTGCTGACTATGCTTCTTTTGGTTTAGCCGGTGCCATTGGTTGTGGTGTTACTCACGGTGCTATGACTCCAATTGATGTTATTAAAACCAGAATTCAATTAGAACCAACTGTTTATAATAAAGGTATGGTTGGATCTTTAAGACAAATTGTTTCCACCGAAGGTGCTGGTGCTCTTTTAACTGGTTTAGGACCAACTGTTTTAGGTTACTCTTTACAAGGTACTTTCAAATTTGGTGGTTACGAATTATTCAAGAAGACTTTTATTGAACAAATTGGTTACGAAACTTCTAAGAAATATAAAAACAGTATTTACATTGGTTCTGCTGCCATGGCTGAATTCGTTGCTGATATTGCTTTATGTCCATTAGAAGCTACTAGAATTAGATTGGTTTCTCAACCATCTTTTGCTAATGGTTTAGTTGGTGGTTTCTCTAGAATTTTAAAAGAAGAAGGTTTAGGTTCTTTCTACAATGGTTTCACTCCAATTTTATTCAAACAAATTCCTTATAATATTGCTAAATTCTTGGTTTACGAAAGAGCTGCTGAAGCCATTTATGCTGCTGTTCCAACTCCAAAGAAAGATTTATCTACTTCTGCCGTTACCGGTATTAACTTGGGTGCTGGTATCATTGCCGGTTGTGCTGCTGCCATTGTTTCTCAACCTGCTGATACTTTATTATCTAAAGTTAATAAAACCAAAAAGGCTCCAGGTCAATCTACCGTTGGTTTATTAGCCCAATTAGCTGGTCAATTAGGTTTCCGTGGTTCATTTGCTGGTTTACCAACCAGATTGATTATGGTTGGTACTTTAACCTCTTTACAATTCACCATTTACGGTTCTTTAAAACAAGTTTTAAACTGTCCAAAAGGGGTTGAATTATAAGTTAGCCTGATTAATATATATTAGACCATTACCCATTTGTAGCTCTCATATACATATTTGTCTATACATGCCTATACATATGATACATATGCCTATACATATAAATACATCTACGTATGCCTACATCTGTATATACCTATACATCTACCTATACATCTACCTATACATCTACCTATACATCTACCTGTACATCATCATCTACCCATACATCATCATCTACCTACACATCATCATCTACTTATCAATGATTGGCCAATAAGAAGGGTTCTTTTCGAGAGGGTAGTGCGAACGGCAAAACTCTACCCCGAAACCTGGTTGGCGCACCGCGGTCCTGTTTGCAGTCAAGCAAAGTCCATTTGCAGTTATCAAACTCGGTACCATTTGCTTATTGAACTGTTCGGTCTTTTAATGGGTTCTTGATTAAATAAATTCGGGAGGCAATCTTCTTGTCTTCTTGTACGTTGATGTATAATTGATATTTGAAGTGACGATTGACGTCATAATTCTCTTCTGCGTTGTATCTCAAATACCTTCTTGCGAAGTAATATCAACAAAACTAATAGATAATATATTACAACTGTGCGAACCACAGAAAGTGCAAGTCGATTTGCATCCAGATTAATCGTATCATGACATGAATTACATATGCGTACTCCTCTTTCTATAAGAATACAACTACTCCAGATCTCTTCGTAGGCTTATACGGATATGTTCTCGGAACCAAAGGCTAACCACAAGGGTTTGAGCTACCGCAATACTACCCCGTTACAAAACGTAGCCTTACAGTATATACAATCATATAATCATATAATCATATAATCATATAATCATATAAGCATATAATCATATAATCATAATCATATAATCATATAATCATATAATCATATAATCATATAATCATATAATCATATAATCATATAATCATAATCATATAATCATATAATCATATAATCATATAATCTAATCATATAATCATAATTTATGGAATAGGTAACGTGACCTGGGAGTGCCACGGGATCCTTAGAGCATACGCCGAGTGGAACCATGGACTTACAATTCCATTACTCCCAGTTGGAGGTGTTAAGCCATGGCTTACATTAGTCCGAAGCATTTGTCAGACCAAAACGATGCACACAAGAACCCAAACAGTTGGCAAAGCGATGCTACCAGATGGCAAAGCGATACAAAAACTTAATTACCGAATGGATCCCCCCACAAATCGAATCGGGTGGGTTTAAGAGCCGTTGGAGCCTCGACGAAAGTCCGAGCAGCCAGTGCCTGGTGTACGGGCGCGGTGTTCCTGAGCGGTTGAAGGAGGGGGCCCGCCGGCTAAAGCCCGGGGCCCATCATATTTGCTAAATAACACAGAAATGATCGAAAGAGGGGACTATAACCCATCCCCACAGACTGGAATTAAGCATATGGAAATGAGCTGAGCTATCTCCTTGGAAGATGCAAGTATAAATACATTTGGAATTGGCCTTTGGTTCATTAGGATATTTTTCAGTCATCAAGCAAAATGATTAGAACAAGACCAGCTACCGTTTTAAGATCTAGTCGCGGATTATTCGCAGCTAGTTCTACTATAACTCATCGTAACTATAGTACTTTACCATTATCAATTCCAGTTACCTTGCCAAATGGTACTACTTACGATCAACCAACTGGGTTATTCATAAATAATGAATTTGTTTACCCAAAACAACGTAAAACTTTTGAAGTTATTTCTCCAGCAACTGAAGAAGAAATTGCTCATGTTTACGAAGCTAGAGAAGAAGATGTTGACTCTGCGGTGCAGGCTGCTAAAAAGGCTTTTGAAGGTGGTTGGTCCGATGCCGATCCACTTGTTAAAACCAGAGCCTTGACCAAGATTGCTGATTTGATTGAAGAACACGCCGAAACCTTGGCTCACATTGAATCTTTGGATAACGGTAAATCTTTGCAAAATGCTAGAGGTGACGTTGCTTTATCTGCTAATGTTTTCAGATCTTCTGCTGGTTGGGCTGATAAAATTGGTGGTAAAGTTATTGAAACTGGTAACACTCATTTTTCATATACTAGAAGAGAACCTTTGGGAGTTTGTGGTCAAATTATTCCTTGGAATTTCCCATTATTGATGTTTACTTGGAAAGTTGCTCCTGCTTTGGTTACTAATAACACTGTTGTTTTGAAAACTTCGGAAACTACTCCTTTATCTGCTTTATACGTTTGTAAATTGATTCAAGAAAATAACGTGTTACCTCCTGGTGTTATTAATGTTATCAATGGGTTTGGAAAAATTACCGGTAATGCCATTACTGAACATCCAACCATTAAGAAAGTTGCCTTTACTGGTTCTACCGCTACCGGTAAAGCCATTATGGCTAAATGTGCCGCTACTTTGAAAAAAGTTACTTTGGAATTGGGTGGTAAATCTCCAAACATTATCTTTGATGACGCTAACTTGGAAACTGCTTTACAAAGTGCCGTTGCTGGTATTTACTATAACTCTGGTGAAGTTTGTTGCGCTGGTTCTCGTTTATACGTTCAAGAAGGTATTTACGATGAATTTGTTGCTAAATTTGCTGATTACGCTCAAAATAAAGTTAAGGTTGGTAATCCTTTTGAAGAAGATACTTTACAAGGTGCTCAAAACTCTCTCAATCAATTGGACAAGATCTTGCACTATATTAAACTCGGTCAAGATGAAGGGGCTACCTTATTAGCTGGTGGTGAACGTTTACCTCAAAAAGGTTTCTTTATCAAACCAACCATTTTCGGTGATGTCAAAGAAGATATGAAGATTGTCAAAGAAGAAATTTTCGGTCCAGTTATCACTGTTTCTAAATTCAAAACCGTTGATGAAGTTGTTAGATTGGCCAACGATTCCGAATACGGTTTGGCTGCTGGTATCCAATCTGAAGATGTCAACAAATGTGTCGACGTTGCTAGAAGATTGAAGGCCGGTACCATTTGGGTTAACACCTACAATGACTTCCACCACATGGTTCCTTTCGGTGGTTTCGGTGCTTCTGGTATGGGTAGAGAAATGGGTGAAGATGTCTTGAATAACTACTTACAAACCAAGGCTGTTAGAACCGCCATTACCCAAAAATAAGTACAACTTTAAATAAGTATAACTTTTATGTATCATGATTAAATCTATTCATTATTGACTCGATCTTGTAGTTGTGCGCCAACCAAACACGTCAAAAAGAAAGAAGCTGCTGCTGCAGCTGCTGCTGCAGACCCGTACACCACCAATTACTCTCCCCTTTTGGGGCAATTTGCTCCTTTTAAAGAAAATGACCCTATTTATATTTAGCACCTGACCAAACCCCTTATTAAGTATATAAAGAAGGCTTTTTCCATTTTAGATATCGGCTTATATTATTTTATACCCCCAAGACCAAAACATGCTTTACTTAATATTTTTATTATCTCTTGTTAATGCATTACCAATTTTACCAAGATTGTACCAACCTTCTTCTGGACAATTTTCCTTGATTGCCCATCATCAGGGTGCTCAATTCCAGTACCATTTAGTTAAGTACGATGATGACGATTTAAAATTGAATGCTGATGAAGAAGCCTTCTTTGGTAGAATTAAGGCTAATAACGGATATGTATTGAATATCCCAGGAGCCACCAATGGTACCGACGAACAACCTTCTCCAGTCAACGTATTGGTTGATGAATCAAATAAATTAACCATTGCTCCAACCCCAGTCGAAGGACTGACTGGGTTTGGTATCGAGGATTCTTTATTAACTTACCAAAATGTATCTACTTTTGTTGCTTGTCCTGATGAAAACTTCAGAGGCGAATATTCTATTTATTGGAATACTGATTGTCCTAATCAAGCTCAAGGTTATTCCATTGAGTTGTTGGTCCAATCCGATGCAACTGTTAATTATAACCCTGATACAAATCAGTAATTTCTCAATCTACTAATTCTCTATTCACTCATTACGATTAACTCATTACGATTCACTCATTACGATTAACTCATTACGATTAACTCATTACGATTAACTTATACTCATTACGACTCACTAATACCCTCATTACGATTTACGACTCACTAATACCCTCATTACGATTTACGACTCACTTATACCCTCATTTATTCAATGGTTTTTTTCATTTTCTTATTCGGTTTCATCTTCATTTATATTCGGTTTAATAAAAGTTATTGTATAATGCCGCATGCCAGTCTTCCACACGTAGAACAATTGCAACAATCGAATTGGCTTTGCGTAAAGCGTTACGGCCGTATTATCGCCGAGCCGCGAGAAACAAAAAGGGTTTGTCCGAATGATAACGGTAGCATTGCAAATTTCATTGCAAATTTCATTGCAACTTCGCCCATGGTATATTTACAAATCGTATAAGTATTGGAAAGGTATTGTGGTATTGTAAGGGCATTGCAGTAGGTAAACAATAGAATTATAAATAGATCAGTATTCGTTTTTACATATGGTTTCAAACAGGTCTTCCCTTGATAATTCAGGCACTCGTTGCTTATCAAAGTAGGCAGATACTAAGAAAATTGCAGACACGAATTCCATTGAAGTACCTAAAATGTATTCGTAAATGATTAAGGTTGAATGGAACCCATTTAGATAATTGGTCATTGCCATATAGTTCATATCATCGATATAGATCGAAAGGATCCCGAAAACCCCTCTTATTAATAATAAGGGACAAGCAGTTAATACTGCAATTAAAGTATAACATTTAACTTTTTGGAAGAAATAAGTGTGGATAGCAATGACCGTCAAGACAATAGTCAATAACAAAAAAAGCACTTGTCCGGCACATCTCAAAGACTTGGACATTTCAACTTCTGGTACATTTTGTAAAAAGTCTTCAAGGTCCAACCCGGAAGTTATTGCACCACCAGCAACAAGTAAGGCATTTGCCGGAATTAAAAGTAGATGATATATTCCATACCAATGAGTTTTAATTCTATACCATCTTCTATTTTCGTGATTATATCTACCTCTTGGACCATAATCTTTAATCCAAGATTCTCCTTGAACTAGTATTTGACCATGAACAATTGTGTACAAACTAGCTAAAATAAGCACAAAGTAACCTTCAGCACTAAAAATAATATAACCAACTAAATAGCCTTCATTTTCAATCCCATAATACCCAAGTAAAAATGCACATATTTGACCAGCTAATCTGATTACATTGAATAATAACAACAACAGGAAAACCGACTTGAATCCTTTTTTAACTGAACAGTATATAGTAAATGGTAATAAAACAGCATAAAGGGCTAAAAAAACCGATCCTGCAATACCAGAACTTTCAATTTTGAATCCCATCTTTAAATTTTTGTTGATCTATTAAAATTATATTCTCTACATCGAGGTTCATTTGCAATATTTATATTAAACTTATCGTACTCTACTCTAAAAATGGATTGGTTTACGGCTGTAAGAAGACAATGTACTGCCTTAACCGTATCGTTTTGCCTTTACGTAATAAAACGAACTAAAAATAGATGTAACTTTATTTAAGAGACTCTGGCAGGTCATAAACCCATTCTTTAGGTTGATAATGGTCGAAAAAGGCTGAGACCAAAAGAAGGGCAGACGCGAATTCCATTGTAGTACCCAAAACATATTCATAAACAATTAGTTTTTCACTTAACCCATGGATATAATTAGACATGGCCATGTAATTCATCGAATCAATATAGATTGAAAGGATCCCGAAAATTCCTCTTACTATCAAGAATGGAGAAGCAAGAATCACCGTAATCATAGTCCAACATCTGACTCGTTGAATGAAAAAGGTAGAAAGAGCAATAACAACCATTACTATGGTCAAAGCCAAAAAAATTGCTTGACCGGCACATCTCAAAGATTTTGAGGTTTGCAATTTAGAACCGTTTTGTAAATACTCTTGTATACTGAGACCCGAAGTCATTGAAGCACCAGCAATAAGCAAAGCATTTGCCGGAATTAAAATCAAATGATATAATCCGTACCAGTTATTCGATCTTATTCCAAATCTTTTCTTTTGACTAGCGTCAAATGCACCCCGAGGACCATAATCTTTAAGCCAAGAACGACCCTTAACTAGTCTTTGTCCCTCAACTATAGTATATAAACTTGACAAAATAAGACTGAAATAACCTTCAGCACCCAAAATAATATAAGCAATCAAACAATCAGTATTTGAAAATCCGTAATAACCAAATAGAACCCCACATACTTGGCCACCTAATCTAATGAGATTATAGATCAACAATAATGTGAATACCGATTTATACCCTTTTTTAAGAGTACAATAAACAGTGACCGGGAGTAAACAGCAAAAGAGAACCAAATAAACTGATCCTGCTATACCTGAACTTTCGAGCTTGAACATGGTTGCCCTACAAGAGTCAGGGAATGGGATGTGACATGCTCTTCTTATATAGGCCTTTGGTACGGCTGATGATTTGGAAACCTGCTTATGTAAGCGCATCGGGGGTAATTCGAAAATAAAAAAAAAAACGGCTGCAAAGGATTACATAAGCGCTTAAGCAAATCAGATTACGACCGATTATAACAGTTTAACATGAAGTAGATTATAACAGTTTAACATGAAGTAGATTATAACAGTTTAACATGAAGTAGATTATAACAGTTTAACATG